CAAGAGGAGCACTCTGGTGGCATTTAGTTGTCTGAACCAGCAGGATAAGATTCCAGTTGTCCACCACTCCAGGTATCTGTTAGAATGTGCACTGAAATGATTACTTCCCACGGTTTGGAGTTGTTGTGCTGATGGTGAGTCTGCTGTATAATGTCTAAATAAACTGTTCTGGCAAGGTCCCTGCAAGCTAATCACAGGGAGAAAGGCCAGTGCATTCAGCTGAACTCTGCAGAAACTCCATTGCTGCTCATCCTGTTTGAAAGATGGCCGCTGCTTCTCTTTCTATTGTTCATTGTTGGCATTGATCTGGTTATATAGAAGGACATTTTATCCAGTGACTTATTTTTAGGCTTGACGGTTTCTGATTCAGTAAATAATGGTGTTTATTGGGTTTTCCAATTTCCTCCAATTCAAGAAAAATTATCCCTTTGTAAAACAGTTACTTTTTTCTTTACAGTTTTTAAATTGTTTTGAATGAAACAACTTACATTTATATAGTGCCCTTCACATATGATAACATCTCAGAGTGCTTCATAAAGGCCACCGGTTTTGGGGGGGAGGGGCAGTGAGTTTAGTTGTGGTTGAGGTAGGGGTTTATGTGAGGCTAAAGGGGAAGGCTCAGTAGCTTGAGTTAGCTGAGTGGAGGGGGTGAGTAGAGAAGATAGGAGAGACGAGGAGGTTCTGCAGCTCAGAGGGATTTGTGGAGAGGGTGAAAACCTTGAAGCCGATCTGTTGTGAACAGATCCAAATCAGAACTGGGGTGCAGAGTTTGGTAAGGGTGAGGATGTGGGTAGTGAACTTTTGGCTTAGGTGGAGCTTATGGATAGTGGAACTAAGGAGCGCACTTAAAGTTCGGGCAGGTAACAAAGCGTGAATACGGGTTTTGCCAACATTTTGCCAAGATTGAGGCTTGTCCAGGCATTTGATAGGCAAACAGACAGAATGACAGTGGATCTGTAATCAAGAGTAGAAGTTGAAAAGTAGATTTGGATGTCATATGCACTGAGCAGGAAGTGACGTTTGTGGGCACCTTATGATACTGGAGCTGAGAGGAAAAGAGCTGGAGAATAGAATTGTCAACAGTGTTGAAGGCAGTAGAGGAGTCGAGAAGAACGAGGAGCAGAGAGAGAGTGTCATGGTGTGACTGACCGGGGGGCAGTCTGTACTATGTGCAGCACGGAATTCAGATTGGAGGGGTTCATGGAAGCGAGTGCTGAGAGAGGATAGAGCGAAGCTGGGCATCAGTGACTTGTTCCAGTATCTTGAAGAGGAAAGGCAGGTTGGAGATTGGATGGGTAGCTAGAGAAGGGGATGGCTCGAAGAAGGGTTTATGGAGGGTGGGAGTGTTGACTACTGTTTTGAAGAGGATAGGAACTGTGCCTGTGGAACAGAGGAATTGTCCTCACTTCAAATGCTTCCATGTCCTTGCCTCACATGACCTCTGATCTCCTAACTTCATCTTTATAAAGCACCTTGAGATGTTCTACTACGTGAAAGATACTTGTCTTGCTAGGACCAGCCTACGTATTGCAGCTTTTGCTTACAGGGTTAACAGGAGCTGAGTGGGAAGTATCCCTGCCGCAGTGATTGTTTTGCTCCTTCAACTTCTGCTGATGCATCTGCCAACATCAATAGTGACCTGTAGTAATGAGGACCTGCCTAACAGGAAATGGATTGGCATGTCAATTTTGAGACCCCTCAGTCCCAATGAGATCTTGCTTACCTCATTTCTTTCATTTCCTTTCCCCCTCAAGCCACCCACCCCAGCTCCTACACAGGTTTTTGAAAAAAGGGAAATACAACCTGAATTGAGAGCAGAGTTGAATCCATAATAACGCTTTAATCACTGGAACTGTCTGCCACCTGTCCTTGTTTTCCAGGTGCATCCTCTTGTCCATGAGACTCCGCTCTCTTCCAAGTGAGAGTGATATATACTTAATGAATTGTTGGTGAAGTGAAAGAGGGAGTGCCTGCTCTGTTTATAGTGCAGAGTGTGAGCTGTTGTGTGCTTTTACATGTGCTGTTTCAGATCTCCATCCATGCATCTCATTACTCCGTGATGCTGTCCTTTTAGGTACCCAGGTTAGGGTGCTTGGTTGAGTGAGTGTCTTTGGCGCCTGACTATATGAGACTTCATGAACCAGGGTGGAAAATTGGAATTGAAAGGATTAGTTGAGGTACAGATCAGCCATGATCTAATTGTATGGCAGAACAGGCTCAAAGGCTGTAAATGTATAGGTTAGGAGAATTGAAACTACTGGAATCTCTACCTGACTACAACAACAACAAGATTGCATTTATAGAGCGCCTTTCACATCGAGAGGACGTCCCAAGGCACTGGACAGTTGGGCCAACAAACTTAGCACACTCTGGGTGGGATTTGAACTAGTGAGTTCCCAGTAAATTCTAGCTGTATCCACTGCACCACCTTCATGGACTTGAGAATTAGAATCGTAGAATTATACAGCATAGAAGGAGGCCATTCGGTTCGTCGTGCCCATGCCGGCTCTTTGAAAGGCCTATCCAAATTAATCCCACTTTCCCGCTCTCTCCCCATAGCCATGCTAATTTGTCCTCCCCAAATATCTATCCACTTCTCTTTTGAAAATTGTTATCGAATTTATTTCCAACCCTTTCAGGCAGTGCATTCTACCCGAAAAAACTTGTTATCCTGAATTGTTTCCTAATCGTCATAGCTTTTACTGGTCATTGCTTCTTTGGTGTCAGCTTGGCTGATTTGGTAGTGTTCTTGTCTCTGAAAATTGTGGGTTGATTATTCACATTGGAATTTTCCTGTATAGTTGACATTCTAATGCAGTCCTGGGGGTGAATGCTGCATTGTCAGGTATTGCCTTTTGGTCAAGATATTAGACTGTGATTTTTGGCTAAATGTTTAGGTGGATGTTAAATATTCCATGACACTACTTAAAAGAAATGATGGAGTTTCTCCTGGCGTCTTAGCCAACAATCCTGCAGATAAATTGATCATTCACTTCATGGCTGTTTATGGGACTACTGTGTGCAAAATGGCTCCTGCATTTGCCTACAAGTAGTCACTACATTTGACAACAATTCCTTGAGACATTTCAAAGTTACAGGAAATGAAAACAGTCTCCAGGAGAGCCCCAACAATAACCGTTGTCCCCTGCGTCTGGGCAGCCTCCTGAATGCATGGTTTGAGCCTGGCACTGTATGTGGCCTGTGGGACTGGACAGCATGTTGGCAATGCTCATTGCTTTCAGTGGAAAGGCAGGTGGTAGTTGAAGTGGAAACAAAGTGAAAGTTTATGTTTCTGCTGCACATCATTACCAACGGCAGCCAGGTCAGCAGCTCTTTAGAAACATTCATTTTAATTGGATGTTAGGGCCATTTTTCTACGAGCTAGTGTGTTTGTTTGACCTAAATTGACTGCATGTACTGTATTGTATTACTGTATTGTAGGATTTGCTTACCGATTGCCATTTTGAAAGTTTACTATATCTTGAAGTAAAGAGGAATGAGAGCTGGTAATTCGCACCAAATTCCCTGTTGCGGTGACTGAAGGCACGAGGAGTTCTATATGAAATGACACTCCAGTTGTAATTAGTCAGTGTTTTTCTCACCTTGGCTGATCTCCTGAAGGTACTGACTTGGGTGGTTACTGTTACACCAGGACAGCAGAGCTCTGTGCCCAAGTGTCCCGTATGTCGGCCTACATGCTGAGTATCGACAGGTAACTTGATCGGTGGGAGAGGAAGGCAGGCATGTCACCTCTGAGCTGGTATCTACATACACACAACCTAATGTAGATTGCAGTTTCCCACTACTCTACCAACTGAGGTTACTTAAATTAATCCAGGACTCAAACCTGGAACCTTCTTGATCTGTGAAGCAAAGAACTGCATTCTGTGTTTTCTGAAATTTGTAAAATATGAAATTGTTTCTAGGCATAAAATAGTTCCAAGGTGCAACTGGGTGATATTAAGGAGTGGCTAGAGCACTCGCCTCGCAAGCGAGAGACCTGGGTTCCATTCCTGGCAGAGCGAAACCTTGGGCAACTTTCCTTATACCACACGCCTGAAAAAATATATAAATAAATATAATTGTTCACCTTAATCCAGACTGTTTATGGGACACTTCTGTGCCCAATTGACTGCCGCGTTTCGCCCACAAAATATACAGTCAATTCACTTTACAGTATATTCTGTGAAGTGTTTTGAAACTTCTAGAAGATGCGAAAAGCTTTATATCAAATGCAAGGATTATTATTTTTATTATTAAACTCCAGCAGTTTCCCCAACGCACAGTCTGGGGTTCCCAAGCCTTGGCTCTTGTCAGCCTGCGCCTTGTACCTTGTGGGAATTTCTATGTGTAGGTGGGTTGGCATACATGTATGGATTTGGTTTATAGAACTGGTTTTAGTTTGTAAGAATCATGGTGATTGGCTTCTGCATGAGTCAGATACTAAAAAAGGATAAACAACAACAAGATTCCATTTAGAAAGCGCCGTTCACGTCAGGAGGACGTCCCAAGGCGCTGTACAGTTGGGTCAGGACCCAAGCAGGGGGGGGATGGTCAGGGTGAGGGACGGGAGGGAGCGAGGAGGGGGGAAATGGTCAGGGTGAGGGACGGGAGGGAGCGAGGAGGGGGGAAATGGTCAGGGTGAGGGGAGGGAAGAGAGAGAGCGAGGAGGGGGTAGAGAGTCGAGAGGGGAGCTGAAGGTCAAAGAGAAAGGTCTTGAGACCGGCCTGGAAGGAGGAAAGGGAAGAAGCGGCGAAGGCACTGGGGGATGGAGTTCCAGAGCCTCGGGGCTGAGAGGCTGAAGGCCCGACCACCGATGGTAGGGCGGTTGGGGCGGGGGACGTGGAGCAGACCGGAGCCAGAGGAACGGAGGGTACGGGCAGGTAGATAGGGGGATAGTAGGTCGGAGAGGTAGGAGGGAGTGAGGCCGTGAATGGCCTTGTAGGTGAGGATGAGGATAAAGTAACAGTAGCTCACCTCATTGTTCTTGTCCCTTTCAGATCGTGAACCGACACGGGCCCGAGGCAGACAGACATTTGTTACGCTGTCTATTCTCGCATGTGGATTTCAGTGGCGATGGTAAAAGTAGCGGCAAGGATTTCCATCAGGTACTGAACTAATGTCACTCCAGTTATTTATTTTTAAGCTTGTGAATATGCTGTGGAGGCAGCTGGTTCGTTAATTTAGTGGCAGAATAGTACAAAGTGTTGCTCCACATGCTGGACAGATGTAGGACTCCTATTTCAGCATCAGTGATATTCAGGAGAGTTGCAGTCTGGTAACTGCTGCTGGTGCAGATGATATCTCCAAAATGGCCGTGTGATTGTTCCACATAAACTTGTGTGGCTCAGCTTTCTTAGACTTGACCACTGCTATTTTTGATCTATATGAATTACCCAGACTTGGTACAGGGAGTGCAATTTCCAAGTTTGCAGATAATACTAAGCTAGGAAAAGTAGTAAACAGTAGCAACTAGAATAGTAGCAGATGGCAAATGGACATAGACAGACTGGTAACCTGGGCAGACACGTGGCAGATGAAGTTTAATGTGGTGAAATGTGAAGTGATGCATTTTGTGAGGAAGAATGAGGAGAGGCAATATAAGCTGATGGTACAATCTTAAAGGGGGTGAAGGGACAGAGAGACCTGGGGTTCATATAGTAAATCTTAGGTTGCAAGACAGGCAGATAAAGCTGTTAAAAAAGCATCCGGGATACTGAGCTTTATAAATAGGGGCATAGAATACACAAGTCAGGAAGTTATGATGAACTTTCATATAAAACACTGGTTAGGCCTCAGCGAGAGACTGTGTTCAGTTCTGGGCCCCACACTTTAGGAAGGATGTCAAGGCATTGGAGAGGGTGCAAAGGAGATTGACCAGGATGGTACCAGGAATGAGGGACTTCAGTGATCAGGAGAGGCGAGAGAAGCTCGGATTATTCTCCTTGGAGCAGAGAAGGTTAAGAGGAGACTTAATAGAAGTTTTCAAAATTGAGGGGATTCAATAGGATGAACAAGGAGAAACTATTCCCACTCACGGGTAGATCGGTAACCTGAGGACACCAAGTTAAAATAGTTGTTAAAAGAAACAGAGGGGAGGAGAAATGTTTTCACACAGCGAGTTGTTAGGATCTGGAATACATTGCCTGAAAGGCTGGTGGGAACCGACTCTTAACAGCTTTTAAGAGAGAAGTAGATAATTATTTGTGGAGGACAAGTTTGCAGAGCTATGGGGAGAGAGCGGGGGAGTGGGGTTGATCAGGGCTATGGGGAGAGAGCAGGGGAGTAGGGTTGATCAGGGCTATGGGGAGAGAGCAGGGAAGTGGGGTTGATGGGGCTATGGGAAGAGAGCGGGGTAGTGAGGTTGAATTGGAATCTCTTTTCAATGAGCTGGCACAGACACGATGGGCCAAATGGCCTCCTTCTGTCTATAATTATATGATTAACTCTGGTGATGGAGAACAGTGGTTGCTGCCAGTGCTAGATGTAAATCTTTTGAAAAGTACAAATTCTGTTCTTCAAAATCAAATCGAATAACATCAGATTAAATAGGCTTAGTTTGTAAAACCTTAGAACCTTAAGTACCAGGAACAGTCACTTAATCTTCTGCACCTACTGTTTATACTGCATGGAGAGATGAGGTGCTGGGAGCCTGGTTGACTTTGCGAGACCTTCACCACTGCCTGCAATACAAATGAGGTATACAGAGATGGTGCTTTATGGCTGTTGCCAGACCGGGCATCTTGTGGTATTTCACATGTTCGACTTATGTACATTTCTGATGTTGTGTTCTAAGGGCTCTCTTATCCACTTGCAGTTGGTATAGTTAAGACATTTGTAAAAGTGAATTTTGGAAGGGAGAAATTACCTTCAGGTTAAAGGTGTGTTTTGAACAGTAGTAGCACAGTGACGGCTTTCAAAGGGCAAACGGTTAGGAACTGTTTCTGCTGGTAGCTGCTTCAAGTACAAGAGAAGGCAGGATTATAACTGAGTGTGAAGGAAGTTGGGAAGAATTGTCTCCCACAGCGTTGTGAGAATGTGAAATGGATTGCCAGAGGTGGCTGTTGGAGCAAGTTTGAGCAGATTTGATTGGGATATATAAAGGAAAATTGATAAGCATACGCAGAGAAAAGGGTATTAGAGGGAACATTTGGATGGGTGGCTTCACTGGAGGAGCAAACACTGATGCTACACAAGATCAGATTACTTTGTCGTAGGTTTCTAAGCATCTCTCCTGACCAATGTAGAAACTCCAGTCTTGTTACAGTAATTAAAGCCTAGTGGTGTGCAGGTAAATTAGGCTGGGTAGTGGGCTTTTGTGTTTCTCTGCCCGTGGTTATTCAGCTGTTGTGTGACTCTTACCAGTTGAATGGTTAGATACTTTAATTTAGCTGAAACACTCCTTTCAAATGGATTTTCAACTCTTGAAGGTTGCTCTCACCTCTAAAAAAGGAAGAGAAAGTTGTGAGTGATGAAGCATTACTCGCCACTTTCTGGGTGGTGGGGAGTTGTGGGTGGGGGAGCACAGAGAAGATTTGATTTAGTAGTGGGGAAATAAAACCTATGTTCCTATGTACAGGTCGACCTGTTAGAATGCACAACAGTTGAGTGTGACTTTGGTTGGTGCTTTAAAGCCAGTCTTGAGATCGAGATATCTTAATGTTATACGGATTGTTTCTGATTTATGGGTATGATGCATACTTGACAAATTGGTGTTCCCAACGGGACTGGGGGATCTCTAGTAGTTTGAGAATCGGTGTCGTTTGTTGATTTTCGCCAAACTATTTTAAGGGAAATGTCTGTGGTCCCTTTTGCTGTTAGTTACCATGTTTCATAGTCTAGAAATGTTTGGAGCAGATGTTCTGTCCAGAGCTCCTGAGGACATGTCATTCTGCTCCAGCGATGTGCAAGGGAGAGCTGTGGAGTTCACTGTAACAGTACGCAATGTCACATGTGGACTAATGTCGCGAGCAGCGACGTTCTGAATCTGAACGTCTCCCACACTTGGTGGGTGAATTATTTGGCAATTCAGTGGAAAATTTCATCTTAATGCAACTGTGGGTTGTCATTTAACATGGGAAGGAATGATCCATCCAACTTGAAGTTCACATTTCTTATTTCAACCTGCAGTGGGAGAGCAGGTAATGGATGAGTTCTCAGGAGTGGAGCATTTGATTTGCTTCAGCCAGCAGTTGGGTTAAGTCTTTACTCTTAATACCTGCCCTCGACCTTGAGCAACTCCTCCTGCACTGAGGATTTCATTTCTGCATTAGCCATCCTCAAGATATCTGTTAACTATTTAGTGCTGAGTTGTGCTGTGAAGGTGATATAAGGTGCTATATCAAATGCAAGGATTATTATAAACCATTGGCATATACTGTCCAAGGAGGACACGGCCTGTGATTAAAGTGGGTAAATTCAGAACGAATCTACCCAAACACTATTTCAGTGAGCGAATAGTGAACCTGTGGAACAGGCTCCCGAGGGAGACGGTTGAAGCAGGAAGTGTTGATTCTTTCAAACACAGATTAGATTGTTTTCTTTTAGGAAATAACATTATGAACTACGTATACAGTACATAGGTAGTTTGGGACATATGTGCATGCGACCGCCAGGACGTTGGAAGGTGAACTAGATGGACCTTGGTCTTTTTTCATTTAGCATTTCTTATGTTAAGGAGTTTTGCATTCAACAGAGTTTTTCATTAGCCAGTTTGAAGCGAAATGAAGCCAGGTTTATGGATAAAAAGAACCATGACTCATTTTATACAGTCAGGCTGCTGTTCAAAACCAAATCTTCAATTTAGTGCTGTTCTCTGTGTCAGTGTTTCAGGCTTGTCGGTTTGTGAAATGCTACCTCTACATTAGCGTGAAGGTGGTGCTCATTCCACCTGGGAGCTGGAAGCACAGGAGTATGAAGTTAGAAGATATTAAAATATAGTTTAAAGTATGGAACTTGACACAAGGAGGGAAAAGTAGCTTTTGTGTGTGAACTTGACAAATCAGTTGGCCTGAAACAGGAACTTTCCTGGACCTTCTGGTAATCTTGTAGATTAACCTCCTGAAAACTTCCACAGTTTTTAACTGAACCTTGCAATTACTGCGCAACAACAACAAATTGCATTTATATAACGCTCTTCGCGTGGGGTGGCGTCCTGGAGCACAAGAGACCAATGAGATGGGCAGTCAATTAATATTAATTTAGAGATAAATTTTGATCAGGAGCAAAGTAGAGTCCACACACCTCTGTTTACCTAGTAGTAAGTAGGAACCTGGTCAGTCGATTGACAGATCGCTTTTCTGGGGATAATAATTCCTTTTTAAAAAAATTGTTTGAGACACTACTGTGCACAACTGGCTGCTGCATTTCGCCCACAAAATATACAGTCAATTCATTTTATAGTATATTCTGTGAAGATGTCTTGAAGATGTGATAAGGCACTATATTAAATGCAAGGATTATTATTATTACCATATAAACCAAAGGCAGGTCTTTACCACTTGAATCACCAAGATCCTGAAGTTCTCAAGTAAATGGGGTGTTCAGCTGTGAATCTCATAATAGACTCTTATTTGTTTGAACTAGAATAGGCTGCAGCTGGAGGGAGCATCCAGTGTTTGTGAAGCAGCACAGGTTTTGTTCTGGACTGTGGCTTTATGTGGCAGGGATGTTATCAGGCAGAGGCGGGGTGATAGTTGTTTTCTGCAGCTGAATTTCTGCTGATGTCAGTCCTCCCAGGAATGTTTGCTGCTATGTTTTGGGAGCAGTTGCAGTTTGACCTGTAATGTAACTGGACTTGGCTCTACAAGTGCTAGCATCTACACTGATTGTTTTAGTTTAGGTTTATTTTGGGGGTTGCTGTTCTCCTGATGCAGATTAAAATCATAAATCATAAACTAGATTTGAATTGTAGCGGGTTGGATGTGTGTTCATGTAGATTGTATGTGACTATGTGTATTTGTGACTGAGTGTGACGGGAGTGGTTGTGCGCGCGCGTGTATCGGGGTGCGCGCGCGTGTATCGGAGAAGGTATTGTGGGGGGCTGCTCTATCTGGGGACATGCATTGGCCGGGGGTGTGTGTATGTAAAACGTAACTGGTGTTTACCTGAGCCGTAGGTATTACAGTTGTCCAGCTGGGAGATCCATGCCCGATGGTGCTTTGGCTCACATGGCTGATGCCTTGGGCACCATTGTTCTGAGTAACGTGTTCATTATCACTCAGGTGCTAATCTGTAATAACCTGATCATTTCCCTTTGTTGCAGACTCAGTTTCTGATTCAGGAGTGTGCGTCACTGATCACCAAGCCGAACTTTATCTCGACGCTGTGCTACGCCATTGACAATCCATTGCACTATCAGAAGGTAAGTGTATAGAAAGTTGCTGACTATCACACTGTTTGGTTTGGCATTTCATCACTTTGGGCTGCAAACTTTCACCAAATCCTTTTCAACTCAAGTTATTCAAATGCTCCTCCCCGCTCATATTGAGCATTTCAAGGAAGGCAAGATTATGGCTGGTTATGTCTGATCCTTCACTGCTGTCTTCATTGTGTGCACTTTGTTTGTAAAATATTTTTCTTGCTGGGTGGCTCGCTTGTTCCTTCAGTCTACCAGTTGTGCTTTGAAGTGAAGTTAATGATTTTTCTCTCCCTCTCCACCCTCTTCCCCTGATTTTTTTTATTCCAGTGGATAGAAAGGTTTCTTAGTATCTACTTGTTTACAAGCCCTGGCACTGGAGTGGACACAGTGACTTGAACCGGAAACTGAGTTGGCAGTTTAACATTTACTGAAATAACCTTCTTTTGCCTTTTCAGAGTCTGAAACCTTCACCCCATCTGTTTACGCAGCTTAGTAAAGTTCTCAAGTTAAGTAAGGTCCAGGAGGTAAGTGATTGAATCTGGTATTGCTGTTTTCTGTCACATTCGATGGCTTACAGTGTAGTTTATTGGTGAAGCTGACTATTAATTTTGCTGATTTCCTCTTTTTCAGGTTATCTTTGGCCTTGCCTTGCTGAATTCTTCTAGCTCGGATCTGCGAGGATTTGGTGAGCAGCTTGACTTGTATACACACAACAAATATACACTCCCTTTGTCCTGATTTGGGTTAGTGAAAATGTAGATGGGGGCCATCTGAACACAACGAGTTACAGAGATGCCCTTTCGCATTTGGACTTGAATCCATTCCAGCTTCAGATTCTTGGCTCTCCTTACTGCTGGTTCTCAGGTCCTGTGTAACATTGCCTTGAGGCCGTGTCAGTGTGGTTCCCAGAGCCTACAATCACAGTCCTAAGTGCGTCTCATTTACAATAGCTACAGGATGGCTGTCATTACAGAAGGTTATTGCCGTAATGCTGAAATGCTGTACTCTGTCCAGCGCCTTGGGACGTCCTCCCGACGTGAAAGGAGCTATACAAATGTAATGCTGTTGTTAGATTAAATGGACTAGTCTGTTTTTTCTCATGAGCTGAATCTACAGTTGTCCCTTCTCTTTCTCTTCTCCCCCCTCAGTGGAGTATATTAATTGAGAGGACTTGGTAGTTAGTTCTGGGTTAATAGCACCAAGTTTGGCCGTGGGGTGTCCTCCCAACATGAACAGTGCTATACAATGCTAACTTTCTACAGTTGACCGTCAACAAGACCAAGGCTCTTGCGCCAGCGCCTCTGCACCTCAGACTCTGGCAGCATCAGCCTCCAAGATTGCACACTCCACCTCACTAAGCCAGTCAGGAACCTGGACGTCTTGTTTGACCCTCAACTATTCTGCCCCCCCCCCACCACCACCACATCCGTGTCATGACCCACTCTGGTGCAAATTAATTGCACAGATTTGCTAAGGTGTAATCGACGGAGAAAAAAGCTAGGCCAGTCATACTTGGATTAGTGTAGAGATCTCCAATGGAACAGCAAGTTCCAAAACACACCTAGAAACATAGAAAGCACAGCAGGCGATCACTGTCTGTGCTGACTCTTTTAAAAAGCAACTCTTTCAGTACCTTCTAGGTAAAGAGCAGAGGAATGGGAGAGCAGAGTAGAGCAGGGGTGAGGGGGTCAGCACTAGCACATAGATGCTGTTTCAGGAGAATTGCTGTTTTAACGGCTGTGTCAGGCTGACCTAAAGATACCCCAGTGCACTGCATTATTGCATGCTGATTTGTGAAAGAATTGGATCAAAGTACTTACCAGGCAACGACAACTTAGTTCGGTCACTCAATTTGGTCACTTAATCTATGACTGCAATTGGCTACCACATTTTGTCCACAATATATACAGTCAATTCACTTTACAATATATTCTGTGAAGCGCTTTGAGATGTCTCAACAATTTGATAAGGCGCTATATCAAATGTAAGGATTATTATTATGTAACAGTTGGATGTGATGACTTTGGTGAGAGGCTGTCTTTAAATGTTCAAAATGTGTGTCTTAGACCAATGATAAATTTTGGCTTGGAAACAACAGACATCTTACCCCACTGATCCAACACCTTCGATAGGTTTAGCACAACCAGATTGTGAATTAGCCCTTGACTGAGCTAAAAGTATGTTTTTCCAGTGCTCCTGACAAGTTATCCTGCATGAAGAATGTAGACTTGCAAGTTGTTTTTATGGTGTTGTGAGTTTTGTGAGCTGTTGAGATTACTTGCATGGGGGAGATTTTGACAACTCTAAACCTAAAATGATTACAGTTTGATTTTTAATCCTGCTATTTCTTGATAAGCTGTTTGACCTGATTACTTCATGCTCTGAGTGACATCTTCCCCCAGTCATTCAGAGATAGATGGGCCTGTGTGTATAAAATACACCCCTTGAAATTCAACAAGAGCTTCTTTTTTAAATAAACCATGGTGTGATTCTCGGGACAATCGCATGAGGTGGGGCGAAGACCAGTTGATGTCAAACTGTATAGATGTAACCCCATTAATCTGCCTTGTAATCTGAGGTGTCCAGTTCTTTGTTGGACAGTTGGCATTGGGGCGATTGTAGCAGTTTGGGAATGTGCAAGCTCCACTGCAAATTACTTCTTGTGTGTATTTAAACATTTATTTTTATGTTTAGCTCTCCAGTTTGTGAAACAGAAGCTTCCAGATCTCCTGCGATCTTACATCGACGCGGACGTAGGTGGGAACCAAGAAGGTGGCTTTCAAGATATTGCAATAGAGGTCCTGCACCTGCTCCTCTCCCATCTCCTTTTCGGGCAGAAAGGAGCATTTGGTGTTGGACAGGAACAGATTGACGCTTTCCTTAAAACATTGCGCAGAGGTAAGCACCAGGGGACCATGATGGGTAGGAATGAAGGGAGTAGATTGGTACTGAGCAACACTGGACGTGCACTATCATATTACGCCCACAAAATATACAGCACTACACTTGTGTATATCCTGTGATGCGCTTTGAGACGTCACACCCTTGTGATAAGGTGCTATATCAAACGCAAGGATTATTATTATCAGGACAAGCCTGTGTGTCTGGTTTGCAGTGTTGAGGTTATGACCACTTTGGGAGGAGGGATATCGTTGCCTGGTCGAGTTAGATTTAACACAGGGTCATTCGGACATGAAACACTGGTTGAAGCAGAACTTCTTATAATTTTTACAAGGGGATTGGTCAAATCTTTGAAATTAAAATATCAACTGGTAAACAAGGAGAGCTATTCTTGAAAGAACCAGCACTTGTGCTGAATGTTATCTCCTGTCCTGTCAAATTCCCGTTCTGTGAGTGAACAATCTGTAATGCAGTGTTTACACAGTCTGCGGGTGATTGATTGTTGGCAGTGTGAAGGTGTCCTTGTGGGATGCGAGAGGAAAGTAGACAGGTACCTGAAAATTAATCTTGAAAGCTTTTGGGGATAGGGCACAGAAGTGCGATTGAATGATCTGCTTGTACTGAGAGCTAGTGCAAGCTCGGTGGGCTGAATGGCCTTCTGCATTGTAAATTTCTGTGTTGCTGAGCAGAAGCTGGAAATTGCATTCGGGTAAACCCATCTGGCCAGGTGGCTTGCTCGTGAGTGTGGCTGTGGGGAAGTGCACTGACACACGTGTTGAGTTTCTACTGAACTTTACAGTGTTGGAGGATGTGTTAATATTATCTGGTACTTTCTAACAGTATCATCACAATGAGGCAGAGTCCCGAACAGCCCTGTACTATACTCCTGCAATTCATTCATTGGTTGAATTTTTGTATTTTCTTTCCCAGATTTCCCGCAGGAGCGCTGCCCTGTGGTGCTTGCACCACTGCTATATCCTGAAAAACGGGACATTCTGATGGACAGGATCCTGTCTGATTCGGGAGGGATAGCGAAAACCATGATGGACAGCTCACTAGCAGATTTCATGCAAGAAGTAGGCTACGGGTTTTGTACCAGGTGCGTATCACTGTGGGTGATAGCGTAGGATACTCTAACCTATAGGAAGGGAGAGCTATTGGGGTTCCAGTCTTTAATTAACTGGTGGATGCATTTGACATGCCCTTGTTTAGCCTTTGTGTAGATAAATCAATATTTGAGTTAGGTTTCTGTACACACTGGCCAGACACCAGGTTTTCCTTTCCCATGTCACTGTGATCACTATTGTATCTAATCGCTGTGTGGCTGTGCACTCAATCCTGTGTGTGCAGCCTTGGGGAAGAGGTGTACCATAACCTGAGCTTCAATATTAACAGGCTGACACCTGTACATTTTTAATGTCTGGCACCTAATCCTTCAGGAGCTGCTGGTTAAGAGATTACTGCTCTAAGTACTGAGCTGTGAACACCAACAAGGTGCCAGCTTCAGTCCCTCGTCTGGCTGACTTATTTGACATGATGTGGGTCTGCAGTGGAGCATCTGTTATTGTTCCCTGCCTGGAAGGGGGCAAGAACTGGGCAGGATTGCTACTGCGGACTGTGATCCAGTCACACTGGAGAAAGTGGATGTGGGGTGACTTCTGGATGATGGTAGGATAGAGCCGGTCCTAATACTTCCCCTCCATTCACTTGCACCATCTGGGGTTATGTGATCGGGAGCATCCCGGTAAGATGTGCAGGCTGTTGTACAAGCACGGAGCAGTCTCTGCAGGAAGAATTGTGGAGAATAATCTTAGTGGGAATGAACGATTTGTTGGCATCCCAGCTTAAGTCAGCTGCACTGCTGACTCTGGGTCGAGGAGTTGTGGGTTAAAGCCTCATGTCAGGGATTTAGCATAGAGTCCATGCTGTTCTGGGTGAGTACCACATTGTCAGATGTGGCATTTTTTGATTGACACTAAACCGAGATCCCATCTGTATGTTCCAGGTGGATATTAAAAGATCCCACAAAATTATTGGAAAAAAGATGGGGGTTTCTTCCAATTTTCCTGGCCATCAGTATTCTATCTAAATTGGTTATGGACCTTGGTATCGCAAATGACTGCTGAATGTGCCTACAAAAAGTTTTTTTTAAGGTGTTTTGACTCATTCAAGCATGATTTCCTCATTAAAATGTCTCCCAATTGCAGTTTGAGCATAAAACTAAGGTTTGGATTTATTTAGGTGCCCTGATAAGGTTAAAGGGTCACATTATAGTGCTTTGGATTATGTGCTAGTTTACAGTGCGTTTGTGGAAGGGTAATGGCATTGTCCTCCCAAAGATGCTCTATAAATGCAATGTTGTTGTTGTCGTACTACAGTAAATGAGGCCTGAAACAAAATACCTCAATCGGAGACTTGATGTCCATTTGTATGACTTTGTTCATTACTATTATGTTTCTGTTAGATCTGGTCCCTCGAATCACCATGCCTCTCTGCTGTTAGTTTCATATTTAAAGCATATAGGTGGGTTAAATGGGCTCCTTCTGTGCTGTAAATGTCTGATTCTATAATTCTGATGCAGCTCAGCATGAAAATCTTATTTTCTTGCTAAATGAACACTTCTTATTTCAGTGCTGAAGAATGTCGCAACATCATCCTGCAGTTCGGGGTTCGGGAGATGACAGCCTCTCAGGTTGCCAGGGTATTGGGAATGATGGCTCGCACACATTCAGGTCTCACGGACGGAATTCCTTTGCAAGTAAGCAGATATGTTACTGCTAAACTGCCTGTTGAATGCACTTGCAGCTGCTGTACTTCTCAACTCATAGTTTCCAATGTCCTCAATTGAGGTGCATCTATTGGAAATGAGAGAATGTGTTTCTTGTTCAGGGTGAGGGGTTGTAGTGTTACATTATTTTTATTACACATCTTCTCTCTGAGGCGATTTGTTACACAGCTTGTGTCTGTGAGGTGGAGCTGAGCTCTGAACCTTCTGTTGGGTAGTGTGCGAGGCAGCGCATGGTGCAGTATGAACACCCAGGGCCCCACTCAAGTCTCAGCTGTGCTTCAGCAGCAGAGGAAATGGGGTCTCCTTGGAGCTGAACTGGCCCCAAAGTGACATGCCAGTCGGGGCAAAACATTGGGCAAGTTTTCTTACTCCACACATGCCTCTGTTTACCTAGCAATACTTAGTAACCCAGTTATTAAGTTGGTTGCCAGATCGCTTTCTGGAGGTAATAATAATTTGATCACTCAATCTGTGAGTGTTTGTGGGACGTTGCTGTGTGCAATTGGCTGCTGCATTTCGCCCACAAAATATACAGTCACTACACTACAGTGTATACTGTGAAACGCTTTGAGACGTCTCAAAGATGTGATAAGGCGCTGTATCAAATGCAAGGATTATTATTATGATGCCTGGCAATGGAATGTCGGAATCGAGCCAGTCTTCTGTGGCGGTCTTGGTAGACCGATTCCCGAGTACTGCTGATGACAACAAGGCCAGCCTGGCTCATCGGCAGGATCTGGAAGCCAGACCAGTCACTAGGGACAGGTAGTAATCCCACTCAACTCTGTTAACCCTGCAAGCCAAAGCCCTAACGGGTAGGGTGGTTCTAGCTGGACAAGCAGTGGGAAAGCTTTGCGGTTTTAGCTAGTTAGACTCCAGCAGTTACCTCAACGCACACTCTGGGGTCCCCCAAGCCTTGGCTCTTGCCAACCTGCGCCTCATCCTTTCCGGAATTGGGTAAGCAGGATACGTCCCTCCAGAGAGAGAGAAAGAGAGCGCATTCCATTCCAACAATCTATCTCTGGATTTCCATGTGTAGGTGGGATGCATGGAAATTTCAGTTTGGTTTGGAGACTGTTAAGCACATGTGTTGGACACCCGGCTGGGCAAAAAAAAGGAAGGACTGTGCTCCACTCACTCCCAGCACCCCACTGGGGACTGTGTGGTCGAAGCAGGATGGATGCTGGAAAGACAGCGTGATGCAAATTCAGAGACAAACATTTGTACCTTTATTGTAAACTAACTCATTGCTTTGTTTTCCAGTCCATCTCTAGCCCTGGAAGTGGAATCTGGAGTGACGGGAAGGACAAAAGTGACTCGGCACAGGCCCACACCTGGAATGTAGAAATATTTATTGATGTTGTGAAAGAATTGGTGAGTAGAATGATTGGAACAGTTGTACATATTACTGACAGCCACCTTGACTTGTGACCTATTAGCCCCAACATGCTGTGCCGCACATTGGTGCTTCATGTATGGTCCTGTGCCTCATGCTGGCTGGATGTGCTAGTGTGACCTTCATACTTATTGTGTGGGAAAGCTGGGGTTGTAATTGGATGAGAATTAGATTAAGAAATAATGCTCCAGAGGAAGTTGGGAGTGGTGTGTCAAAGCTTAACTGAACTTTTAAGGTGAGGTACTCAGCAAGTTCACTAACTTAGATGGGGCAGCGTCTCTCATATGCCCTAGTCTCAGGATGATTGCTTCTCACTGTCCATTGGAAGCTAAGTTGACTCGTGCACACTGTGGTTTGGGGACAGTTCAAATATATTTGTGATTGTGGCATTGGGAGGTTGAACTTGTGGTTGTTGAACACTCCAGCACCAGGACCAATCCTCAGCCAACGTTTGCCTGAATGTGAGAAAGCCAGTTATTCCCTGTGAAAGGCTCTTTGTGTTTGAATTGCTGCCCAGTGGCAGAGGGAGTTGTTCAATGATTATCTCCACTCAACAGAAATGCAGTTCTAGCATAAATAATGTGACAAACATGAAGGTTATCAGGGGACAAGTTTACATGAGAAGTTTGCCTGTGTCCTAGTTTGTGTTGGGTGAAATGTGACCAAACATTGGGTCAGGGTAACTTGACTGCAGGTTTACATGCTGATACCACATGAAATATAACATACAGATGAACTAGTTTGAGCTGGTGTTTATACTGCATATGGGCTCTACCTCTTGTATTCCCTTTGCCTATCAAGTTTTCCTTTAAATAAATACATTGATGCTGTTTGCTTCAACCACAGCTTCTGACAGTGAGTTCCACATTCTGCTTCCCTGCATGAAGAAAATCTGCCTTTTACAGCTGCTGCTGGACAGCTTATACTTGTGCCCCTTGTTTTGGACTTGCCAACTAGTGGAAATCAACATCCACCATGGAATCCTTTTAAACCTCTCAATCAGGTCCCCTCTCAATCGTTTCAATTCTAGAGAGAGAAGCTGCAGTTTGTTCAATCTTTCCTGATGTCTGTATCCATTCAACCTCAGTGACATGATATCCTGGTAAATCTAGGTAGTTGGTAATAGACCATTGCCCTGGTCCCATGATATGAGATGTGTAAATATAAAAAGTGTGCAGCTGCTGTCAGTAATATTTCATTTACTGGCTCCCATCTGGTGATGTAGAGTTGCTGTTCAGTTGACTGTGCCGGGTGATGCTGCTGGAGGTGTGGCTGGCATTTATTCTGCACATGTGCAGGCTGCAGTGACACCTGGGGAAATGTCAGGAGTGCTACTAAACAGCTAATTATCTGCGACTCCGGCTCCGGAAAGCTGCTTCCTAAACCTCATGGTCCCATGATATGAGATGTGTGAATATAAAACGTCTGTGCTGACTCTTTGAAAAGAGCTTGCAAATCAACCCCACTCCCCCGCGCGCTCTCCCCATAGCCCGGATCAACCCCACTCCCCCGCGCGCTCTCCCCATAGCCCGGATCAACCCCACTCCCCCGCGCGCTCTCCCCATAGCCCGGATCAACCCCACTCCCCCGCGCGCTCTCCCCATAGCCCGGATCAACCCCACTCCCCCGCGCGCTCTCCCCATAGCCCGGATCAACCCCACTCCCCCGCGCGCTCTCCCCATAGCCCGGATCAACCCCACTCCCCCGCGCGCTCTCCCCATAGCCCAGGTCAACCCCGCGCGCTCTCTCCATAGCCCGGATCAACCCCACTCCCCCGCGCGCTCTCCCCATAAACCTGCAAACTTGTCCTCCCCAAATAATTGTCTACTCGCTTAACAGTTGTTATCAAATCGGCTTCCACCGGCCTTTCAGGCAATGATTCCAGATCCCAACAACTCACTGTGTGAAAACATTTCTCCTCCCCTCCCCTCTGTTCCTTTTAGCAACTGTTTTAAATCAGTGCCCTCGGGTTACCGACCCACCGCCAGTGGGAATAGTTTCTCCTGTTCACCCTATCGAATCTCCTCATAATTTTGAAACTTCTATCAAGTCTCCTCTTAACCTTCTCTGCTCCAGTGAGAATAATCCGAGCTTCTCTACCTCTCCTGATCACTGAAGTCCCTCATTCCTGGTACCATTCTGGTCAATCTCCTTTGCACCCTCTCCAATACCTTGACATCCTTCCTAAAGTGTGGGGCCCAGAACTGAACCCAGTCTCTCGCTGAGGCCTCACCAGTGTTTTATATAAAGCTTCATCATAACCTCCTGACTTGTGTATTCTATGCCCCTATTTACAAAGCCCAGTATCCCATATGCTTCTTTAACAGCTGTATCTGCCTGTGCTGCCACCTTCAAAGATTTACTGATATGAACCCCAGGTCTCTCTGCTCCTTCACCCCCTTTAAGACTGTACCATCAGCTTATATTGCCTCTCCTCATTCTTTCTCACAAAATGCATCACTTTGCATTTCTCCACATTAAACTTCATCTGCCACGTGTCTGCCCATGTTACCAGTCTGTCTATGTCCTCTTGCAGTCTGTTACTATCTTCCTCACTGTTTATTACTTTTCCAGCTTAGTATCATCTGCGAACTTGGAAATTGTCCTCCCTGTACCCAAGTCCAGGTCATTTATATAGATCACAAACAACAACAAGATTACATGTGTATAGTGCCTTTCACGTCGGGAGGACTTCCCAAGGTGCTGGACAGTGTACAGCATTTCAGACCCGAGCTGGGGTCAGGGGGGAGAGGGGAAGGGGGATGACCAATGGCATGGTCGAAAAGGAGGGTTTTGAGACGGGACTTGAAGGAGGCTAAGGAATAGGCGAGGCGGAGTGATTGGGAGATGGAGTTCCAGAGGTTGGGGTCAGAGTGACTGAAGGCTCTCCCGCTAATGGTGGGGTGGGTCGGGGGACGTGGAGCAGCCAGAGCCGGCTGAGCGGAGGGAGCGGGCGGGTTCGTAGGGAGTTAGGAGGTCGCAGAGGTGGGGTGGGGCGAGGCCATTGAGGGCTTTGTAGGTGAGGACCAGGATTTTGAACGGTATTCTCTGAAGGATAGGGAACCAATGGAGTCGGGTGAGAATAGGGGAGATGGGGTCACAGAGTTTGGTGCGGAAGAGGACACGGGCTGCAGAGTTCTGGATTATTGGAGGGAGGAGTTGGGAAGGCCGACACGCAGGGAGTTTGCATAGTTGAGCCTGGAGGTGATAAAGGCATGAACAAGAGTTTCAGCGCCTGAGGGGTGAGGTAGTGGTGGAGTCGGGCGATGTTACGGAGGTGAGGGAAGGCAGAGCGGGTCATGCCTTGGATGTGGGGGAGAAAAGACAGTTGAGGGTCGAACAGGACACCCAGGTTCCTGACTGGCTGGTGAGTTGAAGTGTGCAACCATGGAGGTTGATGCTGCCAGAGCCTGAGGTGCAGAGGCGTTGGCGCGAGACAATCAGGAGGTCCTCAGTCTTGTTCACGTTCAACTGTAGGAAATTTGCCCTCATCCAGGACTTGATGTCCGACAGGCAGTCTGTCAGGACAGCAGTGGGACCTGGAGTTGAGGATTGAGGCAGAAAGATGGAGTTGTGTGTCATCCGCATACATATGGAAGTTGACCCCATATCTGCGGATGATGTCACCAAGGGGGAGCATGTAGATATTAAAGAGGAGACCAGGACAGAGCCCTGGGGGACGCCAGACGTGACAGTGCGGGGACTGGAGGAGAAACCGTTAGAGGCAACAATATGGAGACGGTTAGAGAGATAGGAATCGATCCAGGCAAAGGCAGGTCCGCAAAGATTAAATAAAGAGGAGAGGCGGTGTATGAGGATGGAGTGGTCGACAGTGTCGAGGGGGGCAGAGAGGTCGAGGAGGACAAGGAGGCAGAGGGAGCCCTGATCACAGATGTTCAGAATGTCATTAGTGACTGTGACCAGGGCTGTTTCCATGCTGTGGCACACAGTGGTCCCAATACCGATCCCTGGGGGACATCACTGCCCTCCAGTCAGAAAAGCAACCGTTCACCACCACTCTCTGCTCTCTGTCTCACAGACAGTTCTGTATCCGCTGACACTGTCCCTTTAATACCGGGGCTTCTATTTTGCTACAAGTCTCTTATGTGGTATTTTATCAAAAGCCTTTTGAAAATCCATATAAACGACATCAACTGCACTATCTTCATCCACTCTCTCCATTACTTCATCAAAAGACTATCAGGCTTGTTAGACTTGATTTGCCTTTAACAAATCTGTGTTGCCTTCATTAACCCATGTTTTTCTAAGTGAAAATTTATTTTGTCCTGAATTATAGTCTCTAGAAGTTTCCCCACTACTGACGTTAGGCCGACTGGCCTGTAGTTCCAGGGTTTATCTTTCTGCCCTTTTTGTCAGTGGAGTAACATTTGCAATCCTCCAGTCCTCTGGCACCACCGTGGTGTCCAAGGAGGATTGAAAGATTGTGGCCGGAGCCTCCGTTATTTTCATCTTTGCTTCCCTCAGTAACTAGGATGCATCCCATCCAGACAGGGTGACTTATCTACCTTGAGCACAACAACCTTTTTAGTATCTCCTCTCGGTTTATTCTTATCTAATCCAATTTCTCTCCCTTCTCCTCCAATACTGTGGCATTGACTGCATCCTCTTCTTTTGTGAAGACAGATGCAAAGTCTTCATTCAGTATGTCAGCCATGCCCTCTGCCTCCACAAAAAGATTTCCTCTTTGGTCCCTAATTGGACCCACCCGACCTTTGACTAATCGTTTATTCTTTATATGCCTATAAAATACCTTGGGGTTCCCCTTTATGTTCCCACTAATCTTTTCTCATACAATCTCTTTGCCCCTCTTATTTGCTTTCTCAGTTCTCCTCTGTATTTTCTATATTCATAGATTCATAGAATGTTACGGCACAGAAGGAGGCCATTCGGCCCATCGAGTCTGTGCGGCTCTTTGACAGAGCAACTGACTTTTATTAACCCCACTCACCAGCTTTCTCCCCATAACCCCACAAACCTGTCTTCCCCCGATACCTATCCAGTTCTCTCTTAAAAGCTGTTATCGAATCGGACTTCACTGCCCTTTCGGGCGGATCATTCCAAATTCCAACAACTCGCTGAGTGAAAACATTTCTTCTAACCTCCCCTCTGCTTCTTTTGGTAGATATCTTAAGACTGTGACCATGGGTCACAGACACACCTACCAGCGGAAACCGCTTTTCCCTATCTCGCCTGTCAAAACCTTTCATGATCTTGAAGACCTCTGTCAGGTCCCCGCGTACCCTCTGCTCTAATGGGAAAAGTCCTAACTTCTCCAGCCTGCCCTCATAGCCAATTCTATTTGATTATCTTCTGTATTTTGGACCTGACATTTACCATAAACCTCCTTTTTCTGTTTTATTTTAATCCCAATTTCTTTGCTCATCCAGGGAGGTTTGGATGCCTTACCTTTCCCCTTTGTGGGAATGTCCCTGAACTATCTCCTCCTTGAAGGTTTCCCATTGCTCATTAGCTGTTTACCTGCCATTCTTTCTTTCCAGTCCACCTTGGCTAGGTTCCTTTTTAACTCACTTAAATTAACCTCTTCCAGTTGAGTATCTTCACCTTTGATGGTTCCTTGTCCCTTTCCATAAGTTCTCTAAACCTAATGATGTTGTGATCACTGTTGTCCAGATGCTCTCCTGAAACCTGCTCCACTTGTCCACTTCATTCTCAGAAAACGAGATCCAGCACTGCTTCCTTCCTCGTTGGGCTGGAAACAAACTGATCCAGAAAGTTCTCCTGCACACATTTTAGGAATCCTTCCCCCTCCTTGCCCTTTACACTGTTATTTTGCCGGACTATATTAGGATAATTGAAGTCCCCCATTATCACTACTCTATTGGTTTTGCATCTTTCTGAAATCTGCTGCAGATTTCCTCGTGTCTCTCCTTCCCACTATTTATGGTCTATAGTGTACACTTAACAGAGTAACAGCTCCTTTTCTGCAACTTAGCTCTAACCAAATGATTCTGTTTTGGACCCTCGAGCACATCGTCCCTTTCCAGAGCAGTAACCGTGTCTTTAAACAATATTGCCACCATCCCCCACACCCCCTTTCCCCCTCCCTATCCCTCCTGAATAATTGTAGCCGGGATATTCAGCTCCCATTCCTGCCCTTGTTTGAGCCAGGTCTCCGTTATTGCCACTACATCATCACCTCATGTGGTAACTTGAGTCGCAGCTCATCAACCTTATTTGTCACACTCTGTGCATTTATGCACATGCACTCCAAGACCGACTGGTCTGTTCTGCATTTCTGCCCTGTCTAATCCCTCCTTTTTCCGGATTAACTCATTATTATTATTATTATTATCACATTGCTGTTTCTCTCCCAGCCCCCAATGTAGCTTGTTCTTCCTCTCTAATGCTACATCCTGATTCCCTTCTCCCCTCAAAATTAGTTTAAATCCTTCCCCACAGCACTAGTTAAACTCCCTGCGAGGACATTGGTCCCAGCCCTGTTCAGGTGTAACCCACCCACCGTGTTCAGGTCCCACCTGCCCCAGAACTGGTCCCAATGATCCAGGAACCTGAAGCCCTCCTTTCTGCACCATTTCTCCAGCCATGTATTCATGTGTTTGAGCTGCTGTTTTGATACTCACTTGCGAGGCACTGGGAGTAATCCAGAGATCACCACCTTTGAGGTCTTGGTCTTTATATGAGAATATGAGAAATTATAAACTGCTTTTGTAGATTAGCTCATTCTCATCCTCCAGGAAACTTACAGGGCGTTTCTTTTACCTGCCATTCTAATGGGTAGGATGGTCCAAGCTGGGCAACCAGTGGGAAACATGCCAGATAGTGCTTTCAATTGCAACTCTGTCATTTTAGTTAGTTAAACTGCAGCAGGTATCCTGAATACATGCTCTGGGGTCCCCAAGCCTGGGATTTGCCAGCCTGCACCTAATAGTCTCTGGAATTGGGTACATAGGCAGTGAGTGTGCATTCTATTCCAGTGCATGCATCCCACCCATGCCTAGGTGGGGTGCATGGAATTCTGTTTGGTTTGGATACTCTTTAAGTGTGGTTGGTTGATGGTTCTCAGCATTTGTCAGATACCCAGCTGACCAAAGAAAATGCTTCTCCAGGTATCTCGAGGATTAGGTCAGCGAATCACTGTTGTGTTGATCTGTCGTGTTCTTGGTCAAGCAGCAGTGCAGAGTGGAGCTCCTCTTAGACTGAAGCAATTTTGTTTTATAAAAACAAGCGACTTGAGCCTGGTTCAGCATACTGCGACTTTACCTCAGCCCCCGCACGCAGCAAAAAGCTTGGTGTATGTGGCTTATAACAACAACAACTTGCACTTATATAGCGCCCTCCACGCCGGGCGGCGTCTCAGAGCGCCTATCTCAGTCTGTAGCTTATTACAGCCTGTTTGAAAACAACAACAAGATTCCATTTGTAGAGCACCTTTCACATCGGGAGGACGTCCCAAGGCGCTGTACAGTTGGGTCAGGACCCAAGCAGGGGGGAGATGGTCAGGGTGAGGGGAGGGGGTAGAGAGTTGAGAGGGGAGCTGAAGGCTGAAGGTCAAAGAGAAAGGTCTTGAGACCGGCCTTGAAGGAGGAAAGGGAGGAGGCAAGGCGAAGGCACTGGGGGATAGAGTTCCAGAGCCTAGGGGCTATATGGTAAGTTTTCTTGCTATGGATTCAGCGGTCCATCTTGCCTATCATGTCTGCCTGGCTCTTTTACCTTTTCCCCCTCTATATAATTTGTACCTTTTAGATCTTTATCTGTTTTTCTCTAAAAGCAAATGTGAATATTGCCATTTTGCAGGATGGTTGAAAAGGAAATCCTAATTTGAAAGCCTTTAATGATCAGTCAGTGAGAAACCCTTTAAGTTTAATAATTCTGAGGTGTATGTAGTCTGCCTAGGACACGTTGACTTGAAGTGGATGTGAGTTGCTGATGGAAATGTTTTGCTGTAAATCCACAACAGGTCCTCAGCTTGGCATTGAGAGCTAGTTTCAGGCGTGAGATTAAGCATCTCATTGACGCTGGTCGATCTGCTGTGGATTTCTCAGTTGTTGCGTTTGTTTGATTTCCAGCTGATTGACTGGAGAGAGAGCGAGAGAGAGACGTGCAGTTTATTTCTGGCCACACTGTGTGGGTGAGACCTGAGCTCTGCCACATCACATTAGCTTGTGCAGTGGCTCAGCCAATCGTGCTGCAGGCGTGTGCAGCCAGTCTATGCTTGTAGTTTGGTAGCTGAAGTGATGATCTGTGAGCCCACTGTCCGCACACAGTATTTTGCACTCTTTAAAGGCTGGAGAAGAGCCATATTTATGTTTCCGCTCCCCTCTCTGGAGGCTGGCTGCTGTGATGAAGACTTCTGCACGTGAGCAGTTTTGTTGATTTAAAATGCAAGCTCGCACCTCCAGCCAGGCTCAGTGCTGACCAAATAAAAACACATGTCGCTGGGAACACTCAGCAGGTCAGGCAGCATCTATGGAGAGAAGGGATTTGAATGTAAGGATCCTTCCGGGGTCCCTTTTCTCCATAGATGCTGCCTGACCTGCTGAGTGTTCCCAACGACTTCTGTTTCTGTTTCAGATTTCCAGCATCCGCAGTATTTTGCCTTTTGTTTCCAGGTTGACTAAACATACAATAGATGGCTTGTGTAGAGGTACACCCCAAGCTGCTGTGTTCCTGAGCTTGTGATGGAGGGTGAAGTCCTTCCCCATTACTCTGGAAGTAGCCAGGCTTGTTTCCCACCTGAGCGGCAGTGCAGCAGAAACTCACTGAATCTGGGATTGTTCTCCTTACAGCAGAGAAGGTCAAGGGGAGATTTAATAGTTATTCAAGATTATAAGGGTTTTTATAGAGAAGATCAGGCAGGTGGCAGGTGGGTCAGTACTGGCAGGTGGGTCAGTAACCAGAGGACACAGATTTAAGATAATTGGGAATAGAACCAGAGGGGAGGAGAGTTTTTTTTACACAGAGAGTTGTTAAGGTTTGGATTGCACGGCCTGAAAGCGTCAGAGAAAACAGATTCAATAACAACTTTCGAAAGGGAATTGGATAGAGACTTGGAAAGGGAAAATTTGCAAGGATATGGGGCAAGAGCAGGAGAGTGGGACTGATTGGGCAGCTCTTCCAAAGACCCAGAACAATGGGCTGAACAACCCCTTTTGTGCTGTAATATTCTATGAATCTCAAACGGTTTCTCTGTTGTGGTTACAGAATCCAAATCTGAATTTCAAAGAGGTGACCTATGAGCTGGATCACCCAGGATTCATTCTTCGGGACAGCAAAGGGCTCCAGATTGTGGTGTATGGCATCCAAAAGGGCATGGGAATCGAGGTCTTCCCTGTGGATCTGATTTACAGGTCGTGGAAACATGCAGAAGGACAGGTAAGATGGTGAAATCACTTTTTATGTTCAAAAGTTCTTGTTTTGATCAGTTAATAATTATGTAAATATATGTGTCTCTTTAGACCCCTGATATTGTGTGATAGCAGGGTAACATTTCTCCAAGAGGTTACTGTGCTGGGTGCCAAGAAGAGCTGTATAGTTGATCCCAATGTGGCATGAAGGAGCCTGTGTTTAAGTATATATTAAAGTAGAATTTATGCCATGAATTGTATAATGTATAAGTATAAATCTGGACAATGTTCTCCTAAGGCTTCATTTTCGGCATGGTGGGTCAGAAGGTAAATATTTGCAGTGTGGATTAGGATAATCCTGGTGCTGGGTTACTGAGCAAAGTGAAACGTTTCTGACTGTCAGTGTCTGCTCGTGTTGAGTGGTGTGAACCTAAGCAGTTCCAGTTCAGTCAAACCTAGGGTTTCTCCCTGACTGCATTGTGTCACCAGAGTAGGATATGAACACCAGGGCTTGTATAGTGCCTTTTTAGTACGGTAAAGTTTTGGAGTGCTTTACCAGACACATCGAGCAAGGGAGAGGGGAACCGAGGGCAGGTGACTGAAAAACAGCAGTGGCTTTAAAGCCAAGTTCTGGGGAAGTCAGTTGGCTTTTAATGCCAATGGTTGCCGTGATAGATGGCAGAAGTCTTAGCTGGACTCTTCACTGGGTTGGCAGTGCTAATGATTGCTGGTGGTACAGGGCTCTGCTCAGTGTAGGGATTCTATTTCCTGCTGGGTGTGCATTCTGGTGTCTCAGTGCAATCTTACACTCAAGGTTTTGAGGCTTAGGAATGCTGGACTCTGGCATTAGAGCATTATTAACAACAATAACTTGCATTTATACAGCACCCCTCCTCCGACCCTGCATGCTTGATAGTGGTGGAGCACGATGCCGAGCTGGGGGAAGTGACCGTAGGCACAGTTGAAGAGGATGGTGTTCAGGCGCGATCTAAAAATGGGGAAGGAATGGGCAAGGCGGAGGAATAGAGGGAGAGTGTTCCAGAGTTTCAGGGTGCCATAATATTAAATAGTATGTTAAAGCACCATAATATAAAGAAAGCAGAATTGGGAATAACTTGGGATGCTGGAGTGGTAATTCCCAGAGATGTTCAATGATTTTCTCCCAGGACTTTTATTCTGTGTGAGCGGAAAATCCTCACTGCCTTTTCAAAATGTGCCCTCGTATGGTTCATAAACCTAGCCCGAGCCTCACTGTGGGCTTTTTAAAAAGAGGTTTACATGGCTGTGACGCTCTGCTGGGAGTGATGCCTAGTACTGCCCACGTTTCGTGACTGGGGTCAGTCTGAACTTCTAACCTTTTAGAGCATGTGGAAATGATGGTTGTCAGTAATGCTTCAATGGCAGCTTGTTCTCTCAATCCCCCAGGAATTGTCCAGTGGTAAGTATATTGACCCAACCAAACCCTGCAAACAGTATTCATGTCAATTCAGTGTCAGCTAGCAAGCTGAGTCTAAAAGGTCTTTAGATCTTTGCTGCTTGGTCAAAATTCCATTTTTAAGATTGTTAAAGATGTCAAACAAACAACATTTGTGCTGCAGTTGTGGAATATAATTCCAGTGAAAGTTTTAATTGGACAGGAAGTAAGTGTCAGGAAGGGAAACTGATTTCTGGGAAATAGCTACTGAATTGGGAATTGACAATCGGTGATTTGACTGCTTGCAGGGAAAGAAGGTCTGGGATTTATTTGTGTTTTGCTCATTTCAGTCGTGCTGTGAATTTGGTGGTTATGTCCTGGCAGAGAGATGCAGAGCAGCAGCAAGGTATTTCCTCAGTGAGGGGAGTTTGTGCTTGGCCAGGCATTGTGCAGTGTGGACACTCGTGGCTGCTAACCTTGTTTACAGCGGAGTCCTGTAGTAATAATAATAATAATAATCCTTGCATTTGATAACAATCAAATGCATCCTTGTTCTTCATAACAATCCCCAATGGAGTTTGAAGCTACAGCTTTTTGGGAAAGTGCATTTCACATTCTATAATAATAATCCTGACATTTGATAGAGCGCTTTTCACATCTTCTAGACGTCCCAAAGCGCTTCACAGAATATACTGTAAAGTGAATTGACTGTATATTTGTGGGCGAACGCGGCAGCCAATTGCGCACAGCAATGTCCACAAACACTCGTGGATTGAAAACGACCAATTTATTATTGTTTTTTTTGGAGGGATTATTATTAGGCGTGTGGAGCAAGGAAACTTGCCGAAGGTTTTGCCCTGCCTGGAATTGAACTCCGGTCTCTCTGTAGCTCAGTGGTTACAGCACTCACCTTGTAAGCCAGAGGAACTGGGTTCGATTCCCAGGCAGGGCGAAACCTTGTATATATTTCCTTACTCCACACGCCTCTTTATCTAGCAGCGATTAGGAACCTGGTTGTTAGTCGATTGGCGGATCACTTGTCCGGTAGTGCTCATCCATTTTTAAAAAAAACTCAATCCACAACTGTTTGTTTGACACTGCTGTGCGGAATTGGCTGCTGTGTTTCACCCTCAAAATATACAGTCAATTCACTTCATATGAATTGCTTTGAGACATCTGGAAGACGTGATAAGGCGCTCTATCAGGTGGAAGTAGTATTATTACAGCACAGGCATGGCAAACACTTGCTTTGTTGCACTGTTTCATTTCTTTTTACACCAACGATGAGCATTTGGGGCTTTTCAGTTTTTATATTCACACAAATAAAGTTGAGAGCTGGTTCTCTTCCTCCTTTAAATTGAAGGTCAGAGTAGGCGGCCATCTTGTATTTCAAGTCATTCAATTCTCTTGGGATTAAATGTTTTTAAAATTTTGCAATGCTTTTCCCCCTTGATTGAAGTGTACAACACAGAATGTCTGACCCTGCAGCACTGTATAAACTTGCCATTGAATTGGATAGCATTGTGCCCTGTGTGCTAACACAATACTCAATGGCCGTCTCTTGTCCCGTCTCTTGTTTTCCAGCTCTCCTTTATTCAGCATTCGCTTATGAACCCGGATGTGTTCTGTTTTGCTGACTACCCCTGTCACACAGTGGTCACAGACATCCTGAAAGCCCCTCCAGAGGATGACAACCGGGAAATTGCCACATGGTACGTCTTTTTTCCTCCAAAATCTAGGAATTACTGGGGAACCCCAGGTGCAGTAGCTCAGAGCCTGCTTTCTAAGTCGCGGCTGATGTCACTTCCTTCATAAAGGAAGGAGACCTTGCCTCACCTCCCACGCGTCACATGCAGGAAGCGCTACTATTACTTCCCACTTTTTCACACAGTGCAGGAGGTGATACTGACATCACTTTGCAATGGAAGTGACTTAGGACCCAGTACTCAACAGCGGAACACAGGTGTAGTGGGTTTCCAATCAGCATAACAACAAAGGGCATGAGTCCCGTAGATGTGGTGGGAGTTAAGGGCAGTGCTGTGCAGGTCAATTTACCCTGAGTTTAAAGGCTGAGAACATGGTTATTTGGGAGTAGTATAAGATTTGAGAATTTCCTTTCGTTATTTGATCCTGTAGTCTAACATAATTTAGTAGAGAAACAGTTGTTTTGCATTGTTCACTTTGAGAGGGTTGGATGGCCTGCTGGGTCTATAGTGTAATGTCAGTACTGTTCCACATGTACTAATCCAGTTCCACTGAAGCTTGTTCTATGAGGAATGTTTTGATGCGCAGGTTCTCGAGTTCTGGTTGAACACTCCATCCAGATAGAAGCAAAACTTGCATTTTTGCAGCCCTTACAATGCTGAAATGCCTCAAAGTGCTTTACACTAAATACTTTTCAGTGTAGTGCTTTTTTGTTGGCGAACGCAGCAGCCATTTGCAGCAATACTCCTGTAGAGAAGATGGTTCTGCAAGTTAACGAAGGCTGTTCATTGACAGCCACCTGTAGCAAGCTTTTAGTTGCCACTGGTTACCAGGTGGCTGTTGAGCAGGAGAGATCCAAAAATCTGGGTTCTGCAGTATAGGCTGATGTTGATCAACATCCTGTGATTAAAGTGATTTTTGGTGTATTTATTTTGAGGAGACAGCTGTGGCTGCTGCCTTCACGACACCTGTTGCTGACTGTTTCATGCTTTCATTGCAGGAAAAGTCTGGACCTTATAGAAACCTTACTACGACTTTCAGAGCTGGGACAGTATGAGCAGGTCAAACAGCTCTTCAGCTTTCCCATCAAACACTGTCCGGACATGCTGGTACTGGCCTTACTGCAGATCAACCCAACCTGGCACACACTGCGCCATGAGCTAATTTCCACCTTGATGCCAATTTTCTTGGGCAATCATCCCAACTCTGCCATCATCTTGCACTACGCATGGCACGGACAGGTGAGTGCAATGGTTGGGGTCTGTGTGAAGTGGATAATTCCTTAGCTTTGAAAGTCATTGCAAGTTCCACAGTTTAGCAATGGCTATTGCAGTTAGCATGCTGCCAGAGCACCCTATTGTATCTCCAATACAAAACAAAATTACATTTGCACAGCGCCTTTCACGTTTGGAGAACACCCCAAAAAGCTGGACAGTCAGGGTTTTGTACCCGAGTGGGAGGTTGGGATCAGGGAGGATAGAGAGCAGGGAGGGTAGGAGTAGCAGGGTGACTGAAGGCACAGTCGAAGAGGAGGGTCTTGTGATGGGCCTTGAAGGAGGCAAGGGAGGGAGCAAGCTGAAGGGACTATGGGATGTAGTTCCAAAGGATGGGGGCAGAGAGGCTGATGGTAGGGCAAGCTGGGTGAGAGACATGGGGCAGACCAAAGTGTGCTGAGCGGAGCAGAATCTGCGATTGGGAAATGTAAGGTGTAAAGGCATCGATGTGGACACAATCAGCAGAAGATATAAATATATGCAAGGTCCTTCCTGCCATGCTGGAGGTGAGTGAGTTCTAGTGCTCCCCTCTGGCATGTTCAGTAACCTGAACTGCTCATTCAGCTTGAAAATCTATTGCTTTACTGGTCTTGTAACTCAACTCAATTCTGTATCACACTGAGGACATAACTGCTCCTGTTATACTTTAGTACTAAATTCAGATAATTGTGAGCGGCACTAACCTTGATAAAGAGGACCGTTGTGAAGTCCTGATGGTGCTGGATAGTAACCTACAACAAGAACAAAATAACATTTATAGAGCGCCTTTCACATTGGGAGGACGTGGGGCGAGCGAGGCGGGGGACGTTAAGCAGGCCGGAGCCTGCTTAACGGAGGGAGTGGACAGGTTGGTGGCGGTTAGGAGTTCGTAGAGATAGGGGGGAGCAAGGCCATGGAGGGAGGAGTTCGGGAGGCTGACAAGCAGGGAGTTTGTGTAGTCAAGCCTGGATGTTATGAATGTGTGTATGAGGATCTCAGCGGCCTGCGGTGTGAGAGAGTGGCGAAGCTGGGTGATGTTTCGGAGGTGGGGGAAGGCAGAGCGGGTCGTGATATGGATGTGGAATAAAAAGAACAATTGAAGATCAAACAAGATGCCAAAGTTCCAGACTGGCCCAGTGAGGTGGAGTGTGCAACCATGGATGGTGATGCTGTCAGTGTCTGAGATGAGGAGGCACTGATGGGAGCCAATCAGGAGAGCCTCATTGATGTTGAACTGAAGAAAGTTCGCTCTCAACCAGGACTTGAAGTCTGATAGACAGTCTATCAGGACAGCGGTGGGTCCTGGAGTCCAGGGAGGCAGAGAGATGGAGTCAGGTGTCATCCACATACATGTAGAAGTTGACCCCATATCTGTGGATGATGTCACCAAGAGGGAGCATATAGATATTGAAGAGAAGGGGATCAAGGACAGTGTCCTGAGGAATACCACATGAGATGGTGTGGGGTCTAGAGGAGAAGCCGTTGGTGGAGATGAAGTAGACACAGGTGTGAGAGGTACGATCTGAACTATTCAAGGACAGAACCATGAAGGTTGAGGTGAGAGGAGAAGTGGTGGAGGAGGATAGAGTGGTCAACGGTATCGAAAGCAGCAGAGGATGAGGAGGCAGAGGGAGCCCTGGTCGCAGATAGACAAAATGCATAGGAACATAAGAAGTAGGAGCTGGAGTCAGCCATTCGGCCCCTCGAGCCTGTGCCCCACCATTCAATAAGATCATGGCTGATCTTCTGACCTAACTCTAATTACCTGCCCTCTCCCCATATCCCCCAATCCCTCCATTCTGTAAAAATCTATCAGTCTCAGCCTTGAAGATGTTCAAGGACTGACATCTACAGCCTTCTGGGGAAGTGAATTCCATAAATTCACTGCCCTCTGAGTGAAGAAATATTTCCTCAACTCTGTTCTAAAAGGCTGAGCCTTAATTTTCAGACTGACCTCTGGTTATAGATTCTCCCACCGGGGAAACAGACCCTCAATATCTACTTTATCAGCCCTTTAAGAATCTTATGTTTCAATAAGATCCCCCTAATTCTTCTGTACTCTATAGAGAATACAGCCCCAGTTTATTCAGCCTCTCCTCATAGGTCAGTCCCCTCATCCCAGGAACTAACCGAGTGAATCTACGCTGCAAATGCAGATGGACCTAGTGAGCATAGATACGTAATTTGAATTAAAGAATATAGTTGAACAGTACGCGTAGGTCAAACAGATTGTTTAAAAACTCAACGTGCTCACTAATATTCTTCAGGGAAGGTAATCTGTCATCCTTACTGGGTCTGGCCTTGACACAACCCCAGTTGCACACTTCAGTTCACTAGCCCCCATGCCCCCAAAAGCCCTGTTTAAAGGCCTAGCAAGTCACTGTGGGCACCCAGGGAAGCCACTGAATGCTGGTCCTGCCAGCATGGCCCACATACAAGTATCTTTTTAAAAAAGCAACAGTAAGTGTTGCCAGTACATATCTCTAATCTCACAAGAGTTATTAGTCTCCTTTGGGTTTACTAATAATCTTCATTTATTTAGGAAATAGCCCAAAAAGAATCCTTTGTTGGATGGGCTTGATAGCATTGGTGTAGCTGAAATCTGGCCTTTAGGAACTCTTGTGAGTTTTTCCTTTCTCTCACTATGTACATTCACTCATTCTGTTGCACTCTATTTGGGGGTGGTGGGGGTGCCATTTGCTAAAACATTGTAAACAGCTAGGGAGCCTGCAGCGAGGATCCTTCTGTCAATTTGCTAACACCGCCCCCCCCACCTACCTGCCCGTACCCTCCGTTCCTCTGGCTCTGGTCTGCTCCACGTCCCCCGCCCCAACCGCCCTACCATCGGTGGTCGGGCCTTCAGCCTCTCAGCCCCAGGCTCTGGAACTCCATCCCCCAGTGCCTTCGCCGCTTCCTCCCTTTCCTCCTTCAAGGCCGGTCTCAAAACCTTTCTCTTTGACCGTGCCTTCAGCTCCCCTCTCGACTCTCTTCCTCCTCCTCGCTCCCTCTCTTCCCTCCCCTCACCCTGACCATTTCCCCCCTCCTTGCTCCCTCCCTTCCCTCCCCTCACCCTGACCATTTCCCCCTTCCTCGCTCCTTCCCTCCCCCTGACCATTTCCCCCCTTGCTCGGGTCATGACCCAACTGTGCAGCGCCTTGGGACGTCCTCCTGACGTGAAAGGCGCTTTATAAATGGAATCTTGTTGTTGTTGTTGTAACAGCTTTTGATGTCATCCAAGGATAAGTACTTGACTATTGACGTTGCTGGAGAGTGAACATTCTGCTTGATGCAGCGGGATGCAGTTGTAGAGTTTGATGGCGTTGCATTATGTAGCAGAACATTTCCTCGGAAAAATTCATGACTCTTTTTCTTTGTTTGCTGCTACTCACTGTTCAAAGCAAGGCACCTGCTTCCAGGACTCTTAGTCTGATCATTTACTGAGAGCTTGATGGGGGGGATGCATATACACTGATGGCTATAAAATAAAGCTCAGTGCAGATAACAATAAGGCACTGTATATGGCAAATAACAATGGGGGCTGAAGGGATAGGCAGAACTTGCTTAATGAGGAGGTTGAAAGAGGTATTAGTTGACTCATCAATCACTGTCAAAAGTGTGAGGCAGCAGTAGACAAGACAAACTGAATTCTGGGCTATATTGCCAAATCAAATTGGATCCCCTTTATGTTCAAACAGTACAGTCCTCTAGTCAGCCATATCTAGAGTACTGCATTACAGGTCTAGTTCTTGCTTCGTGAGGAAACTGCCTGGCCCTGAGGCAGAGGAGAGCAGTGGTAGAGGAATGAGCAGCAATCAGCCTTCAACTGAGATGTCTGAGAGAAACTATAGAGATGCATATGATTCTAAATTGGATTGAGAAAGTAAACCCAGACCAATACTTTCAGATAGACCAAGACTCGGATTTGCAGGAGGAAATCAATTGCAGGACAGATACCATGAAGTATTTCTTTATTCAGAGGGTAATTAAGACTGGGATGGGTTACCAGGAAGAGCGATTGAAACCAAGATATTGGGCGTATTCAAGAAACAAATAGACTAAAGGGTCTTCATCCAAACCTCGTTTGTGAGCTGCTGGTCAGGCACGAGAAAGATCTGGGTCTCCTCTCCCTCCAAATGAGCTTCCTGCTTGCTGCCTGAGATTGTGGATCTAGGTTCCTGCTCTGATCTCTTCCTGGGACACTGGCAGTATGACAGGAAGCACTGGAGTACAGCTAGCAGGGCACACTAAGTACTAGAGAGTTTCAGAAGCTGTGCTTAGCTGAGTGTATGATTCAGTGAGGTTTTCTTTCCTTTTTAATGTTCCAGGGCCAATCTCCCTCAATCCGACAGCTGATCATGCACGCAATGGCAGAGTGGTATATGCGTGGTGAGCAGTATGACCAGGCCAAGCTTTCACGCATTCTAGATGTAGCTCAAGACTTGAAGGTAAGAACTTTGCATCATCCACTTGCTGTTTTCCTGCCTTTACTCTGTCCGACTTAACCTGACTTTAAATGTCGGTCACTGGTCAAGGTGTGGCTCGAGTAAGCCTGTTGAACACAGACAAGACAAAGCAAGTGCCCTACAATGTCAAATTCTTACCGATTTCTCTCTATGGCCTCTCTGGAGATTGACTTTTGTTTGAGTGCAATTTTTCGTATCGAAAATAAGCTGGTGGTCAGTTTGGAAACAGCCATGGTTCAGCACCATGTGATATGGTACCTAGAATGTCGACACGTTTCACAGAGAAATTCTGTGAAGTACAGTAACTATTTGTAGGTGAATGTACCAGTTACTCTTATAGAATGTTTCATAAAAACATCTTGGCTAGACTATTGGTTTTGTTGGGAAGCGTTGGCCTGGCTCTGTCACAGTGAGAACATGCCCTTCATTAACACGAGGTACTTTGAATGAGTCCAGAGAAACCTTTGCACTGTTGAAGCCGGAGCCATTAACAGCCTCCCTGGGGTTGGGACTATGTTGTGTAGTAATTCTCTAGTTGTTTTGTATCTATCACAGGCCTTGTCCATGCTGCTAAATGGTACTCCGTTTGCCTTTGTTATTGACCTTGCTGCACTTGCGTCTCGCCGAGAATACCTCAAACTTGATAAATGGCTGACTGATAAAATCCGAGAGCATGGGGTAAGAGAGCGATGTCACACTTTACAAAAAGTAAGTGTTGCAGTATAGGTTTCTGCCTATGATACAGAACAACACTTATGTGTTGTGTTGTATTAAAACTATCATTCTCACTGTTTTTGTGTATTTTTGACCCATCTAGTTTTCCCCCTTTCCAAAACCATTTTCATCCCTTGTCTGAAGGTTTTCATTCTGTTCCTTTTGCTGGACTGAGGTTCCTTGGTGCTGCGTATCATCTCTATCTCATACCTCACCTACTATTCATCTGTGAATCCCATGGCATCATAGCCAAGCCTAACCCTATCCTCACCCAATATCCACACATTAACTAACACACCTTCAGCAGGGGGAGTCTGGAATAGCTAATATGACCAGGATACCTGGTTGATTTCCTTCCCCCCCCTCCCCCCACCTTAACTCAAGAGTGCAATTGAAGGCCTGATTGAGTGGCTAAGTCAGCATTGACTAGGATTGGAACCTACAGCTGTCTGGTCTATATGGCCAAGATCTCTAGGTGCTGAAGTGCTGTGTTACCCCTCGCTTTCCCCCACCCTGGCCCCAATGTAAATCTGTGTGTTTTAATTTTAAGCTGTTTGCATTGTGCGGGCTGTTTGCATTGTCAGCTGGATGGGGGGATATATTTTGCTGATTGTATAAAGATGTTGGGTTGGGGGTGGGGACAAAGAGGGTGAGGAGGGACTGAGTGAGTGTTAAACTGACTTGCTGTGTCCTCAGTGAATAGTTGGGTAAACTGTTTTACCCTCCTGGTGCCCCTTGTGTATGTTCCCTTGGCGGCAGGCTGCACGTCCTCTGGCTGGCAAGGTGGGCAGAATACCTGCCTTCAGGCTTGCCAATTCTGGCTGATCCCTCCTGTGCCCTTATTACCCCGGCATTCTGGACGCAGTCTGCAATGATGTGTTGAGTAATTGATGCTTCATTGTAGTTCCAATGTACTGTTCTTGCACAGAACGGGGGTGGGGCGGAGGGGGAGCATGGCAGCGGTTGGAAATGTTACTTGCGTTTAGCATTTTGTTTTAAGTGTGTGTTCGCGCATGTGATTTGCTGATTACAATGGATTGTAAGTGCTAGCCTCGGTTCTTTCTCCCCTTATTCTGATGGGGTGGGGAATAATAATGCTGAGCTGTGTTTGACAGGAGCCATTCATCCAGGCATGTGTGACCTTCCTGAAGAGGCGCTGTCCCTCCATCATGGGCGGACTGGCCCCTGAAAAGGAACAGCCCAAAAGTGCACAACTCCCTCCAGAAACACTGGCTACCATGTTGATGTGCCTACAGGCTTGTGCAGGGTAAGAGCAAGGACTATAAACTCAGGAATACTGTAAAGATGTGCTACGTTTAGTTCATTGTTATTTTGCTCTCCCCTTCTTATGCTGGGTACATCCTCCCTCATATTGGGGTTAAAAGCTTCAGCAGCTTTCAGTAAGTGCTTTCTATGTGAGGGTTTATTTCTTGCTGATTTTTAAAATTTGTGTTTTGTCTAGTTTGCGTTTTCCAGTAATTCTGTTGAAAGCACCCCAAACTTTTGACATTTATGTAAACACTGTGGTTACACAAAGAAAGAAACTTATGACTAGGAATTGAGGCTGGAGACGACTGTTCATCACTCTCTCAAAGCTCAACGAGGGTGGGGCTGGCTACGAGTCACATACTTATAACAAGTGTACGGAGTGTGGTATGTGGGGGGAAGAGAGGATCGGTGGGAGTGGGAGCAAGAGGAGGCTGTGTGGAACAGGAAGGTCACAGCGAGGGGAGCTGTGTGGTGCAGGAGGTTATTCCTGAAAAAGCTGCCAACAGTGATTTTGAGCTGGGTGTGTTCAGTGCCTGAGCCTAGTTCTCTGGATATTGTCACTGTTGCTCTGGGGTTGCTGGTGAAGCAGGAATTTGTATGGTACAATTGTTTCTACCAGCAAATGCTGCTGTTTTTGTCCTTTGTGGTTGTTCTGGGTTATTCACCAAGTACCTTACAGAGTAGCAATGCAGTTTGCTGACAGGGAAGTGTTGCTGTAAACCCAGTCTGATTAGTTAAAAGCAACTTGGTTGCTGCCATGTGGGGAGTGAGAGATGCGATGTGGCACAGTGTGTAGCTATTTCCCCTTCGAGAAGGAGCCATCAGTGATGCCCATTCTGTGATGCGGAGAGTTGGAGCGAGGGCCCAATATATGTGTTGCAGTGAGCTTTAGTCTGGAATGTCATCCACCATTCTGGCTTTGAGTGAACTGATGAATCCAAATAGCAGCACAGCAGGAATTCAGATATCTTCTTACAACTCCTGATTTGAAATATTCTATAAACATTGTGTGTTTGGAGTTGGAAGAGTCGGGCTTGTACTGACTGTCAATCACTGTGGTGAATTTTACTTGGTGACATTGGGCAGGTGAGAGGGGTCAACACAGCTGCCATTGGGTCTGTGTAGGTTGGTGATTAAAGCACATTCCAGCCTCAGCTTGTTTTCAGCCACTGTTTTATTAGTAGTTCGTGCTTGGCTGCCTGTATAATCTGCCATCCCAGGGCAGCAATGCAGGGCACTGGCAGGTTACTGCTGCTTTGAATGAGAGAAATGCAAATGATTGAAGTCGTTGGCCTGCCTGGAGCGGTGGGTAGAGCAAGTCTAATGTCTGCTTTCCTTTCCCTAGGAGCGTCTCCCAGGAGCTCTCTGAGACCATCCTCACAATGGTGGCCAACTGTGGCAACGTGGTGAACAAAGCTCGGCAGCCACCTCCTGGTGTGATGCCTAAGGTCCGAGTCCCGAGTACCAGCAGCATAGAGACCATGTCACCTGTACAGGTACACGCTCCTCTGGGCACCGACCACTTTATTCTGCTCCTCCTGCTACTGCTTCCTTTGTAGCTGTTGTTAGACCAAGGAGAAGATTGTAATGTGGATTAGCTGTACATATACAGTATAGGATTGAAGAATTGCTAAAATGACAGCACTAACTTTTTTGTGATTAAAAACCTCTTTGGTTCCTTCCTTTTGACTACAATTAGTGGTGGAGCCAATTAATACTAACTACTGTCTAAGCTGCTACTGTTCATGCATAGAAGAAACTGCAGTGATATATTCATTTTAATTAAGGGTGGTGTGCTTGTACTCTTCTGTGGCCCCTTCTACAATGCTGTCCCTTCAAAACTCCTCAAACTGCTATCTGCTATGTCAGCATTGCTTTCAACAGTTACAGGAACAGTGAAGGTTGAGCTGGAATTGAATAGGTCTCCAAAATTCCAAAAGGTTTTGAGAGGATAGGTAATAAAGTTTATAAAGGTTGAAGCCATCCTCAGTTCCACCCACACCATGCTTCTGGTTCTGATTTTCACTCTTTCTGGCCCCGCTCCAATTCGCTGAACCAGTGTGCAAACTTGGCATTTAGTTGACCCTTAGCTCTTTCCTCCCTCACATACAGCCCCTTGACCAAAAACACTTTTCTGCATCTTTACAATGTCATCTGCCTCCAATTCAATCTCATTTCCGAAATCTTCATCTACACCTTCATAACCTGCAGTCTGGACCTTTCAAATGTCCTCTTCCTTGGCCTCCCAGCTCTACCATCCCCAAGTGCCTGAATCCTTATTTGCGTAATGCTTTGCACCCATCACCCCGCCATTGCCAGGCTTCACTGGATCCAGGTCTGCCAGAGGATTAACTTCAAGATCCTCACCTACAAATCCCTTCATAACCTCCATTTAACAAACTCAGGCTTGCTATGCATGTCCTTGCCCCTCTGTCCCACTATTGGTGGTCAAGCCTTCAGCCACTATGTTGTTACCTTTTGACATGCGTTCCCTCGGCCTCTGGCTTGCCTTCTCTCTACCTGTCTTCAGAAGCTGTCTTAAATTGTACCTCTGGACTGTGCCTGTAGTGACCTCCCCCATGCTCCCTGCTTGTTGGTGTCACTGTCTCTGCACCACTCGAGATGTTCCTCCACATGGACAGTGCTGTATAAATGCAAATCATTGCACTGAATAATTGCTCAAATACTCCAGGGGAGGCCATGCTTGAGCAAACCTCTTAGCTCAAACAAATGCTTAATACTCTATGTCTATTCGATTATCAATCCAACTGGCAAATTTGCCATTTAATTCCTTGTCTTTCAATTTATAAAAGATTCCCTTGTGAAATCTTTTATGTCTTGTGAAAATCTGAATGAATTGCATCCTTTATTCATCCTCATCTGCGAGTTCTGTTAATTTCAAGTGTAATTCCACTAGACTTGTCGAGCATTATCTGGCTGTCCTTAATCTCTGCTTTATACTAGCATCTTCTACTTGAATATTCTCCCACTTTAGGGCCTATCATTCCATGATCTATTTTGAATATCTGGCTAATTTGCTAGCCATGCCTGTTTGTGGGAAATTGTGTGCAAATTGCTTGTCTGCAAAAGTTACTCCATTTTACACTATGTTGTGAAGCGCTTGGACATCCTGAAAGACGATAATAATAATAATCCTTGCATTTGATATAGCGCTTTTCACGTGGGGAGGACATCCCAAAGCGCTGCACAGAACACACTGTAAAGTGAATTGGCTGTACATTTGTGAGTGAACGCGGCAGCCAATTGCGCACAGCAATGTCCCACAAACAGTCGTAGATTGAAAATGACTAATTTATTATTGTTTTGGGTTTTGGAGGGATTATTATTAGGCTCTGTGTGGAGTAAGGAAACTTGCCCAAGGTTTCGCCCTGACCTGCCTGGGATTGAACTCGGGTCTCTCAATTGCAAAGCGAGTGCTCTAACCACTGAGCTACAGGACTCACTTTCGATAGACCAAATGCAAGGAACATTATTATTCAGAAGCGTCCTGTGATATCTGCTGGTGAAGGCTGAATTAACCACTGATGCAGGCTTTCACTTTCACAAGTGGCCAATTTCCCACTGCCAACAATGCCACGTGAAGAAAGATAGACTTTAAATAGTAGCTGGTTTTAAGGAGGATTTTGGTGTTTGGTAAGATGAGCTTCTTCTGAGTTTGCAATGATATGTGATGATTATTTCCTCACATCCTCTCTACAGATTGACCCTTTGTCTGGTATCGCCTCGTTAACAATTGGAGGATCAGCTGCATCTCACACGGGGAGCATGTCGGCCTTCTCTACAAATATGAATTCTGCATTCAACACCCCTCAATCACCAGCGAAAGCCTTTCCTCCACTCTCAACAAACAACCAGACAACGCCCTTCAGTGGAATCGGAGGTCTTCCTTCCCAACTGCCAGGTTAGACACATGAGCAAATGTGGCCTAAATCTGTACTTGTTCGTTGTTGCATTGCAATTGTTGGCTTGCTAACAACAACAACAACAACAAGATTTCATTTATAGAACGCCTTTCACGTCAGGAGGACGTCCCAAGATGCTGGGTTGAGACCCGAGCAGGGGGGAATGGTCAGGGGGAGGGAAGGGAGGGAGCGAGGAGGGGGTAGAGAGTCGAGAGCGGAGCTGAAGGCTCGGTCAAAGAGAAAGGTCTTAAGACTGGCCTTGAAGGAGGAAAGGGAGGAAGCGGCGAAGGCACTGGGGGATGGAGTTCCAGAGCCTCGGGGCTGAGAGGCTGAAGGCCCGGCCACCGATGTTAGGGCAGGGGATGTGGAGTAGACTGGAGCCAGAGGAATGGAGGAGCTAATTCTCACAAAATTATACTTTATATGTAATTTATATATAATATAAATGTAATCCTCACAGAAGTATAGTTTAACCCGAAAGCCAAAGCTGTAAGAGGTAGATTGGTTCTTGCTGTTTAAACATCAGCAATACTCAAATGGGAACATTAGAACCCCAAAGCCTTTGGTCTTGCCAGCATCACCCAAACTCTGGGATTAGGTGAGCTGGGTATGTCTCTCTCTTGGGAGAAATGCCATGTGTCCCGCATTTGCTCTTTCAGAGATCTGTCAGCTTGCTATCTGCGCTTAAAAAATAAATTCTAAAAATCTGAAGGACTTGTGCTGAATTTTAAAAGTAGAATCAATGAATTAATAATAATAATAATCCTTGCATTTGATATAGCGCTTTTCACGTCGGGAGGACGTCCCAAAGCGCTTCACAGAATATACTGTAAAGTGAATTGACTGTATATTTGTGGGCGAACGCAGCAGCCAATTGCGCACAGCAATGTCCCACAAACAGTCGTAGATTGAAAATGACCAATTTATTATTGTTTTTGGTTTTGGAGGGATTATTATTAGGCTCTGTGTGGAGTAAGGAAACTTGCCCAAGGTTTCGCCCTCTGCCTGGAATTGAACTCAAGTCTCTCACTTGCAAAGCGAGTGCTCTAACCACTGAGCTACAGGACTCCAGTCCAAAAATTAAAAATTTTTGGAGAGAAAAATGTATTGTAACTGATTCACTATAGATTGGAACTAATATTGGTAAGTATTTCATGGGGGGGAGGGGGCAGGGAGGAGAGAGTAGGCCTTGTTAGGACTTCTTTACTCATAAGTTGGTATCTGATTGACTCGCATTGTTTTCCAGTATAACAGCCTCGTGGAGCACTATAAAAATGCTTTGAATTAGCTTTGATACTTATTTGCCCACAAAATAGCAAATTCACTTTACAATATATTCTGTGAGGCACTTTAAGATGTCTCGGAGACGTGATACGACGCTATATAAAATGCAAGGATTATTATTATTGTTCCTTTTCATACACTGACCAGCCTTAAATCTCTTGAGACTTATTTTTACTGCTGAGGCTTTTAAGCAGTGAATTTTTACACCAACTTCTTGTTGATCCATGCTCCGGGGTCTGGTTTCAGAATGTTCCATTTTCCTTGTGCTGATCAAGGTGACCCTCAAATGAAACTTTGTTCATCCGACGCACACAAGCACTCGTTTGGTTTCATTGCTGAGCATGAGAAGGGAGAATACCATGGTGTGATGTCCCTTTCAACATATCATGCGAGCATTTGTCAGTCACCTGAGTGCTTCTAACCAGCTCTGTCTATGGGATTACTCCCAGCCACCTGTCATTTCATTTTACCCACAGATCATTCTCACCCCAACTCTTTGAAAGTCGATACTTTTCCTCCTGAAGGCATGCAAAATATTGGCAGCTGCCTGCCTACCTGTCCTTGAAATAGAAATTTAATTCTACCATTCTTCTTCTCCCCCTCCCCCCAGTTAATAAAGAGATATATGTGGAATTTTACACTGAATTTTGGTATGTATGCACCATCAGGTGGCAGTGCTTTGCAAGTTTACTTCCTGGCATACTTTAGCACTTCATAATCAGGTTCCAGATGTATTTTGTTAAAGAAAGCCAGCATAAGATTACCCTGGTTGGAGCTCTGGTTGTATATTTTAGTACAAGCATTAATGATCATTTAGGCATAAATATTTTCCTGTACTCAGAATAGGAGGGATTTTAAGTACTTGGCTCAGTACTTGAACCTATATTGTATTCAACTAATTGCTCTATAGGCCAAGCAACTGTGCTGGACTAAATTGACTTGTTGTAACTTGGGGGTTTTCAGCAATCTCATTGAACTGCTCTTTTAAAATGAAGCTACATATGTAACATGAGTTCATTTGTAGTATTTATTATAAATTCCAATATACTGCCAGCTATTCAAGTTGAAGCCAGAAGAAATTCAGTGTGCACCTCTTTCTTTCCCCCCTTGGTGTGTGTGAGTTGGTTTGCCGATGTAACTGCCTCGTTTGACAGTGCTGACTGACTGAACTCGGCATCCATTTCTGTTGGTGGTTTGCGTCAATTTTAACCTGATTTGTACCTAAAGATGGACTCTAGCCATTGCTTTTTCAGAACTTTTAGTAATGGAGACTCTAGTTTTACTCAGGTTGAAGAAGCTCTCTGGGCTCTAGTCTCTTTGTGGAAGATCATGGATAAATCACAAACCAATCCTATTTCACCTACAAAATTGGGATTGATTTAATTTGCATATGATTTTCTTATTGGGATGGGAGGAATGAATTTCTCTTGTCAATAGCCTAAATGACTACTGTGGGTTTGGGGTGAGGTGAGACTCTCTGCTGTGGCCCAAAGGCTGTTCAGGTGGGATACCCACATGTAGCTCATGTTAAGTACATCTGTTAGTCAATTGTGAGGAAGCCTGTTGCCTAAAACATCAGTCATTTTAACCAAAAATAGCCAGAGAAGGAGATCAGATTTGTCTTTAGAAATAACTTTGAACTTGTCTTGTTTGAGTTTTGTCTAATCCAATAATGCACAAAGAGAACATTCCCTTGACTGTTTAGGATCCCTTTAAAATGCTTTATTTTTTTATTGGCCCCTGTTGTGATTTTGCCCCCGCAGGTGGTTTGGGGACAGGGAGCCTGACTGGCATGGGAACAGGTGGCCTCGGACTGCAAACTGTGAACACTGACCCCTTTGGACAACGGAAGATGAGCACATCTGGATTGAACCCACAGACATTCCAGCAGAGTAAGATGAAACCTTGTAAGTGGTTGTGTTGTCTGTGACTGTTGTGAGAGTGTGGTCCAGTCAGTTATTTCAAGATAACTGGTTATATAAAGGTACATCCAACAGGAGCTTAAACAGATTTCTTTAAAGTGTCCCAATATTTTAGCAACAAGGCTTGGTAATGCGGTGACAGGTAATGAAATGATTATTCGGTCCAATCACTACATTTTCAGTGTTCAATGGACGCAGAAAATATCTGCTCCCACAGCATAGGGTTGAGCTAGTCGCACTGTGTTCCTCTGGAGTCTGGATGACTGTCAAAGTGGAGCTTTTTCCTGTACCCAGCATAGAAGGAATTTGAAGTATTTGACTCTGCACAGTCTTTGAACCTATATTGTATTCAACTAATTGCTCTATAGGCCAAGCAACTGTTACCTTGTTATAACTGGGACTTTTCAGCAATCTCACTGAACGGCTCTTTTAAAATGAAGGTACATTCAACAATGAAATAAAATCTTAGTGAGCACGTATCCAGAAAGCTTCAAGATCAAAAATGAATCCAGAGTCCTAGCCTCAACAACCCTTCTTGGTAAACAGTCAAGCTTCCAAGATGGGAAGATTGTGTGAAGCTAAGGGATTCTGGGTGGATGTGCACTACCTTGTTCCTGGAAGCGTTGGGTTAAACTTCTGGAGACTACAACATTTGGGAAAGGTCACAGCTTTGACAACTGGGAGTGTTTGTGTAAACGTTTCTGGTTTGCTTTGAGTGACATTAAACTTGCTACTTTATGAAATCTCAAGTTCTGGTTTGCTGTTGCCAAGTGGAAAATTCCTCACTGCTTCGGTGATCTTTTTAATAGTAAAACGTGGCTTTCAAAAGTTCTTCTGGAAATCCTGGGGCTACTGACTATACTGTTACTGTGTGAATGGTTTTACCAACTGCAGCCAGGAGATTAGTTTCTCTTTTCTTTTTGGACTTCATCTCAACGCCTGCTGAAATGATGCCTCACCATCGCAAAGTTGCATGATCTGCTGGCAATGTTTGCACTGTGGTCTTCTCACAGACATCATCAACCTTTCCCTCTCCTCTGGCTCTGTTCCCATTCCCCTAAAAACTGCCACCATCACTACTATACTGAAAAAACCCTCCCTTGATGCGTCGCAGCTATCAAGCTACCGGCCCATCTCCAACCTCCCCTTCCTGTCCAAGGTCCTTGAAAGAGTTGTGGCCTCCCAGCTGCGCTCTTTTCTCTCCACCAATTCATTATTCGAACCCCTTTAGTCCAGTTTCCGTGCTGCCCATAGCACAGAAACTGCCCTGGTCAAGGTCACCAATGACATCCTGACCATCTGTGACCAGGGCTTCCTCGTCCTCCTCGACCTATCGGCCGCATTCGATACGGTCGACCACGCTATCCTCCTCCACCGCTTGTCCTCCCACCTCAACCTTCAAGGCCCTGTCCTTGAGTGGTTTGGGTCCTCCCTCTCCCACCGTCTTCATTTTGTCTCTGCAAACGGCTTTTTCTCCAGTCCCCGCACTGTCTCGTGCGGTGTCCCTCAGGGCTCTGTCCTCGGTCTCCTCCTGTTCACCCTCTATATGTTCCCCCTGTGGTGACATCATCCGCAGACATGGGGTTAACGTGGATGACACCCAACTCTACCTTTCCTCCTCTACCCTCAACTCCACGACCCCCGATGTCCTGACAGCTGTCTGTCCAAGATTGAGTCCTGGATGAGAGACAACTTTCTTCAGCTAAACGTGCGCAAAACTGAGGTCCTCCTGATTGGCTCACGTCAGCGCCTCCGCACCTCAGGCACTGACACCATCAGCTCCAAGGCCGCACTCTCCACCTCTCAAAGCCATCAGGAACCTCGGGGTTCTGTCCGACCTTGAGCTGTCCTTTCTCCCTCATATCCGCGCCACAACTGGCACCGCCTTCCATCACCTCCGGAATATCGCCAGACTATGGCACTACCTCACCCCTCACGCGGCTGAAACTCTGGTCCACGCCTTTATCACCTCAAGGCCGGACTATGGGAACTCTCTCCTCGCCGGCCTTCCCGGCCCTCCCTCCACACTGCAGGTCATTCAGAACTCTGCAGCTCGTGTACTGTCCCGCACCGGACACCAAGAACACATCACTCCCACCCTCGCCCTCACCCTCGCCCTCGCTCACCTCCACTGGCTCCCCATCCCCCAGAGGATCGAATTCAGATCCTCATCCTCACCTATAAGGCCATTCACGGCCTCGCTCCCTCCTACCTCTCTGACCTACTATCCCCCCCGCGTACCCCCCCGTACCCTCCGTTCCTCTGGCTCCGGTCTGCTCCACATCCCCAGCCCCAACCGCCCGACCATCGGTGACCAGGCCTTCAGCCTCTCAGCCCCGAGGCTCTGGAACTCTATCCCCCAGTGCCTTCGCCGCCTCCTCCCTTTCCTCCTTCAAGGCCGGTCTCAAGATCTTTCTCTTCGACCTTCAGCCTTCAGCTCCACTCTCGACTCTCTACCCCCTCCTCGCTCCCTTCCCTCACCCTGACCATTTCCCCCCTCCTCGCTCCCTCCCTTCCCTCACCCTGACCATTTCCCCCCTCCTCGCTCCCTCCCTTCCCTCACCCTGACCATTTCCCCCCTCCTCGCTCCCTCCCTTCTGTCCCCTCACCCTGACCATTTCCCCCCTCCTCACTCCCTCCCTTCTCTCCCCTCACCATGACCATTTCCCCCCAATGCTCGGGTCCCGACCCAACTGTCCAGTGCCTTGGGACGTCCTCCTGACGAGAAAGGCGCACTATAAATGAAATCTTGTTGCTGTTGTTCGGGGATATCTCTCTAATCTAGACGTAATGAACTTTGAGCATTAACGTGCAGCAAATGGGCCCAAACATTTGTAAACTATTTCAGCTCAGTTTTCCATGTAGGGAAAGTGCCAGACTAGTTGCTCTCTGGTGCCATTGTACCTTGGGCTTTGGGAAACCATCAGAACAGCCTTTCAAAATACTGGGTTGTCCATCATTTTCTTGATAAATTGAGCCACAGTGTTGCAAAATAGGTTCCCTTTGCTTACAGTTCTGGGTTTGGTGGCCTGTGTTCCAAATTAGTTTAACTTGCATCAACGCTCACAGCTGTCTGTTTAGAGTCCTGTACTGGGCTGTACCTGAGGATGCATGTTTTGGTTATGAATGCTTGTCTGCATGTTAGTTTGAAATGTCAGCTCACGGTGGATTTTCTTATTAGTGCTGTTGTCCTGGCTGAGTAAACTGCTGAGGTTCAGGACTTCATTCAACCACGCACACCACTTTACCATCGCCTCTTCCCTTTCTTGTTGCAGCCAGCTCTTCACTAGTTCATTTATTTAGCACTGACGGGATTAATAGATATTGAAATCCAAATGCTTTTAACTGCACCTTTTGTATTCCCTTCTGCTCATTTTGTTTTTGGCTAAATTTTGTTTTTGTTTCATAGTCCACCAAAGTTTAACCAAATAACAGGAAGCTGCCTTTGGAAATTGTCCATTCAGTCATCTGTTTATTTGAAAATTGAATGTCTGCTCCAAACTTACCATGAGTTCATGGTATCACCAAATGTGTGTGCGGTGGGGTGTTGCGGTGGGTGGGAGTGCGCGCACGCAGTGGTGGTGGGGGGGTGGATGTGTGTGTGTGTTGTGGTGTGGGTGTATGTGATGTGGGGGTGTGTGGGGGTAGGTTTTTATTCTTTGAAATGACATCAGTGGGTGCAGCAGAGCTGGTTTTGGACAAGTTTTAAAGTTTGCCTTTTCAGCCCTGAAATGTCTGTCTTTACTAAGCAATCTAACCTTTGTGAAGAAACTTTCTGACTGACTTAATCCATTGGGTCTAAATGCAATGCAGTTTATTTTTCTATAAACCTTACCTTTCTCATGAGAAAACATCTACTTTTGTTTAGAAGGTATCGCCTAAACATAAAAAATGTTTTCACACCCACCATCATCATGCAATAACTAGGATGCAATTTCCCCCTCAATGCTAATACTCTTGTCTCTGTCCAGGCTGAAGTGTGTGGTTTGTGCACCGAGGTTCACTGCCATTCCTCAATCATTGTAAAACTACTCTCCTTGCCCACGATGTGGCTGAGCCTTGGAGTTCAGGCTATTGAAACTGCAGGATTTCCACTCTTGGACACAGTTTGCGCTCCCTGTAATGTGCCTACATTGCACCATGCTGCTGCCACCAAGTATGATTGGTGATGGCATGCCAGGCAACAGACACAAGATTTGTCATTCTGTGACGTGCCCTGGAACTCCTTTTGAAGGGAGGGGGAGGAAGAGGACGTAGAGCAGTGTAATTCCAAAACCCTGCATTTCTGTGTAACTGAACTTCAAATGAAATCTTTATATGGAAGCCTTTCAGCAAAGGTTAGATTGGTCGAGTAGTTTCTGTAAGGAGAATCCACCGCTGACCAGTGCTCTATGTGTTGTCTGTCAGTCTGTTGCTTGCACACACTGTTGAGCTGCACAAGCTGGATCTTCATGAGCTGTTTGTTTCTTATCCTGTCTGCACAGCTGACCTCTCTCAGGTATGGCCAGAGGCAAATCAGCACTTTAGCAAGGAGATCGACGATGAGGCAAACAGCTACTTCCAGCGCATCTACAATCACCCGCCACACCCGACAATGTCTGTGGATGAGGTGAGAGCTCGTAACTACTGTGTAGTTGAAGAATCCTTGTCACCTAGGAATATAGCGAAATATAAATAAAATAATACTTGCATTTAATATAATGCCTTTCGTGTTGGGAGAGCCACAGGGTTTACTGTACTATAGTGACTATCTTATAGGCAAATGCGGCAGATAATTTGCACACAGCAATGTCTCCTAAACAGCCATAAAGTGAGTGACCAATTTTATTGGGGAAATTGTTGGCCAGGACAGTGGGAGTTACTCCAGGCTCGTTGAGTAGGATCCATTCCACAAATGGCCTGATCAGCTCCCAGCAGTCTTTAAGTTACAAATGGATTGTACTGCATTGTGGAGTGGATTCCATGTATAAGGGAGTCATATGTGGAGTCCTGTAGCTCAGTGGTTAGAGCACTCGCTTTGCAAGCGAGAGACCTGAGTTCAATTCCAGGCAGAGGGCGAAACCTTGGGCAAGTTTCCTTACTCCACACAGAGCCTAATAATAATCCCTCCAAAACCAAAAACAATAATAAATTGGTCATTTTCAATCTACGACTGTTTGTGGGACATTGCTGTGCGCAATTGGCTGCCGCGTTTGCCCACAAATATACAGTCAATTCACTTTACAGTGTGTTCTGTGAAGCGCTTTGGGACGTCCTCCCGACGTGAAAAGGGTTATATCAAAGGCAAGGATTATTATTGTACGGGAGACATCACTGGACTTGTTTCATGAGCTGTTTGTGAGCCAGTGCTACACGTGTGATTCCCTCAGGAGGTGGTGGATGTGGCTGTGTTACCCCACACCTTCTCAGATATCTATACACGGGGATATATGTAAGGAGATGATGGGCTGATAAATTACAATTTAACTGGAGTATGAAATTGTTTCACTTGTATGAAGATTTTTACTGAAGTGGTTTTGCTGTAAATGAGGCTAACCCACCAGTCACTGTTGGCTCCAACTGCATGATCCCAATGCTCACCCACCGGCAGCTATAACTGTCCATGCCACCACAGTCCTGTCAGCCCCACAGACTACAGTTACTTCCGTTTCACTTGTATTTCAGTCTTGGTTAGGTGTCAATACTGGTCATATTAAACTTGCATGTTGCTGTAACTTGAGTGGACTGTCTGCAGGGCTGATGTGTAATTAGTACTGCGCAGGCCAAGTGACTGAGCCAATCCCAGTGTAACCAGAGTCACTCCCTGATATACACTGGAGTTCCTCTTGCAGCCACAAAGCACACAGGAGCATCTATCTCTCTGCTTTAACACTCCCACTCAAGCGTTTGCAGAGTCAGTTTGCTTGATAGTGGAATTTGCAGTACAGGAAGCTGACCATGGGGTTGAGACCAGGAACAGTATGATGACTCAGATTATGGGTTCACACCTACTTTTACATGGGTGGGGGGGGGAGCTGAAATGTAAATGGGATCAGTAGATTTGATGGGGAAATGTTCCAGCACAGGTCTAATTGGCCAGTCCCAGTGATGGCCCCATTTTCCCGTCACTGAAGCCACTGACTGTTGGTACAAGGGAGACATCCCACAGCCATTGCTAGCCCTTCAGTAGCCCCGGGTGTCCATTCTTTGTGTGTCTTGGCAGTAATCACAAGGTCATCACAAGATTGGTTTGGTTGAAAAAGACCCTTCAACTCATCCGATCTCATCTTTCCAGAATTTCCACCGTACTGTCCTTTCGTCCCAGCATTAAGCTACTGTTTAAATGAGTCCCAGTGTCCTGGCCTTAAACACCTTTGCTGGTAACTTGTTCCACTTGTTAATTACTCTTTAGGTTTTTTAAAAAAAACTAATGTGTGGACAGCTCAATCCTGCTCCCTAATCAACAGAGGTCACTGAATGGCTTTGAAGAGTGTCAGCAAGTGGCTGATTTCTCTTCTTTTCCCAACCCTTGTGTCCCAGGCCAACTTCAAACAATTGTAGCCCCAACCACTTCCTGGTGAAATTACTCAACACTACAGCATTTTTAATAGTTTTCAGTCAAATTGTTCCCCCCCCAAATATTCATAGTCAATTCACCTTGCATTCTATTATGTGAATTGCTTTGAGATGTCTCATAGAATGGAAGTATTATTATACTAGCTATATATACTTTTATTTTATAATATTAAGATATGGGAAAGGATCAAAATTACACACAGCAGCATTGCATTGAGTGCCCGATCTCATTCCCTGTCAGACCTGTAGCTGTCTCTTACATCTGGGCTACATTTGACCCCAAGTCCCAGCACCAAACCAGTTTCCTCATTTGTAACCATTTTTAAATCCAGTTTGAAGTGGGGCAAGGACTATGGGCAGAAGAGAGCTCAAGACACTGGTACCTGGGAGCTGGCCCCTGCATCTGGTGTCTTTCTGTGCTGTGCACCTACTGCTTTGCTCAGGGAGCGTTGTGCTCACTTGTATTTCTGTTTGCAGGTTCTGGAAATGCTACAGAGGTTCAAGGATTCCAGCATCAAGCGTGAACGGGAAGTGTTTAACTGTATGCTGCGGAACCTGTTTGAGGAGTATCGCTTCTTCCCCCAGTACCCAGACAAAGAGCTGCATATCACAGCCTGCCTCTTCGGTGGCATCATTGAGAAGGGGCTGGTCACTTACATGGCCCTGGGGCTTGCACTACGCTATGTTCTTGAAGCTTTACGCAAACCCTTTGACTCCAAGATGTACTACTTTGGCATTGCTGCACTAGACAGATTTAAAAATAGGTAAGCTTCATCTTGCTGATGGTTGATCTTTGTGTGCTGCACTGTACTTAGCTACCCACTTGCGTTGCTTATTCTTCAAGGCAAAGTATGACCTGGTTAATCCATAGCCACCACCTCTGGGGTCTGTTTGATTCCAGCACAGCCTGATGATAATCTGGAGCATTCTTGTGCTGGCTATCTTTGCTCAGTTCTTGCATTTAATAATAATAATAACAATCATAAAAAGGCAGAAACTGAGCTGGTCTCTCACTACACAACAACAACTTGCATTTACACAGCACCCATCATGTGGGGTAGAATCTTGAAGGCCTTAATAGTGACAAAGCCTGAAGCTGAGCTAGGGGGAGGTGACTGTAAGCACTGTCAAAGAGGAAGGTCTTCGGGTGTGATCCGAAAATGGGGAGTGGGGGGGATCAAGGCCGAGGGAATGAGGAAGAGAGTTCCAAAGTTTTGGGGTGTAGTGGCTGCCGATGACGGAGGGCATGCGGGACAAACAGGAGGCTGGAGGCAGTGGGGAGTAATCAGGTTGGAGAGATAGGTAGGAGCCAGGGCGTGAAGGATGTGAGGATCTTGAAATCGATCCATTCTGTGATACGGAGCCAGTGGAACCTAGCAAGGACTGGTGTGATGGGGGTATGGAGTTTAGTGTGGGTGAGTATACAGGTTGTGGAGTTTTGAATTTGTTGGATTTTGTGGCTAGTGGAGCTGGGGTAGACTGTCGAGGAGGGCGTTGGAATAGTCAAGGCGGGAGGACGTGAAAGCGTCGGCTAGGCTTTGGCTGTGTTGGGTGTGAGATATGGTCGGAGTCGGGCAAACGTTTCCAAAGTGAAAGTGCTGTGTGCAATTTTGTCCATTGGTAACATTTATACTGAGAAGAAAGGCCTTTGACTGTAGCAGGATTCCTGCCCTGTTGGATTTTGGGAGGTGAGTTTCCCTTAAGTGCAGAAATCTGTGCCAATCTCTGACCAGTTGTCATATCCAATCCGACTGACTGCCAGTGCACTCTTGGGCGTGTGGAGTACTCTTCTTCCCAGGGAGAACATTATAGCATTCTGTTATTTACTGTGATTTTGGTGAATATCTTCGTTGGTGCCTGTGTGAGGATCAGACCTTCGTGCTTGCTTGCATGTGTATAATGAGGACTCTGGTGATTTTTTGCAGATTGAAGGACTATCCTCAGTATTGTCAGCACTTGGCTTCTATTGGCCACTTTTTGCAGTTCCCACATCATTTGCAGGAGGTAAGTGATGTGTCAGCAATAACTGGCTACCTCATTCGCCTGTCACGAGCAGCGCTGCTTACTGTGCGTGCGTGTGCGCATGCTGTTTTGAGAACAATATTGTGCCTCAATCACTTTACCAACTATTGGGTTTATTAGTTCATTTCCCCTCATTTCACTTTGAATTCGGAAGGTTTAACTAATCAATTCTTTGAATCAGGACTGAGAGGATTCACTGGAAGTTAATGAAGTTAAAATTATATTTCACACACAGCAGTTCTTAATGCTGTGTAACTTCTCAGAGTACTTTACAGAGGCTGTCAGGATCACTGGACAAGGAGAGTGAGGAGGGAGGTGACTATAGGCGTAGTCGAAGACATAGTCTGGTAGTGGCTTTTGAAGACTGAGAAGAGGGAGTCCCAGAGAGTAGGGGCATCGTGGCTGTAGGTATTTGTTAGGTCAGGGTATCGAGGGATATGGGGCAAGAGTGGGTAATTGGAGTTGAGGTAGAGATCAGTCATGATCTTAAAAGAATGGTGGAACAGACTTGAGGGGCTGAATGGCTTTCTATTGTTGCTATGCTTTTCCTGCTATAATTGCTGGCCAGCCTATGAATTCCCAGGATCTGGATGCTAGCCTCAAGGAACTTGTTATTTACGTTTTATGTTCAAACTTTAAGCAGCTTAGAACTCATTGCATACCTTAGATTGCGGCTCCCACTAATCTCTAGGAAAAGCTTCCTATAGCAAGCAATGTAGCTGCAAATATGCAACGTGGAGGTTATGCTACAGCAGTGGCGAGAGGTGATTGATGTCCTATTATCAGTAATGGAGTGAGCTGCTTGTCAGTCACTCTAACTTGGGTCATTTAATTTCTGCTGCACATGTTAACTGAGGGATTCTGTCCATCTTGATTGACTTTTATTACAAATGAACAAAGTTGTTCCCGTGTGAGGTGACTGTCTCTAAGTTACCCATCACCTTCAGCTGTGATTGAAAGATGGAAGAATCTAACAACAACCTGCACTTATATAGTGCCCTCCACGCAGGGTAGTGTCTCAGAGCGGGTCCATGGGTTGTGGGAGTATTAAGTGAATTGGGAAGTGTGTACATGAATTGTAAGAGAATCAAGTGAATTGGACAAAAAGCTGCTCAGTAGTAGCTGCCAGGGCACAGTGATGTCCTGCTTTGAGTGGAATCACTCAACGGGTCACACACGGCCACCTGTGTTACCCAATTTTCATCCTTTTCTTCTGTTTCCCCCTCCCCCCATTATACAATTCACTTTACAGTATATTCTGTGAAGCGCTTTGAGACGTCTCGAAGACTTGATAAGGCGCTGTATCAAATGCAAGTATTATGTAGCTCAAGGATTCCGAGGCCACAATTTTGCTCTATGTGGCTCTGTTACTGTCCAGGTAATTTTTGCGAAAGAAGGGGTGAGCTATATTTAAGATGTTCTGGGCTGCTGATATTCAGTGTTGGTGTAGAACAGATCTTAGGCCTCTCACTGCGTGCTGATGGCTTCTGCTGTCTAGGATATTCCGACATCGATCAGGTACAGGGGAATTCTTTGGGTTAAGACAAAGTGAGCCGTGCTTTATAATAGCATATCTACTAACCCAAGCCTCTGCCTTAATCTTCTCCAGTATATTGAGTATGGCCAGCAGTCCCGAGACCCTCCTGTGAAGATGCAGGGTAGTATTACAACCCCTGGCAGCATTGCCTTGGCCCAGGCTCAAGCCCAGGCTCAAGCCCAGAATAAGACTCCTCTGGCCAGGCAGGTCAGCACCATTGTCCCCACATCCACTACCAGCACCGTGACCAAAACCACTACAGTCACCCGGCCCACCGGAGTCAGCTTTAAGAAGGACGTTCCAGTGAGTATTTGGTGTCGCATTCATTTCTGCAATTTATATTAAGATTTATGTTTGAAGTTTTGTACCAGCAAGAATTTGTCTAAACTACACAGTGCTGAACTGTCCATTAAAACGGTTCCTGTACCTTTCACCCAATCTGTGGCTTTGAGTGAAGCCCACTTGCTGCCTGTGCCGCACCGTGGATGTGCGCCCAGAGCCTCCCGGCCCACAGTGACGTCAGGTAAACAGCTGGGAGGCCCGGGGCCAGACCCTGCATTTGTAGCGGATTCCATGGGGCAAGTGCAGCTGCACTTCTCTATTGGCCTAGACTATAACCTCTCCCAGTGAGCCACTTCCACCCACAGCCCTGTTTGTATCTCTTCTCGTCTCACTGAGCCTCAAACCACTTCATGGGAGTAATATAACCACCCATATCACATAATATTTTATTCTCTTAAGATCCCTCAAGTGATTTCTTTTGTCTATCTTGGGTTTTTTTTTTTACATTTTCCCGCTGTCTGAGGAGAAATTCTTGCTCATCTCAGTCCTAACCCAATTTGCCCTCATCGTAAGGTTGTCCTCTAGTAAACTGATGGACCATCAGGGAAGGAAGTTGCTTCCTTATTGTCACTCTTTGTGAAAAATGATCAGACCATCACCCCTTAGCTCCAAAGAGGGAATACATCCAACCAGCCTTTCACTAGAGACCTTCCAGGCAGTTCTCCTCTCCCACCCCCCCCACCCCATTCCCTGTTATTGTTCTCATGAGTGTCCGATGCACTCTCCCCAAATCTCGCGTATCCTCCCTGTAATGTGCAGTCAGTACCAGGCGTATTTGGGTATCTGCAGCATCTTTTATGAATTCTACTGATTTGACCCCAGAAACTGTCTGGTTATTTCATGGCCAGCTTTGCTGTCTACTTTAATAAGTGATTTTTATGAATCTGTTTGAACCAGTGGTGTATGGGGGGAATTTGTTGTTTATTTGAAAAGCGCCAGGTCTCTGTTACTGGTCAACTGTAATTGTTCCTTGTCCTTGGATAGAGCTGGAGATGGTGTGCCCAATCCTGATGTGTCCCATACTTTACCTGCGTTGTGTAGTGTTAGACTGACCTGCCCAGTCTGATTTATCAGCTGTCCCACTGTTTGTGATTGAAAAATGTGACTAAAGTCAACTCCTTTGTCTCTAGCCCTCCATTAATACAACTAACATCGAGACGTTGTTAGTGGCCACAGACCAGGCAGAGAGAATAGTGGAACCGCCTGAGAACATTCAGGAGAAAGTGGCTTTCATCTTCAACAACCTCTCACAATCCAATATGACACAGAAGGTAGGTGCTTCATTGAGCCAGGGTTACAGGAGAGGGTTGTCAGGTGAAAGCTTTGGATGAGATTCATTTGCTGGTGTTTTGATCTCATTTCATTAGGACATTAGTTCCATAAAGTGGAGACATTTGCCTCTAAGACTTCTGTAGTCCCTCATGCTGCTGATGTGTGGGAGATGGTTAGAGGAACTGGTTAGAGCTATATTTTTAAACTAAAATAAGCAGAGTTCCTTACAAGGAAATAGCTTTGGAAGCTGGAATTCAAGTTGTAACATGGTTTACCATATGCAGAAGGCTGCTGACTGTTAGTTTACCATGGAGCTGTCTTCATAGCAGAAGAATGATAGGAACTGGGCTCAGTACATTTGGCTCCAGTTCTGTCCTTAATAGAGCCTGTGTAATGGTGATCAGTCACTATGAATGGACTAATGTGTTGTCAAAGCAGTTAGTCGTATTATAATGTTCTGACAAATATAATGCCCTAAAACTTGCAAATGTGGAAGCCTTACGATGTGTCAGCTGACACAGAGCTCCAGGTGATGGTTGTGAAATCTGTCTTAACTAATGTAGAGAGTAGAGGGGACTTCATGTCCTGTGCTGCTCAGGTGGCATTTGCTGGAGAGTGCTGTTTCTGTGTTACAGGTGGAGGAGCTGAAGGAGACTGTGAAGGATGAATTTATGCCTTGGGTATCCCAATATTTGGTCATGAAGAGGGTTAGCATTGAGCCTAACTTCCACAGCCTCTACTCAAATTTCATGGACACTTTGAAAAATCCAGAGTTCAATAAAATGGTGCTCATCGAAACCTATAGAAACATCAAGGTGAGTCGGGGGGGGCAGTGGCATCATATCCATCTAGGAAGGGAGATTATGCTGAGCTGTTTCCTCATGAGCTCTTAACATTCTGAATTAAAGTAATGAAATGTCTTCTTGATGTTGGTATGTTTCCCTAACGGTGGGACGTGTGGCAGAGACTTTCTTGTCTCATTACCTCTGTTGTTGTGTGACTTAAGACATGTTGAACAGCAGAGGTCAGCTGTGATCCGTATGAAACACTTGTGTTAGTTAAAAATGAGCATCGGAGATTTCCTGCTGCTATTGCTGGAATGTAACATCAAACTCCTCTGGGGGAAGGGAAGAGGGATCAGGGCCTCTTCACCACAGCCCACACTCAGTGTAACTGTGCAATGACACAGTGGGTAATACGTGGCTCTCTCCATCCAGCAAGGTGTGTTCTGGGATATGGTTACTGTAATTATCACATTGACTATTTATAGGGAACCTATCCAGAGATCAGAGTGGAACTGCAAGTCTGTTTTGCAAATCATCCCACTGGCCGAGAATTCCAAGCGTTTGAAGCCATTTGACTGATCGTCTGCCGAGCACTTGTCAACTAAATGAGGCTGATTCTCGTATGGGAGCCCAGCCCAGGGAGTAAGCTACTTTCTGTTATGCTTCAATACTTTTTTTTGGTCTTTTAGGTACTGCTGACCTCTGACAAAGCTGCTGCTAACTTTTCAGACCGGTCCCTACTGAAGAACCTGGGCCACTGGTTGGGCATGATTACATTAGCCAAAAATAAGCCCATTTTACACATTGTAAGTCAGTCCACTTGTCGTTTTTCCATCCATTCACGTGGCTGTCCATGTTTCAGATTTTGTGTTGTGTTATGAGCTGCTCTTTCCACTCAATCTGCACGTCCCTTGTTTTCTTTGTGTTGCCTGCAGGATCTGGATGTCAAATCATTGCTTCTGGAAGCGTATGTGAAGGGTCAGCAAGAAATGCTCTACGTAGTCCCTTTTGTTGCCAAAGTTTTAGAATCCAGCGTGCGGAGTATGGTCAGTATAAAGTGTTCTATGCATGTCAATAAGACCTCACATAGAAGCTCAGACTTGAATTTGGATCATATGCAATGAGGGTGTAAAGTGCATCAGTTTGGCGGGTGTGAGGGGGATCCTGCAGTGTGTGATTAGATAATGAGGTCCTCATACATGCAAACTTTGCTAATTGCTTGTGGTGATCACACAGTTGAAAGCAAAGGGTGGTTTTCATCTCCAACTTAGTTCCCAATGCAGGTTAAGCTTGTGTAAGGGGTGTATCCAAACGGTTCTTCTCCGAGGGTTAGACCGCTTTGTCCATAATTAGAGCCCATGTTTATAATAATAATAATAATGCTTTCATTTCATATAGCACCATATCACATCATTGAGACGTCTCGAAGTGCTTCACAGAATATATTGCAAATTGTATTGATTGTATTTTGTGGGCAAAATGAGGTAACCAATTGCTCACAGCAGTGTCCCACAAATTGTGTTGGATTGATTGATTTTGGGGTGAGGGATTATTACCCCCAGAAAGCGATTCGCCAATTGACTGACAAACAGGTTTGTACTTACTGCTAGGTAAACAGAGCCGTGTGGAGTAAGGAAACTTGCCTAAGCTTTCACCCCGCCCGAGAATTGAACCCGGATCCTTTCGCTTGCGAAGCGAGTGCACTAACTATTATGCTACGGGCCTGGGGCTAAGGGTTGATCGATTGGGGAGTTTAGGATGAAACTCTTCAGACAGCGGAACTTCTTCCCTGTGTCCTGGCCAACAATTCCCCCAGATATCTTGGTCATTCACTTCATGGCGGTTTGTGGGATGTTGCTGTGCAATTTGCTGCTGTGTTCACCTACACAGTCACTACACTTTAAACTGAATCAAATGAATGTTTTGAGATATCTTTGACATGAAAGGTGCTATATGAAAAGTAAGATTATTAATGATCTGCAGAAAATTCAAAATGAGGGCTTGCCAGCGGTGGACAAGTATATTGTATATTGGTATCACACAGTGTGAGGCAGCAATAAACAAGGCAAACACGATATTGGGCTAGATTACCAAATCAGTTGATCCCTAGATGTAAAAATCCGTGTCCTGGTCACACCGCACTGAGAGTATTAAAGACAATTGTGGTTCCTGTGACTTAAGGGAGCAGCCCAGGCCTGAGAGGCAAGGTTGATTGCCAGTGTTTCGCCCACAAATATATGGTCAATTCACTTTACAGTCTATTCTGTGAAGCGCTTTGAAACGTCAGGAAGACGTGAAAAGCGCTATATCAAATGCAAGAATTATTATTATTATTTATTATAGTGTTAGAAGAATGAGCAAGAATTAGACAAGCTAGGGCTCTTCAGTCTTGAAAGGAGTCATCTCTGAGGGGATCTCATAGAGCCATATAACAATGCAAAAATACAAAGTTATATTTGTATAGTGCCTTTCATGTCAGGAGGATGTCACAACATTTTAAATTTGATTGAAAAACTAAACCTAGGACAATACCCTTGGATCCCTCAACCCAGCAAAACACGTGGACAGTTTTAAGAGTTGTACAGGGCAATATCAGTAAGACACCAGGAAGTGTTTCTTTAGAGAGGGAATCGGCGACTGGAACAGGGTTGCCAGGAAGTGTGGTTTGAGGTCAGGACGCTGGGACTCATTTAAAAACAGCTTCATGCTGTGATGGGGAAGACTGTAGGTGCTGATTATTAATAGTCTTTGCATGTGATATGTGCACCGCTGGCAAGCCCTCAATTTGAATTTTCTGCAGATCATTAATAATATTACTTTTCATATAGTACCTTTCATGTCAAAGACATCTCAAAACATTCATTTGATTAAGTGTAAAGTGTAGTTACTGTGTTGGTGAACACAGCAGCAAATTGTTCATGTGTCTCAAGGCACTTCACAGGATACACTGTGACATGGAGTGACTGGGAAAATCTCAAACCAAGCCTATTTATCCAAGTTATTTCATCCAAATACAATATGTGAGTATTTCATTGCCTAGAGCTCTAACTTGTAAATGTTGTGTGCAGGTGTTCAGGCCCCCCAATCCATGGACAATGGCCATCATGAATGTATTAGCAGAGCTGCATCAGGAGCATGATCTAAAGGTACAGCTTTTGTTTGTTACCAATTTATAACCTTTCTGCACAAAACCCGTAGGGGTTGCTGATCTTAGTGTAGGTGCCTAGGCTGCAGTTCCAGTCTTCACTGTGAGTGTCATTTGGTAACCCTGTTTGCAACCATAGAACGGCTGAAACCAATCTCCTGGCTGAGCAGGGCTTTCCACCCAATGCCAAGACATTAGGAACTGAAACCTTCCGCTGAGGGGTCTGGTGATCAGGCAGCACAAGATTTGAATGCTTTGAAGGACATCTGAGAATTTCTTTATAAGGACCAATTCATTGGATGCACTGCACAGCTGGGCTTGAGTTGGGGAGGATTAGGAGTTTCCCTCAGGAAGTTAGTGACCTGGCGTGGCTTCCTTGATGCAACTTCAACTTAGTCAATTTTGCTTTTCTGTCCCTCTGCAGTTAAATCTCAAGTTTGAGATTGAGGTGCTGTGTAAAAACCTGGCTCTGGACATCAATGACCTGAAGCCTGGCAACTTACTGAAGGACAAAGAGAAACTGAAAAATCTGGAAGAGCAGCTTTCTGCTCCGAAGAGAGAGTGCAAACTGCCCGAGGACCTTCCTGTGGTGGTCACAACAGGTAAACACCCTTTTCTTATCAAAGGTCACTGGGAATACTCAACAGGTCAGGCAGCATCTATAGTAGAGAAGGGATTTGAATGGAAAGACCGTTCTGGTTCTTACATTCAAATCCCTTCTCTCTATAGATGCTGCCTGACCTGCTGAGTGATTTCCAGCATCTGCAGTATTTTGCCTCCCGTTTTCTTATCAATTGAACTCAGCAGCTTTACTCTCAAAGGTTACAGTTCTAGAAAAAAAATAATGTCACAATTAGTTTTAACTGTGTATTCTGGCCAGGTTCCCAGCTGCTGCTGATCGGTGTGAATTTTCCAGGCGGCTGCACAACAATGCAAGTTGCTTTGACATCTGTGGAAGATGCAAATGAAGGGTTGGGTGGATTTTGAGTGTGCGCTAGGACCCAGGGGAAGTGCATTTCCAGCCATTGCCGGTAGGCCAGATGGAAGCCCTGGCATTTAGCTGACAAAGGATAAGTGGCCAACGCACTGGGCGGGAGATGCCTCCACTGGAGCAATCTGTCTGTCTTCTGAAGGTTCTGATATTCTGAACGCTGCGGCTATTGTACTGTCTGAGATACAGCAGTCAGTCAGTCAGTCAGATTGTGATTGCTGCTGCACAGTCAGTACCAGTACTAGTACCGCTGCCAGTGATGTAAAGCTGTAGGAGCGGACGAGACTGGAATTATCCACCCCAGGATTTGGTATGCTGCATTTCTGTGTTCATCTTTGGTTATTGTTTTAACTTCAGTTAGTAGATAAACAAGGCAGAAGTTTCTGAAATGTGTATTAGACATTAACCAGCTTAAATTTACTGTATCTAAAACCACTTAATGAAGGTGATTTTGGCTCCTGTGTTAGAGAAAGACATTGTTTGCGTTCCCCACCTCCCCAAACCCGTCCGCCTTCTCCACTCCAGCTGCTTTTGCTGCTGGTTTAATATTGACGCCTACACATTCTATTCCTTGTCGCCTGGGCTGAGCTGCACTCTCTGCGCTGCTGCTTCACTGCCTTGGAGGTTAGAGGGAATCATCAAAATCCAAATGAAACGGGTAAAAATGCTGCCGCTTAACCTGCCTAACGGTGGCCGTTTGAGCAACTTTCCTGCTTTGCTTTTTTAAAATCTCTAACAGCATCTGGGAAGTTGGTGCCCCAGCGCCCCACAAAGCAGCTTCACCACAACATTTCTAATTCTGGGCAGATTTCAGCTCCCAGTTATTCTGCTCTCAAGGAGTTGCGACTCCTGCCCTTTTCTTTCCCCTCCCCTTCAGTCTCCGCTTTGACAGATATCACCAGTGGCACTGCAGCTATTTCACAGCTTGAAGGACGCTGCAGTATTCCTGGGTTGTTGCATGAGTTTGCACAGCAGCAAAGGTGCAACACGCCAGTGATGCTGCAGCGCTGCAGTTATTCTGTGAAATGCAATCTGTGATGCAGGCCTTCAGATCTGCAGCAAAGTCCTGCCCACCGCCCCCGCAGCAGCATTGGTGAGGCTGCTTAGCACCCTCCCATTTCATGCCTTAGATCGCATGACCTCTCTGCTGCACTCGGCCACAAATCTCAGTGGTGGGTGTTGGAGCCCGTGCAGGAGTGAGCTTCACCCACAGTAATCACTGCATCTCTTTATTGTGCTGATCGGTGCTGTATCCTTTCATTCAAACCATTTTCCGTCTTTAGATGATCCCGAAAGATTTTGTTCAGACAAAATTGCACAGTTCTTGCCTTGTGTGTTGTAGGAGCCTTACACATGACTGCAGGTTTTAGACACTGCGTCAAGGAACTTTCTCACCAGACACTGTCCATTTCCATTTTGTTCACCTTGAGTAGTCAGATTCTCGTAGTGCAGGGCAGGCTTGTTGTTGGGTAACAAACTTTATATACCGTCAATCACATTGCTTTAGCCTCATAGACTATTGCTCATATTAGAACTCACTCATGATAGCATGTGGAGTCCTGTAGCTCAGTGGTTAGAGCACTCGCTTTGCAAGTGAGAGACCTGAGTTCAATTCCAGGCAGAGGGCGAAACCTTGGGCAAGTTTCCTTACTCCACACAGAGCCTAATAATAATCCCTCCAAAACCCAAAACAATAATAAATTGGTCATATTCAATCTACGACTGTTTGTGGGACATTGCTGTGCGCAATTGGCTGCCGCGTTTGCCCACAAATATACAGTCAAATTCACTTTACAGTGTGTTCTGTGAAGCGCTTTGGGACGTCCCCCTGACGTGAAAAGCGCTATATCAAATGCAAGGATTATTATTATTATTATTATTCATCTGTCCAGTGGCTGCACATACAGCAAGTTTAACCTCTGGATACTCTGAAGTCAAATAAACCTCTCTGGCTGTAAGCGATGTGCCTTTGATGGTTTTTCAGTCGATCAGATTTGGTGTGCGAGTAGAACATTTTGTCAGATTCTTAGTTTGCAACTGGAGCAACTAATTGCAGCCACATTTATTAGGCGTTCAGCTGGCTGCTGGGCCTGAGCTGTCTGCATCAATTACCTCAATAATAATAATAATAATCCTTGCATTTGGTATAGCGCTTTTCACGTCTTCTCGAAATCTCAAAGCGCTTCACAGACTATGCTGTAAAGTGAATTGACTGTATATTTGTGGGCGAAACGCAGCAGTCAATTGCGCACAGCAGTGTCCCACAAACAGTCGTGGATTGAAAATGGCCAATTATTGTTTTGTTTTGGAGGGATTATTATTAGGCTTTGTGTGGAGTAAGGAAACTTGCCCAAGGTATCACCCGGCCTGGAATTGAATCCAGGTGTCTCGCTTGCAAGGCGAGTGCTCTAACCACTGAGCTCCAGGACACCACAATGAAGTTCTCAGCAAAGCAGTGGAGCAGGGATTAACCTTTCTCACTGCCGCCTTGAGAGAAAACGAGGCAGAGGTTACACGTTATTAAACACACATTTAAACCAAGCTGTGAGAGACCTTCATGTCAGTGTTCACAGATGTGCTAAGTAATGTCCTTCCTTCTGTAAAATGCTTTAAACTATCCACTGTTAACTGATTATTTAGAACCAAACCATGTTTATGTTTGAGAAGCTAGTTAATTGCTTCATTTGGTGAGAGTTTGGTTTTATCTGTTGAGTTACTTCCATTGTGGTCCGTGATCATCCCTAGAAATGTCAGGCAGGGTAACTCCAGCCTGCGTATCCAAGACGACTCTACCTCTAGCTCAGAAGGTTGTGGGTTTAAGACCAGCACTGGGCTGGAGCTCACAGTCTGGGCTGACATTTCAGAGCAGTTCGGGGGAATTGCTGGATGTCCTGTTCTTCGGGTGTCAAGGTAAACCGAGTTCCCTTCAGCCTGTTAAAGGTCTAACAACACTGTTGGAAAAAGGAAAGGAGTTTTTTCAGATGTTGTGGCCAATCAATCCTCAAGATAAATTGGTCGTTCACCTCATGAATGTGTCGGACTTTTGGTGTAAATGATTGCTGTTTGCCTCTACAAGAAGTCACTGCACTCAACAGTAATTCCTGTAAAACCTGCTGAGATGAAGATATGAAAATGTAAAGTTCTTCCTTTCCTGTAATATATTTTGAAAAGGCCCTGTTTGTTTTTCAGCTGCTCCGGTGCCTGCCGCCACCACCACAACGTGCACAGTAACTGGCCCACCACAGCCTCAGTTCAGCTACCACGACATTAATGTCTACTCACTCGCAGCCTTGGCTCCTCACATCACCGTGAATCCAAATGTAAGTCCCTCCGATCAGCTGACTACCACACGCCTCAACATCGTGCGTCTTTAACGATCAAAGAAAACACTGACACAAAATCTACATGTGTGTGTGCAAAACACTCGAGACAAGTGCATGTACTGCATAATAATTAACTCCAGTATTGAACTCTTTCCCAAGTTTCTCCACCTCATCCCTTACCCTCACTCTTTAGTTGGCTTTTGAAAGCAATCTCTCTTGACTGTGCCTTCAGTTGCTCCCAAGCTGCTAAGCTTCCCACTCTGGGGCTGTGAAGTTCTCTTGAGACTTGTTCTCATGAGAGGCATTACATAACTTCAAGTTAAACCAAGGTCTGCCTGTTCAGGTGGATGGTAAAGATCCCATTGTACTTCTTGAAAAGAGAAGGGAGTTTCTCTCTCCTGGTGTCCTGGCCAACAATCCCCCAAATAAAACTGGTCACTCCATGGACGTTTGTGGGACATGGCTGTGTGCAAACTGACTGCTACCAAATAGTTATTTCACATTACAGTAAATCCTGTAAACAGCTTGAGATGTTTTGACGACATAATGAGGTGCAATGTTACAAGCAAGGATTATTATCATAAATTGGAACTATTCTTGAGTAAGGTTCAGGATAGATAGACAGGCTCTCTCTTGAATGGTCATTCACTTCATGGCTGTTTTAGGGGAGGTTGCTGAGCACAGTTGGCTACCACATTCTCCTACAAAACAGCATTATCAAATCCTTGTATTTGATGTTATGCTTTTCACATCCTCCCTGATTTAAAAGAGGCTACATTATACACAAGGATTTATTTATTATTGTGGCAAAACAAGACCAATACTGTATTAATACATTGCCCTTCATGCAGGATAGTTTTGGGAGTTTCTGGTGACGATCTAGATTTTGTGTCCATTTGTTACTGAACATCACACTTTATCCCCTTCCATAAAAGGTTGTCCCTGTCATGATTCTGTGACCTCGCGGCTGACTTCACTTTGGTCACCTTACTGCTCCCCTCGCTTCAGGCTGCGTTGGTAATGACTAGTTTGTGGATGTGCAGACCTTGCCTGGATGTTTATCAGTAACTAGGTGACTGCCCTCAGATGAGACATTTACTGGAAGCTTTTTTTAGAATAACCTAATTTCACACAACATCCTCCAGACCTCTGTCTGTATTGACTTAGCAAAGCTCTGTCAGGGTGAGTCCGTTTCTTGGTGATCTGGGCACTGGACTCTGGTCTTCCCCTCCACATCGAGCGTGAGCCCTTGTCTCTAGAGCAAAAGATGCTGAAATCCTGGTGGAGGCTCTAGTCTGAGCACATCGATAGTCAGAGCTCAGCAACTCTCCAGGTTGGTGGCTGATGCTGCCAGATCCGCAGTGGAGCTGCTGAACTAGAAACGGTCACTTCCCACAAATCCAGGGACAACTGTGGATTGTGATTTCTGGATGGCTCTCAGCCATAGGAACAACCATCACAGAGCAGAACTGCTCCATGTTCTGACTATTACTGCAGAAATGGCCTTTTTTTGGGTACTGGATTTCTTGCAGGTACCAGCATAGACCCAATCCTTGTCCCCTGGCACCCTCATCCCCATTAACAGAGGAGTCTCTGCTTAGCAACAACAAGATTCCATTTATAAAGCGCCTTTCACGTCAGGAGGACGTCCCAAGGCGCTGCACAGTTGGGTCAGGACCCGAGCATTGGGGAAATGGTCAGGGTGAGGGGAGGGAAGGGAGGGAGCGAGGAGGGGGGAAATGTCAGGGGGAGGGGAGGGAAGGGAGGGAGCGAGGAGGGGGGAAATGGTCAGGGTGAGGGGAGGGAAGGGAGGGAGCGAGGAGGGGGGAAATGGTCAGGGTGAGGGGAGGGAAGGGAGGGAGCGAGGAGGGGGAAGAGAGTCGAGAGGGGAGCTGAAGGCTCGGTCAAAGAGAAAGGTTTTGAGACCGGCCTTGAAGGAGGAGAGGGAGGAAGCCACTTGCCCTATCCCCCTACTCCTCTGGCTCTTTCCCCTCCTTCGAGCACCTCACCCTCTCCCACCCCTCATTCCTCTCCCTTAAAATCCTCCTCCTCTACCGGCCCCCTAAAACCTCTCCCACCTTCATCTCTGACATTTCAACACTCCTCACATCTCTTTGCCTCTCCTCTGATCGCCTCATCATCCTGGGCGACTTTAACCTGCACTTCACCCCCTCCTGCTCCATCTCCACAGACTTCTCTTCCCTGCTCTCCTCACTCAACCTTTCCCTACACATAAACTCCCCCACTCACAGTCACGGCCACCCACTCGATTTGGTGATCACCCGGGGCCTCAGTGTCTCGGATGTCACTATTACCGACAAGGCCATCTCCGACCACTACTTCATCTCCTTCACCACCTCCACCCCCTCCCCACCTCCACCAGACCCACCACCATCTTCTACCGCCCTTGGAAGAAGTTACCCCCACAATCCCTAACCGATGCCTTGGAGTCCTCTGAACTCCTCTCCCTCTGGCCTTCAACCCTCACCGACCCCTCTTCTCCTCTCTCCCTCCTCCACAATATCCTCTCCTCCACACTCGATACTCTTGCCCCCATCACTTCCCGCACTGTCTCCTACTCCCGCTCCTCCCCCTGGTACACCACCCACCTCCGCTCACTGAAATGCCAGGTGCGGGCTGCTGAGCGCACCTTTGTCAAATCCGGCTTAACGGTCCACCGACAAATCTGGCTGGACCTCCTCAAAATTTACCGCTCCACTCTAGCCTCGGCCAAGTCGTCCTTCTACTCCAGGATAATCCTGGAGGCGAAGAACAACCCCAGGCTACTGTTTTCCACCACATCCCGACTCCTCCGTCCCCCCCGCCACCCCGCGCAGGTCATCTCCTCCAACCTTCACTGCGAGGAGATGCTGGATTTCCTTGAATCCAAGATCAAGGGAATCCGCTCCGCGGTCACTTCCCCTCCAACTTCCACCCACCACCCACCCCTTCCCTCCCACACTCCGACTCCTACCCATCCTCCCCTACACACCTTCGTACCCGTTTCCCCACCCTCTGTCACTGAACTCATCCTATCCCTAAAACCAACCACCTGCTCCCTTGACCCCATCCCCACTCCACTCCTTATCTCCCAGCTCCATTTTCTTGCCCCACACATCACTGACATCATAAACCTGTCCCTCTCCTCTGGCTCTGTCCCCATTCCATTAAAAACTGCCATCATCACGCCCACCCTGAAAAAACCCTCCCTTGATGCGTCGCAGCTATCAAGCTACCGGCCCATCTCCAACCTCCCCTTTCTCTCCAAGGTCTTGGAAAGAGTTGTCGCCTCCCAACTGCGCTCTTTCCTCTCCACCCATTCTCTTTTTGAACCCCTTCAGTCAGGTTTCCGTGCTGCTCATAGCACAGAAACTGCCCTGGTCAAGGTCACCAATGATATCCTGACTATCTGTGACCAGGGCTCCCTCTGTCTCCTCGTCCTCCTCGACCTATCGGCAGCATTCGATACGGTCGACCACGCTATCCTACTCCACCGCTTGTCCTCCCACCTCAACCTTCAAGGCACTGTCCTTGAATGGTTTAGCTCTTACCTTTCCCACCGTCTTCACTTCGTCTCAACGAATGGCTTCTCCTCCACCCCCCGTACTGTCTCATGTGGTGTCCCTCAGGGCTCTGTCCTCGGTCCCCTCCTCTTCACCCTCTATATGCTCCCCCTCGGTGACATCATCCGCAAACATGGGGTTAACTTCCACATGTATGCGGATGACACCCAACTCTACCTTTCCTCCTCTACTCTCAACTCCACGACCACCGATGTCCTGACAGCCTGCCTGTCCGACATCGAGTCCTGGACGAGAGACAACTTTCTTCAGCTCAACGTGCGAAAAACCGAGGCCCTCCTGATTGGCTCACGTCAGCGCCTCCGCACCTCAGGCGCTGACACCATCAGCATCCAAGGCTGCACTCTCCACCTCTCAAAGCCAGTCAGGAACCTCGGCGTTTTGTTCGACCCTGAGCTGTCCTTTCTCCCTCACATCCGCACCACAACTGGCACCGCCTTCCATCACCTCCGGAATATCGCCAGACTACGGCACTACCTCACCCCTCACGCTGCTGAAACCCTGGTTCACGCCTTTGTCACCTCAAGGCTGGACTATGGGAACTCTCTCCTCGCCGGCCTTCCCGCCACCTCCCTCCACAAGCTGCAGGTCATTCAGAACTCTGCAGCTCGTGTACTGTCCCGCACCAGGCTTCGGGACCACATCACTCCCACCCTCGCTCGCCTCCACTGGCTCCCCATCCCCCAGAGGATTGATTTCAAGATCCTCATCCTCACCTACAAGGCCATTCACGGCCTTGCTCCCTCCTACCTCTCCAACCTACTATCCCCCTACCTACCTGCCCGTACCCTCCGTTCCTCTGGCTCCGGTCTGCTCCACGTCCCCCGCCCCAACCGCCCTACTATCGGTGGTCGGGCCTTCAGCCTCTCAGCCCCGAGGCTCTGGAACTCCATCCCCCAGTGCCTTCGCCTTGCTTCCTCCCTTTCCTCCTTCAAGGCCGGTCTCAAAACCTTTCTCTTTGACCGAGCCTTCAGCTCCCCTCTCGACTCTCTTCCTCCTCCTCGCTCCCTCCCTTCCCTCCCCTCACCCTGACCATTTCCCCCCTCCTCTCTCCCTCCCTTCCCTCCCCTCACCCTGACCATTTCCCCCCTGCTCGGGTCATGACCCAACTGTGCAGCGCCTTGGGACGTCCTCCTGACGTGAAAGGCGCTCTATAAATGGAATCTTGTTGTTGTTGTTGTTGTTGAAGGCACGTTCAAAGAGAAAGGTCTTGAGACTGGCCTTGAAGGAGGAAAGGGAGGAGGCGGCGAAGGCACTGGGGGATGGAGTTCCAGAGCCTCGGGGCTGAGAGGCTGAAGGCCCGACCACCGATGGTAGGGCGATTGGGGCGGGGGACGTGGAGCAGACCGGAGCCAGAGGAACGGAGGGTACGGGCAGGCAGATAGGGGGATAGTAGGTCAGAGAGGTAGGAGGGAGCGAGGCCGTGGATGGCCTTAGCATGGCTCATTGCCTTCCTCTGACATGCCCCCAGCTTCCAGCAGCTACAACTCTTCCCATCCCATTACTTGTGTTGTGATCTCTCGTTCACCTGTGGCCTCACCGATGTCCATCCTCTGCAGAGGAACAGGAGTCTGTCTGTCCAGCCCGACTCCCAATTGCTAATCCGCCAATCCCCCCCCCCCCCCAAAAACCCAATGGGACATGAGCTGGTAAATGTAGGGTAGCATGGAGCACAAGTACCCGGATTCAGGTGACAAGATGGCTGGATCACAGGGCTTCCTGGTCAAGTGTCAACCCCTTGCACAGACCTGAATGATTGCAAACTCTTAGTTAATTCGGAGCCCCAAGTCGAGTGGGCTTCTTGCTGGGTTTCTTATCTCCCTGTGCGTAGACTTGCTTCAGGGCTGTGTATGTTGGTGACCCACCCTTTTCACTGAGGCCAGGCTCATTGGCACTTGTAGATCCTGAGTCCAAATGGCAAATTATATTCATGAGAGTGGGCAAGATCCTGAATCTGAAAGCACATCTTGAGACACAATTTCCAGCCGTGTGGGGAGAGTGTGTGTGTGGAGGTGCTGCTTGCTGGCTCCTGCTCCATGTGAGTATCGCAGTGCTGTGAGGAGCTCTGTTCAGGTAGAGCTTTCCCTCTGCACTGCAGCAGCTTATTTGTAGGTGAAGGAATGAGTTTGTGCGTTTCTTTGTTCACAGCAGTTATAAGTTTCCTGGTTCAGTGTACTTCAGCATATCTGGACCAAGCTGTCTGCTCGTTCCTCTGTTCACACGAACCTGGCAACATTCAGTGTTGCCTTAGTTAACAATTTGGTTGTTATTCCTTCCTTTCACCAGAGTTGTAGTCTGCGATCAGTAATGCAGAGGAAGATCACATGGCCAATTATGGGTCAAACATTTAAAGGGACCATGTCCTAGTTATTCCTTCTCTTACTTTTAATCACCCTGCGTTGCTTTGTGTGAAGGCTAAAAAGTAATATAGGCCTGCACCCTCCTTTCCGCTTAATCTCCTTGCTGATTTCTCACTTCTCAACTGGAGGGTGGGACAGACCCACTGCGCAGACACCCCAGCTACACCCCAGCTATCAACTACTTGCTCATTTCTTTCTCTATCTATGCTCATCCATCCTCTTACGCTAGCTCAGATCAGAGGGTACAACCTACATGGTATCTTTGACATAAGTGTTACCTGAGATGTGTATTTCTTTTGCTGAGAGAAACCTGCTTTGCCAGCTCCTTCTTTGTGTTCTCAGGGGAGATGTGCAGTGTAGTTTTCACCCTGTAGAATTTTGCTGTTTGTGCAAATCATACACACTGACGGGTGCCATCCTGCGCATTGCACATACGCAGGCTGAGCCTGTGTTAGTGCTGCAGAGAGAGCAGTGTCTGGAGCTGCTCTGACTTGGCATCACCGTCAATACGATGGATACTGGAACTGCTCTCAGTGCAGTGAACGTCACCAGTAAGAGTCACTTAGTCATTGCAACTTTACATTAAAAAAAATCCTAGTTTTAAAAAGTGCGTTGAGCATTCCAGAGTTAGCTATGCTCTGTGTATGAACTGAATTTCCATTGTAGGAACTTTCAAATAAGTACATATCCCAGCTCTGCCATTTTGCCTCATTATATTCGGGTGCGTTCTTGTCTCATCTCCAGGTTTGCTATCAGTTTTCAGCAGACCTGGGAGGGATGGAAGAGATTGGGGCTGCCCTGCATCAGCTACTTTTGTGCCTTTAGTTTGCACAAGTGATAATAATCCTTACATTTGATATAGCGCCTTATCACGTCTGATACATCTCAAATGCTTTACAGAATACACTGTAAAGTGAATTGACTGTATTTTGTGGGCAAAACGCAGTGTACTGTATACCCCTGCAGCTCAGCTGTGTCCCAAAGTGAAAGGCACTAAACAGGTTGTTGTATAGCTAAGATGGTTCATTTTACCCTTGAAACTGGTGTACCTGGAATTGAAAGTTGAAGAGGAGTCTGTTAATTCTACACGGGTTTAGATTCCTACAGTTATGTTTGGTTTTATTAGCATAGTGCAGCAGCACAGGGTCTCTCAGTGGGTGTCGATTCTACTTGAATTAGTACATTGCAAGTGTTCATTGTCTCTCTCTCTCTGCTCCCCTCCCACAGATCCCGTTGTTCCAGGCACACCCTCAGCTGAAGTCGTATGTCCGACAGGCGATCGAGCGCGCTGTGCAGGAGCTTGTCCATCCTGTCGTGGACCGTTCCATCAAGATCGCCATGACGACCTGTGAACAGATTGTCAGGAAAGACTTTGCCTTGGATTCGGAGGAGTCCCGCATGCGGGTGGCAGCACATCACATGATGCGGAACCTGACTGCGGGCATGGCGATGATCACCTGCAGGGAACCCTTGCTAATGAGCATTGCTACCAACCTCAAGAATAATTTTGCCAGTGCCATCCGGGTTAGTGACTCCACACGGCACACACACATCATTGTTCTCACGCCAAGGCTTGGCTGACCTCCCATGCTAACGAGCGGCAATGGCTCTGTCTGCCCAGTTACCAAACTCTATAGAGCCATCCGAGAGGCCTCGGAATCCTTCCCTTCAGGAGATACAGCCATAGATGGGGTCTGAGCCTTGGTCAGTTTGGGGCACTGGAAGGATGTATTGGCTCTGGAGAGGGTATAGCCCAGATTCACTAGAATGATATCAGGGCATAAAGTTTTAAATTATGAGGACAAGTTGCATAAACTTGGTCTGTATTCCCTTGAGTTTAGGTGGTTGAGGGGTAATCCGATTGAGGTTTTTAAAATAGTAAAGAGATTTGATAGGGTAGATACAGAAAAATTATTTCCTTTGGTGGGGAATCCAGAACAGGGGGGGCAGCATCTTAAAATTAGAGCCAGGCCATTAGAGGCAGGTTTTCACCCAAAAGGGAGGGGAAATCTGGAACTCTCCCACAAAAGGCTGTGGATGCTAGATCGATTCATATTTTCAAGACTGAGGTGGGTAGATATTTGTTAGGTTATCAAGGGATATGGGGCAAGGGCGGATAATTGGAGTGTAGGTACAGATCAGCTATGATCTTATTAGAATGGCAGAACAGGCTGGAGGGGCTGAATGGCCTACTTCTGTTCCTATGTTTCAAAGCAGTCATTGTGACTAAATCAAACGAGTGCCGGGAGAATAGTTCAAAGAGCCCATGGATACTCTAGGCATGTACTAATGCTATAATTGGATTGAGTACTGAGCTGGTCAATTCCAATGAAATTTATCAGTCCTATATTTCTTCAGTCTCTGGGTTGGGTCTAGCCCTGAGTGCTTGGATCAGTCCTTGTATTGAGATGCTTTTGGTTTGGGTTTTCAGTTGATAAATAAATTGAATGTGATTAAATAGTCCAATAGTTTTGAGGTTTGCACTATTTTTAAACCTGTGGCTGGGACTTCAGCTAGCTCAGGCTACTTCAAGGATTCCTGGCTTTTTCTCATGAGCATAGCTGTACTATAACTGGTGTTCCTGTTTGAGGTAAGGGACAACTTAAGCGTTAGTGGGATGTTTCATTACACAGTTTGCAAATCTCTTTCTGTTGTAGAATTGGTTGAGTACCAGCAGGCGAGTCCGGAGGCAGCTGTACATGAGGGGTTTGTGCCTGGGACAGCGAGACGTGTAGCAGACAGGCTGATAGCTTCATTGATCCGTTACTAAACAATTTTCACTTGTAAAATAACTTTTACATAAGGAATGTCTCAAAGACAGAGTGGGATCTGGAGTTGGGGGAAGTAAATGATCAAAGGCCCAATTGAATAGCAACGTGTTTTGATGTTTTTTGGAAGTATGGAGGGAAATAAGGAAAGATTTTGGAAGAGTTCCAGAGAACAGAATAAAGTAGCTGAAAGCTTGTCTGCCGATAGCGTGAAGCGGGCCAGACTGGGGAGCAAAGTGGTTGGCAGGGGATTAGGTTGTTGAGGTAGAGGGTGGTGCAAGCCTCTGGAGGTGTTTGAAGATGAGGATAATGATCTTGAAGCTGCTGTGGAGGTATGTAACTAGTGGAGCTTAACAAGAATAGAGGTGATGGACTCGTGGAGCTTAGTGCACGGGAGAGGACAGTTGGATGGTCTGGGCTTTGTGAAGGGTAGAGCTGAGGAGGGTGTTGGAGAAGTCAGGCTGGAGGAAGGTGCTGGACCCATTTGGTTATATCAGGACTGAGGGAGCGATAGGGATTGGAGATGGAGGAAGCGTACTCGGTCAGAGCCCAAATAAAAGACTTAAAGGATAGTTATGGGTCGAACAAACGCGAAGGTTCTGTACAAGATACGTGAGTTGGAGGTAAGGTAATAGGAAGAATCGAGCAGGTAGCCTGGTTTTGTCAAAATTGGCTGATATGCATAATATTTGAATCGATTGTAGTGGAAGTGTCTGATTGGTTCTTTGAATTCCCAATATTCTCTGTCAGAAATGTGTAAGATTAGCTCCCTCCCGGGGCAGTGACTGGCCTTCACTCAGCACCGTGGTCATCATCAGTAACCAGCTTTGCCAATGAATGACGCCGCTGTGTGCCAAGTTCCCTACTGACTTGCTGTTTGCTGCATGACGAGACGTCAACTGCTCGGATGTGAATCATCCGTAGTCATATATTGGTGTTCTTAAAAAGGGCTAATGTCAGTTACTGTTGAAAAAGCTTTCCAATTAAGAGACAACAAACCATGTTGTTTAACCTGAGTCTTTGTGGCTGGAGCTGCTCTGGGGTTTGGATCATTGGGGGAGTATAGGTGAACCAAATCCTGTTCTTCATTGATGACCAGTTAGTGACAGCAATTGGGAGTGAATATACTGGGAGTGGTTGGGTTTCCTGTCCACCCCCAGCCCACTTGCTGGCCCTGTTGTGGCTCCTGTCCCAAGATCAACTCACTACAAATGGCCAGACTGGTTAGTAGTAACACTCAGCCTGTCGTGCAGAGAAAAGGAATCTGCTAATGGCATTATAATAATAATCCTTGCATTTGATATAGCGCTTTTCACGTCTTGACGTCCCAAAGCGCTTCACAGAATACACTGTAAAGTGAATTGACTGTATATTTGTGGGTGAACACGGCAGCCAATTGCACACAGCAATGTCCCACAAACAGTCGTGGATTGAAAATGACCAATTTATTTTTTGTTTTTTTGGAGTGATTATTATTAGGCGTATCAGCCAATGAACTCTGAAATGTGCTTCCTTAGGCTGCGTCCCCACAGCAGAGGGAGATGATGGAACAAGCGGCTGCACAGATCGCACAAGACAACTGTGAGCTGGCGTGCTGCTTCATTCAGAAAACCGCAGTGGAAAAGGCAGGACCCGAAATGGATAAAAGGCTTGCGACTGTGAGTCTTTCCTCTCTGTAACATAATGTACTTCAGCTGGTTTACAGTCGCGGCGTGTGGTCCCCTAATGTTTGTTTTATTTCCTGCAGGAGTTTGAACTGCGTAAGCACGCGAGGCAGGAGGGTCGGCGTTACTGTGACCCTGTGGTGCTCACTTACCAGGCTGAACGAATGCCCGAGCAAATCCGACTAAAGGTACTGGGCAATCTTCTGTGCTGTAAACATCCGTATACAGTCATATAGCCAGCTGGAAGTAGTCTTAAATTGATCAGAATGCAATTCCTGTGGCAGATGGAAAAAATTGTCGATTAAAGTCAAGTCTCTCCATCAGACCTTTTAGTCAATTCCTTTCAGGAGGGCTAAAGAGAAGGTGCACACTTCTTGTGTTGTGTGCTGCTCGCCTGCCCTAGCTCTGAACCTCACTGGGTCAGAGCCAACCACAGCATCAGGATGTCCCTTAATCTGCTCCTTAATCATTCAGTGAAAGCTGCACCATCCTTATCTCTTTCTTCTTCCCCACTCCATTTCCCACCTTAAAACTGGAATAGACTGTCTAGTTTTCGCTATGAGCACAGGGGTTGTGCCTGGAGCTTTCTGCCGTTGAATTATTACAACACTGGGGCCTTCTTCTCCAATTCAGTTGTACTCTGATCTGTTTGTCTGTATCTCCCAGTGTATTCCATTGTTTGTTGGTTATCATGTCACTCGTATTCCAAACGTTGGTTCAGTATATAATGTTACGACTTTCTCAGGTAGGCGGTGTCGATCCCAAACAATTAGCCGTGTACGAAGAGTTTGCACGTAACATCCCAGGATTCCTACCCAGCAATGACATCTCACAGCCCACAGGCTTCCTGGCAAAGCCTATGCAGGTAACTAACCTCCTCCAGTCCTTGTTTCTACTCTTATTCACCTACAAACAGCCTGCTCACTGATAGTTCCCCAGCAATCAGTCACACAGGGAAAGGCTGGTAACTCCTTGACTTGTTTGAGTTCCATTTGTTCAGTTAAACCCCAAATGTAAATTGCTGTGTAGCCTCAGTGCCAGTTCGGAGCTCAGTGGTTTGCATTTGGGTTGGGTTGATCTTTCTAATTGTTTGTTGAAGGAGATTCGCTCCTGACATTCAGAGGCAATAAAATATTTGGTGGTGTTGAGCAGAGCTATAATCCACACTTATGGCAAGATGGATCACAGGTGATGTTAATTTCTGGAATGGGAGTAACGAGGGAGGCAGCAGAGAGGTTAGACTTCTCTACATATCACATGTATTTCTCAGCTTTGTTTGTTCGAGTCTCAAAAAGTTCTGCTCTACTGAAAGTCACCAAAGCCACAGAATTGGGAGGTTTGGAGAAATGCTGTTCCCTTTGATAGATTTGTCATTGACAATATCCTGCATCTCCCATTGACAACTGACCAATCGTCAACTGGGAGCTAGTGATGGGGAGGTCACAGCTGTGTGTTTGATGAGGGTTCAGTTGATAATGAGGGGTTCACAGGCCAGGCTGTGGTAAACTGATGTCCTATATATCTCTTTCACAGCAGGCCTGGGCGACTGATGACATAGCACAGATCTACGATAAGTGTATCACAGAACTGGAGCAGCATCTTCATGCTATTCCTCCCGGCCTGGCCATGAACCCCCAGGCCCAGGCGCTGCGTAACCTACTGGAGGGCATGGTGATGGCCAGGAACTCCCGGGATGCCATTGCTGCCCTCGGTCTCTTGCAGAAGGTGAGCTGACTGACGGCTGCTGTGTGTGTGTGACTCACTCACTCCTGCCATTTGTTTTTGCGATTGTTTAATCTGCTTAGCAAAATATTACAGTAAAATATCAGCCTGGTTCCATCAGCTGCTCTCTCTCTTCCGCTATCCCTCTGCCTTTCCCCTTCCCCATCTTCAGGTTGTGCCTAAAGACGTTCCCCTTTGACTGTGCCTATGGTCACCTCCCCCCGGCTTGGGGTCATGCTCTACCACTGTCGAGCACTCTGGGACGCGACTTTGCGTGAGGGGTGCTGTGTTTAATGCAAGTTGTTGTTAGCTCAAAGGTTCTTGGTTTAAGCCCCACATTAGGACTGGAGTCCATGCTGACATTCCAGTGGAGAGCTGCAGGAGCTGAACATGACACCAAAATGACGACGTGCTTGGCAAGGGAATATCAGAATTGAGTGGATTGTATTATACTACTAACTGTTGAGGTTGCACTATGAAAGCAATGAATACTGACGTGTTTCTGCTGCTTATCTTTGAAGGCTGTGGAGGGGCTGTTGGATGCCACAAGTGGTGCAGACCCAGATCTCTTGCTCCGTTATCGGGAGTGCCACTTACTGGTGCTGAAAGCCCTGCAGGATGGTCGTGCCTATGGATCCCAGTGGTGCAACAATAAAATCACAAGGTACTGCCTGCCTCAATGTCTCCAGCGTGGAGAGGGGATCACTGCTCTGCTTCTCCCCTACCCTCATTGAGACCTGCCTGCTCCCCCCACCACAACTCTGTATTTTGTGATATATTCTGTAAAGTGCTTTGAGACATCTCGAAGGTGTGATTAGGCGCTATATCAAATACAAGGATTATTATGGTTGGAATCTGGAATTCTAGTTGAAGCAAACTGTAGGCTTTCAAGATACTTGGAAAGAGGAATGTTGAAGAGTGGGGGGAGTGTGGGGAAACCCAGACTGTAGACGGGATCAGCAGAATGGCCTGTTTCTGTGTAACAGCATTCCAGGATTCTGTGAAAATCAAAGTGAATGTTAATGGCAAGTCAGTAGATTTTCTATCTTTGTGCATGTGGTTCAGATCTGTCTCTGCTTCGGTTACAGGTGTCTCATTGAGTGCCGTGACGAGTACAAGTACAATGTGGAGGCTGTGGAGCTGCTGATCAGACACCACCTGGTGAACATGCAGCAGTACGACATCCACCTGGCTCAGGTACAACACAAGCACTCAACATCCCCCTCCCACCTCCAGTGCTGATGTCAGTCACATGGGTTTCATTTAATTTATTCTAAAGAGAAAGTAAATTAAAACGAGTCACTAAAAATGGGCTAATGGTGACTTCACTGTTGTAGCTGGACTGGCCATTGCTGCAGAGGTTCCCATGGGCTTACTGAGGAATCGAGAGCTCAGCCTAAACTCTACAATCTCTTGGTTGATTTGCTGCGCCTCTTTCCCTTCCTTGCCCCCATCCCCCGAATCCCGGGCTGTAGGTTGTGACGTCAGTACCTCCTCTCTTCCCCTCCCACCCCCCCCCCACCCCCACCCCCCCGTGAGGTTGCAGACTCTTTATATATTTAGTGTCCATCTTCTAATTTTCCCCCCATTGGTTTGGCCTGGTCTGGCCTTACGCTGGGTGTGTGTCTGGGGGATGCTGGATGTGCCCTGGCCTAAGTGACCTTTGTTCACATGTGAGTGTCAGATGCTGCCTGCCTGCAGAGGGTGAGGCTTTCCCACGTGCACAGACGCCTGAAGCAACCTCCACTTGCAGCTGAGACCAGCAAACCCAGCACAGACCAGGCCTTCAACCAGCCACGTCCTGTGAGCTGCAGCTTTGACCACTACCCCATCAGGGCTGCCCTAATGTTGTTTTAGGACAGGAATGATGTGAGTCTTGTCCTCTCTTGCTGCAGTCGATGGAGAATGGTCTGAACTACATGGCGGTGGCCTTTGCCATGCAGCTGGTGAAGATCCTGCTGGTGGATGAGAGAAGCATCAGTCACGTCACCGAGGCCGATCTGTTCAACACCATTGAAACACTCATGAGGATCAGTGCTCATTCCAGGGGAAATGCCCCTGAAGGGTAAGGCTCAGAGCAACTTGTTACAAATAGAAATGTCTGGTACTGGAGAGGCCAGGGTTAATGACAAAATGTTATCTTTTGTGAGTTTGGGAAATTCATGCATCAAATGTCACTTTGATTGTAAAGTGACTGTTTTTCACACAGGAAAGCTGTGCGCAGTGACCATCATGCCCATCCCCACAGGGCAGCCAGCAATGCCTCTATAATAATGGCTTCAGGTTGAGCGAGGGTGTCTTCATTGCTCAGTAATTGGGAGTTACTGGGTTGGGGTGTGTCACATTTTCAGAGGAGAACCTCAGGGATAGTGTTCTGAGGAAGAGTACATTCAAAAACTGAGCACAGGGAGTGTCAGAAACTTCTGTACATTGACCTGATTATATTAAAAAAAAGTCATTGGGGGAAACTGGGTGCTTGGTGCAGAAAAAGGATGTAGAGTTGAGGCACCGGCAGCCAGTGTGGGAATTGTGTTGCTTTCCACCATCTCACTGCCTACACAGCGTAGTGTCTGCTGTATCTCCTGGGTGTGCCAGCAGCGCCAGGGTGTGGGGAAACCACTGGTACTCTCATCCAGCTGCTGGGAAAGGCCACGCTCACAGTAGGACCTACGGTGAGGTCTGGATCGGGTGTATCTTGTCAATGTGGTGCTTAACACCTTATCCATTCCTTATTTCTGCCAAACCATTGCCAGGGCAGTTTACACAGCAGCCACAGGCTGTATGTCACTCTGGTACTGTGTTGTTTTCCTGCATACGTGGTTGCTATGGTTAGTGGAAGAGGAGGGTTGCAGAGAGCAAGTTGACTCCAGGAGCGAGTTCCCACCAATCTGACTGAGCTTGCTGGGAGTTGAGTAGCTTTTTNAATTGAAGGCCACGATCCCCCCAGCAGCCTGATCCGGGGCTGCTCCTGCCCGCTTCCAGTCGAACGCAGTCCCGCAGTCGCTGGCCAGAGGGTGAATGAGCCTTCAGCCCAGTCCTACCGTGGTGGGGTACTGCTTGTCCATACGGTGGGGGGCTCCGAATACGTGGGAACCGCTGCTTTGGAAGGCTCTTCCTCATTTGTTGATGAGGTTATCCTCCACACGCTAGCCAAAGTAGGTAATCTTTTTTTCCCCACAGATCCACAAAAGCATTACGGATAGTCCTTAGAAGGTAGGACCTTGTACAAAGAGCTCACCATAATTTTTTTAAGTGAAAATCTTTGTTAATCCTTAACCTAACGGGCTAAATGTGATTGTCTGCACCATTAAGGTTCAGAATAGGGAGCTGTAACATTCTGCTCAGGTTTTACTCAAATTGTTTCTAATTAAGTGTAGTCTGGCTGTCTGCTGGCAGACTGACTACCTGTCTGTGCTGTATAGTGCCTGGGACTCACTAAGCTGGCAGTCACTGCACTGCAATGTGTGGCTGCTCAGTGAGGACAGTGCAGCCACTCCCTGTAGTGTTGTGTTGTTGCATGGTGCTACCTTGGCAGATAGACTAGAAACAACCCGTACCGGTTAGTATCACAGTGAGGACAAAGGTGTGGGGGAGGCCTGGGTGGAGGGACGTAAGTTAGGGAGGGGCTCTGTGGGGTGAGGACTCTGGCTGGGCTGGTGGAGGGGGGAGTCTATGGGAGGTTGGAAGAGGGCTTCTGTGGAGAGGTAGAGAGTTGTGGGCTTGGTGGGGTGGAGGTGGAACAGCGTGGCCTGTATGTCTCTGGATAAGGGCAGGTGTTTGAAAAGCTTGCACTTGTGGCTTCTAGTCCACGGGGTCTGAGGTCCTTGTGTGGCTGGTCACGATTCCTGACGTTTAGCACCCGCTGCCCAGCACTGCTTCACGGCTTTCTGCTGCACATTCTTTCTTCTAATGTGGAGTGGTGGATTGGGGCCTGTGGTAAGATTTGCATCAACGCTGAGCACGTTCCTGGCTGCTGGAAAAGGCGAATCGAGTGTGGATGCTGTGTCTTGTGGCACTGGAGCTGAATGCTGCTTCCTGGTTTATACTCTGTGTCTATATGTGCAGCATGTCAGTTGCTCCTGTTGGATGCAGGTTTGTCTGCAGTTGACTCCAATAGCTGCGCTCTGATCTCGTTCCTAACTCCAGTGCTTGTGAAAGGTTCACTCTGTGTAGCTCAAGGTGCCATTGGACGTCATTGAAAATCACTCATCAAATACAATTCAACGTTGATGTGGGTGCAGATTGGTGCCTGAAAACTCCCCAGTAACATCCTGTCAACTGTGGACCTGGCCTTGACGATGGGGAGTGCTCGCACTGTACCCCATCCTGACTGAAAGCGAAAGTCAGAATAGTCAGGTGTGAGCTGTTTGTGTGACCAGCTTCAATCGTGTTCCCCACAGGTTGCCACAGCTGATGGACTTGCTCCGCGCTAACTATGAGGCTATGATGGACAGGGCCCACGGGGGCCCCAACTTCATGATGCACTCAGGGATCTCCCAGGCCTCGGAGTACGACGACCCGCCCGGCCTCCGGGAGAAGGCTGAGTACTTGCTGAGGGAATGGGTCAATCTGTACCACTCCGCCGCGGCGGGCCGGGACAGCACCAAAGCCTTTTCTGCTTTTGTTGGACAGGTGAGAATCCATCTGGCAGCTATGTGTGTGGGGGGCTGTGGGCATCAGGGAGGGAGGTAGAGGCTAGGCAGATTTTGAGGAGGGGGTGATGGTGTCCTACCTGTACCTCTACTTGCACCTTAAGATAACTTCCAAGTGGCCAAAGAATCAGTAGCTATGTAGAGCAGAGAGAAGGCTGTTGCTCACTGATTGACTGTTTGTTGGGTCCTGGCAGATGCACCAGCAAGGCATTCTGAAGACTGACGATCTGATCACTCGCTTCTTCCGCCTGTGCACGGAGATGTGTGTGGAGATTAGTTATCGTGCACAACAGGAGCAGCAGCACAACCCCACCGCCAACCCCACCATGATCCGAGCCAAGTGCTACCACAACCTGGACGCATTTGTCAGGCTCATCGCCCTGCTGGTCAAGCACTCCGGAGAGGCCACCAACACTGTCACCAAAATCAACCTCCTCAACAAGGTCAGTGCCTTTCACGACCCGAACGCTGTCTGTGTGTGCGTGCGTATGTGTGTATGTGTGTGTGTGCGCGCGTCTGCCCAGCGCTGCGCTGTGTGTATGTGTGTGCGTCTGCCCAACGCTGCACCATGCGTCTGCCCAACGCTGTGTGTGTGTGTGTGTGAGCTGCCCGCTCCGATAGTTTGGACTGACTCGGGATGCTACCCCGTGTGAAGGCTGCTATATAAATGCTAGATGTTGTTGAATTGCTGACGCTGTGATTTGTGTCAGGTGTTGGGGATTGTTGTGGGAGTCCTGCTGCAGGATCATGAGGTGCGTCAGAGTGAGTTTCAGCAACTGCCGTATCACCGCATCTTCATCATGCTGCTGCTCGAGCTGAACGCTCCAGAGCACGTTCTGGAGACCATCAACTTCCAGACACTGACTGCTTTCTGGTGAGTATGAGCGAAGCGTGTGGCTCACCCCACAGTCCCACACGTCACCAGTGTACAAGCACAGAACTAGCACATTGGCAGATTCATCTGAGAGGAGTTAATTTGGTACTAAATTGTTGGCTTGCTTCAAGGGACACGGCCTTTGTAAGACACTGACACATGCAGTAGGAGTCTGAAGTTTGTGCCAAGGAATAGCCTAGAATCAGATTCTAGCGCAAGAGATCATTTGTCCCTTCATGTCTGTGCTGTACTGACTTTCCAAGCAATTTTCTCACACTCTATAAAAGTCTGTCTTTATTCCAGTGTTACCTAATTTAAATGCTGCTTAGGGGAGTGCTTCAAATCCTAAACGTCTACCGTATCACTGACCTCAGAGTGTGGGCGCGCAGTGTAGGGGGAACTTTACTGTGTCTCTAACCCGTGTTGGCGACTTGGCATTGTAACCCCTGGGAATGGATCGTTTTCCCATTCTTGACTAATTAGCTGTAAAGTGCTTTGATAAGAAATTATGTAATATTGCAGCTTCTTTCTTTACTTTCATCCTCTCTTCAAGCAACACTAACCTCTGTACAATGTTACATTAAAAGTAATCATTTTCTGTGCAGCAACACATTCCACATTTTGCGGCCTACTAAAGCTCCTGGCTTCGTCTATGCCTGGCTGGAACTGATCTCCCACAGGATCTTCATTGCAAGAATGCTGGCGCATACACCTCAACAGAAGGTAAGAGCCTGCTTTCAGTGTCTGCACAACGAAAACGCTGCCGCATAATATCACCTTCACATCCTTGTGCTAAATATCCCGTCCTGTACAATGTGATCCGTTCTAGGTAGGGTAATAAAAACAGAAGTTGCTGGGAAGACTCAACAGGTCAGGCAATATCTATGGAGAGAGGAAAGTGAGTTAATGTTTCAGGTCGATGACCAAAGGTGACCTGACCTGCTGAGTGTTGTTTTAGGTTGTTTTTAATTTCAGATTTCCAGTATCTGTAATATTTTGCCGATGGTCGAGCAGTTGGTTTGATTTAGATTCTTTAGTATTTGATGGCTATCAATGTTAGTTTTACTTTTTTAAAAACGTTTTTTGATTTTTAGAAATTGTTTTGACCACAGATATGGCTGACATCCAGGTCACAGGATCCATAGACTTGTAGAGCACAAACAACAGGAAGTGACATCCATTGTTACCTTATGACCTTGAAGTTTGATATTTTTAGTTAGAATCTTATAGAATATTACAGCACAGAGGAGGCCATTCGGCCCATTGTGCCTGTGCCAGCTCTTTGGAAGAGCTGCCAACTAGTGGCACTCCCCTGCTCTTTCCCCATAGCCTTGCAATTTTTTCTTTTTCACAGTTAATAGTTAACTATCTATTTCGTAGCTAATAATTAAACTTTTTTATTTAAAACTAAAGATGTGGATTTATTTTCCTCAGTTCTAAGCTGATAAATACTGATTATTGATTGAAATCTGGACCCAGCGAGGCTGATTGTAATTTGCTGGTGTTGGAGTTGGGAATGTCACTGGGAACATCTGTGTCCTAGGCTCCTTCACCTCAGTACTGCCTGATGTAATGTGAATGGATCCCTACAAGTGAACAGTGATTGTCAGCCATAATTGTGGAGGGTCCAAGTTGTGCCCTAAATGCTGTTGTGATTTGGGCAGGCAGCAGGTCTGTGTGAAGCATTGGGGTATTGGGACACAGGGGCTGTGAAATTGTTCCTCTTGTAAAGTGTGTGTGTGTTTTACTGTTATCTTTCAGGGCTGGCCCATGTATGCCCAGTTGCTAATTGATCTGTTCAAGTTCTTGGCTCCTTACTTAAGGAATGTGGAGTTGACAAAACCTATGCAAATTCTTTACAAGGTGAGTTAGGTGGGGACCTGGCTTGGTTTGCTCTCAATTGTCATTCTTTTTAAATAATGATTTACTGACTCTCCATCACTGAAACGGTCCTAGCAAGTGTGTAAATCCCAGTGTTTGTTTTCTAGGGCACACTTCGTGTCTTACTGGTTCTTTTGCATGACTTTCCGGAGTTCCTGTGTGACTACCATTATGGCTTCTGTGATGTGATCCCACCCAACTGTATCCAGCTGCGGAACCTGATCCTGAGTGCCTTCCCACGCAACATGCGGCTGCCAGATCCCTTCACTCCCAACCTGAAGGTACACAGCGCTGGTGACCAGCTCCCAATCACTTCTGAAGTAATGCAGGAGACATCACCGTCTCAGCACCAAGCCCAGCACCCTTTATGCTACAAATATGACACCTCAATAAAATGAATGCTGCTGATTTCAGCCTGTTTCAGAGACTGTGTAACAATAGTGATGGACTCTGAAGTGCCTGAACTCTGCTCCCATCTGAAGCCAGGTTTGGGGTGTTTGAGCTGAGTTTCACGATCGATATTAAATCCAGAGTTTGAAAGTGAAGCTTTCCAGAATCTCCCAAATACCATCTCCTCAATTTGTTTCTCTCCTGAAGACTTTTATCCTTCAACTGAGGGACCTCTTAGTGCAGGTATCCTCTCGTACCTCACCACACGGCCACTGATTGTGTGTGACGGGGAGTGTCGCAGGCTTATTTGGCCACACGGCCTCGCTTACTTCCAGGAATATCTAGTGAACATCAGCGGAGATACTGGCTGTTTGTCTTACGCTGCTCTCCTCTCCCCACTCCCAGCCTTGCTGAGGCCCTTCCCCAGGGCCGGTCTGAGATCAGTCACTCACTACAAATCAGCGTTGTTCCTGGTGCTACAATGCAAAGCTTTACCCTGTGGCAGCCCTGAGACTGATACTCATTGTGTCATGTTACTGAGCTCTGCTTTGCAGTATTGAGACTGTTGTGTTGTGGCAGGTGGATATGCTGAGCGAAATCAACATTGCTCCTCGGATACTGACCAACTTCACCGGAGTGATGCCACCTCAGTTTAAGAAGGACCTGGACTCCTATTTGAAGACCCGTTCTCCAGTCACCTTCCTGTCTGAGCTGCGCAGCAACCTGCAGGTAAGCATGAGGCTGTTCACCTTCATCCATAGTGTCCTTCCTTACACTGGCTAGTTATGATTTCAAGGGACGTGCCATCAAAATGTAAGCTTTATCGGAGGTAATAATCTCTTCAAAAAAATAATAAATTGGTCACTCAATCCACGACTGTTTGTGGGACGCTCCTGTGCCGCATGTCGCCCACAAAATATGCAGTTGATTCATTTCACAGTATATTCTGTGAAGCGCTTTGAGACGCTCGAAGATATAATAAGGCACCGTATCAAATGCAATGATTATTATTATGAGGCCCAGTGTAGTGAGTTAATGCGTTCAGTTTATCCTCACATATTAAAATATCTTTGGCAGAGCTACCCAATCAGTCCCACTCACCCGCTCTTTTCCCATATCCTTGCAAGTTTTTTTTCTTTTTAACTACCTGTCCCTTTTGAAAGTTGTTATTGAATCCGTTTCCACTGACCTTTTCAGATCATGCATTCCAGACCACCAGCTGTGTGTGTGTGTATATATATATATATATATATAAAAACTAATGTATATTTTATTTCTCCTTGTCTCCCTTCTGGTTCTTTGAACATCGCCAGACTACGGCACTACCTCACCCCTCACGCTGCTGAAACCCTGGTTCACGCCTTTGTCACCTCAAGGCTGGACTATGGGAACTCTCTCCTCGCGGCCTTCCCGCCACCTCCCTCCACAAGCTGCAGGTCATTCAGAACTCTGCAGCTCGTGTACTGTCCCGCACCAGGCTTCGGGACCACATCACTCCCACCCTCGCTCGCCTCCACTGGCTCCCCATCCCCCAGAGGATTGATTTCAAGATCCTCATCCTCACCTACAAGGCCATTCACGGCCTTGCTCCCTCCTACCTCTCCAACCTACTATCCCCCTACCTACCTGCCCGTACCCTCCGTTCCTCTGGCTCCGGTCTGCTCCACGTCCCCCGCCCCAACCGCCCTACCATCGGTGGTCGGGCCTTCAGCCTCTCAGCCCCCAGGCTCTGGAACTCCATCCCCCAGTGCCTTCGCCTTGCTTCCTCCCTTTCCTCCTTCAAGGCCGGTCTCAAAACCTTTCTCTTTGACCGAGCCTTCAGCTCCCCTCTCGACTCTCTTCCCCCTCCTCGCTCCCTCCCTTCCCTCCCCTCACCCTGACCATTTCCCCCTCCTTGCTCCCTCCCTTCCCTCACCCTGACCATTTCCCCCCTGCTCGGGTCATGACCCAACTGTACAGCGCCTTAGGACGTCCTCCTGACGTGAAAGGCGCTTTTAAATGGAATCTTGTTGTTGTTGTTGTTGTTTGCCAATTATCTTAAATCTATGTGGTTACTGACCCATCTTCCAGTGAAAACAGTTTCTCCCTATCTATTATCAAAACCCTCATAATTTTGAACAACTCTATTAATCCCCCCTTAACCTTCTCTGCTGTAAGGAGAATAATCTTTTTTTGTATTTTCTTTGTGTTCAGGTCTCAAACGAACCTGGCAATCGGTACAACATTCAGCTAATCAACGCACTGGTGCTGTATGTGGGCACGCAGGCGATCGCTCACATCCACAACAAGGGCAGCACCCCCTCCATGAGCACCATCACCCACTCAGCCCACATGGACATCTTCCAGAACCTGGCTGTGGACCTCGATACAGAAGGTAAAGAACTGAAAAACGGCAAAAGCTACAATGGTCAGTTTTTAAGCTTTATTATCCCTGTATTTGCCCAGTAACCTCTGTACTTGGACTTGTTAAACGCTATGTTTAAAGGAGGAGAATAGAGCCAGGGCAATACTAGCACATACAGGTGGATGGAATCCTCGAACAGTAAAGCAAAGGAGAGAGCTGGTCTTTTCTCTTCCTCTCCTCCCCCCCCTTCCCCTTCCTAATAGTGACCTCAGTATCGCACTCACTGCAGATGGATGTTATTAGCATGGTTTGAGGGTGGGGAGGTGGGGGGGCAGCGCCACAGTAATCCTCATTGGATCTGGCCTGGAGAGTCAGCCAGACCTCCACATCCCAGCCACATTGTCCTGTCTGGCCTCAGTGACCCAGGCAGGATCTCCCACGGGACCCAAGCTATTCTCCTCCTTTACATTAGCAATGTTCACATAGCACTAATCTCTGTGGTTCAGCTCGCAATTCCCTCCTTCTCAAAGAAACAATTGAGAAATCCTGAACTGTTTGCCTTGCGTGCTGCTTAATGGGATAATGTGTGCAGGGCAATGGCCCCGAGCGCCTGCAGCTTGTGGACTGGAACCCCTGGGGAGGGCGGGACAGGGCAGGGAGGGGGGAGAGCAGGAGGAGGGGTGGGGTCGATGCTAGGTTTAAAGTGTAAGAGGTCTAGGCTGATGTATTTAATAATCGGCTTAGTGAAGGTGCTGAGTGTTGTGTGTTCCTGCAGCTCCAGTGGCAGATTATCAGGCCTGGGTGGATGAGGACATGTGTGGTGTGTTGGCTATGTTTCACTGCCCAGTGGAGGGAGTGATTGTGTCAGTGTGGGCGTCTGGGATATCTGGCTTCTCCTCTGTCTTACAGGTCGGTACTTGTTCCTGAACGCCATCGCCAACCAGCTGCGTTACCCCAACAGCCACACTCACTACTTCAGCTGCACCATGCTCTACCTGTTTGCTGAGGCCAACACTGAGGCCATTCAGGAGCAGATCACCAGGTGAACAACCAACCCCCTGGCCCCAGACACCTTCTCCTCCCCGCCCCAGGCATGCATCTCCCACCACGCCCCCAGGCACGCGCCCTTCCCCACGCACGCATCCCCCCCCCAGGCACGCATCCCCCGCGCCCCCAGGCATCCCCCGCGCCCCCAGGCACGCACACCACCACCTTGCCCCCTCAGCCCCAGCCACTTGTCCCCATGTGCTCGGTCTGCGTCTGTGTGCTCGGTGTGTCTTATATCTGTGCGCTCGGGCGGTGTGTGTCGGTCTCAGTGCTCAGTGTGTCTGGTTGCCTGCAGGGTGCTGCTGGAGCGGCTGATTGTGAACAGGCCGCACCCGTGGGGGCTCCTCATCACTTTCATCGAGCTGATTAAAAATCCAGCGTTCAAGTTCTGGAACCATGAGTTCGTCCACTGTGCTCCTGAGATTGAGAAGTAGGTTTGGATTCGCACTCACTCTAGACTTTTGTTTTCTGTTTCAGTTTGCCCCCAGCCACCTCACATTACACACGTCATCAACCCGTCTTTATTGTGATCCCATTCTGTGCAACACCATTACTGAGCTATTCACTCTCAGTCAAGATCACAAAATACACATTGTTTTGCCCCATTGCTGTCGCTGAGGACAGATCTGCTCCCACACACTGCTAAGCTGCCAGATCAGGTGTAGTAACAGCTGAGTTCGGAGTGTGTCCCTCTGTGCACCCTATTATGCACAGCACTGTGTACTTTTCTGGGACCAAGCACACTTATTTTGATGCTGTGTACCATTAATTGGTTTCCTTCCTCCCTTTTCTACTGAGGAACCTGGAACTCAACATTCATCCCAGATTCATCCCAAATCCTTCATCTGGAATCTATATCCGGGGAAGCTATCGCTGGATACAGATAAGATTCTAACATCAAGTTAACAAATGGGAACCATTTGGCCTGAGCTGCTCTAGAGCCACCCACCAGCCTCCCTATGGCACCTCCACGTTCCCTCCACCTCTTGGGGAATGTTGTCATAGATACCCCTGATCCCCAAAGCATAACCTCTACTCCCTAACTCAGCCCCCCCACCCCCGCACACATTCTCTCTCACACACTGTCTCCGTTTGTGCTGATGTTGCTCTGGCAGAGATGTTCTTGGGTCTGATTGTGACAGACTCAGTCAGATAGACCTGTGTTGTGTTTAATGCAGTTTTAGCCTTCACAGGTGGTTGTTCCTTGTGCACTTATCCAGCTTCTCATTTCCAGGCCCCTCTCTCCCTGACCTATTTCAGTGGATTTTTCTTTCTTTTCTAATAAGTGTCAACTCGTAAACTAGGCAAGAAGGCAACAGGTCTGACCCTAGCTGAGTATCTACCACCTTCTATGTGTGGGGGAGGGGGGGGGCGGTGGGAAGCTGTGCCTGTTATTCTGAATTAGTTATGGGGGGGAGGGAAAGAGTTGTGTCTTGTGTCTGGGCAGGTGCTCACTCCCTCTCTGTTTGTGGGAAGTCCTGAATGTTGAGTTGACAGGGAGTGGAGTGCTCAGTCTACACTGGAGTCACAGAGGTCTGCAGAACCTCACTCCTGTGCTGGTTTGTTTTTCAGCTGCTTGACTAATTCTGGTGAATGGTGTTTTGCAGATTGTTCCAGTCTGTAGCTCAGTGCTGTATGGGACAGAAGCAGGCACAGCAAGTAATGGAAGGCACTGGTGCCAGCTAAAACTATGAAGAAATGTTCCATACTGTGGACATGCAACATGGAGAGTGATGAGCAGCCCACTGTTTTCTTGAAACTGACGTTGGTTGTGTAAATTGCAGGTTCTTCCAATCCGATGCAGTCCTCTGCACAAGTCAGACATAGGAAAAGCCGCTGGTGAAGGGCTACATGTTGGACATGTTGTTTTCATTTGTCACTTGGCCAAAAAAAAGCAAATGCTGTGAATATCATTTGAAATGATATAAAAACACAATGTAAATAAAAGGGAGTGCAACCTCAAACTGGACTTTCTCCATCTGTGCAAATTGTATTAAAGACTTCAACCCAGTCATTACTGTTGGCAGCTGATGAGACTTAGATTGAAGGGCGTCTGGGACGGATTTTCCCCATTCCCCCCTCCCCCACCACGTCCCCTCCACTCTCCGAAGATCTTACAGGAGCTGCTCTTCATCTTGTGGGGAAGCAATATCAACTCCTCTAGTCCTACACACAAACTACAGCCCAGTGGTATGGATATGCAGTATGGTTTGCAAAAAAGTCATCTGTTTGCCTTTATATTTTTATTTTGAAGCATTTTGTCTGAAGACGCCGAGCAGCTCCTCTTAAACGAAAGGGGGTCCCGGGCTCTGCGGGGTCCTTAATGCGAAGGGAAATAAGAGGTTCTCCCTGAATTCTGTAAATTGTGGGATAAAGAGCCAGTTTTGCGGCACGAAGTCTATTAAGTTTGTAAAAAAGAACCAAGGACCAATACAGGCCATTTTGTAAGGATTTTGAATGTTGTTTTGTAAATGTATTGGTCCATGTGTTGTATTTTGTAGTCTTTGTAGTTTCCTTGGCTCTAGTTCTGCCACTTAACTCTCTTGTATGTAAGCATATTGTAGTTAATGCATTAAAACCCATGACATCAGTAATCTCCTTTGTTTATTGCCTCTAGAGATTTGGCTAGCAGGACACAGAATTGTGCTAACCAGCAGGCAAAGGGTTAGCTGCCTCTCTGACCTGTACTCCTGTAGTGAAACCTGCCCTTTCACGGCTCAACCCAACACAAACTTGACTGTTGGTGTCGGTCTCACTCCTGCATCTGCGTCAAAGGTTGTGGGTTCAGGGTAGGGGAGCGCTGCATGGTCCCAGGTGAGATGTTCAACCTGTCGGCCTGAATGTTAAATACCATTGGGAAAAACAAAAGATTCTCAACAATCCACTAGAGAAATCTCTTCATTTCAGTTTCGTCTCCCTCTCCATTACAGACTGATGCCTGTCTGTAAAGCTATTTGTGAGTCGTGTGCGGATTGTCTGCTCAGTTACTGATGGGGAGGTGGTCTGTTATCAGTTCCCCAATCCCCCAGAGTTTGATTGCTGCCCAAATTGTCCCCAGTTCCCTCCCCCCCCCCCCCCCCCCCCCAGGAGTTTTATGCTTGTGTGATTCTGAGGATTGGGTTCAGTGGTGAAAGCCTCGCTTGTAGCATCATGCCAGCACTTGGGTCTCTCATAAACAGATTATGTGGTGAGGTATTGGAGTTGTGTGGAAAGCTAAATCAAGCCAACACCTTCAGGCTGGCAGAGCAAGAATAGCACTGACCCTGGTTGTGTGGCTAACCACCGCACTCTACTCAGGGCTTCCCAAAGCTGAGCACAACACTTGACTGATAATTTTGTGTGAAGCTTTGACTTTGGCGAAACCACATTGCTGGAGATGTGAGCTGTTCAAGGAGGTGATCCCACCATGTGCTGGAGGCAACTTCTCGTTAGCCATTTCTAGATTAATTAGGTTTTACGTCAGGATTCAATGTGCATCTGTCTATGTATGTCCATCAGCAGGACTGACCCAGGCTTCCTATTGTTGCCCCCCCCCCCCCCAATCTGAACCCCTCAACCAGGAGAGGAGTTTGCTGAGGAAGTGGCTGCTTGTGTCTGGGGGGGGGGGGGCTCACTTGGTATCCCCAATATTGTGATGGTTCTGCCCTCAATGGCCAGTCAGTCTACCTCAAAATCCTGCCAAAGAACCAGACAGGCTGGTCTGTCATCAGCAGTGCCCAGGACGACTCAGGAACTGGAGAATGCACTTGAAGGTGGACTTGATTCTGGCATTCCATTACCAAACATGTCACCTTGGAGCCAGTTCATATCCAACGAGACCCCCCCCCCCCGACAGCCTGTCTCGATTGATAGCACTCACCCACCTCTTGAGTCAGAAGGTTGCTGTTTTACACTCGTCAGGACTTGGAATTCATTTACTCTTAAGATGACACTCCAGTGCAGTGCTGCGGGAAGTGCTGTTTGTTGGACGTGCCCTCTGGGGAACAATACCTCAGATAAAATTGGTCATTTGCTCCATGAAAATTGATTTTCACTTGGAAAGACATGGGTTAATAAATAAAGCCAACACCAGAGTTGTTAAAGGCAAATCGTGTATAACTAACTTGAGTGAGTTCTTCTATGAAGCAATCGAGGAAGTTGATGAAGGTATTGCAATTGATATTGTGTATATGGACTTTCAAAAGGTGTTTGACGAACGTCCACATAATAATCTTGGGATTAAGGGAAGAGTAGCAGCACGGACCTGAAATTGGCTGGAAGACAAATAGCAGAGGGCAGTGGTGAACAGTTTTTCAGACCGGAGGAAAGTATACAGTGGTGTTCCCCAGGGATTGATATTAGGTCCACTGCTCTTTTTAAGATATGTGAATAACTTGGACAGAGAGAGCAACATTTTAAAGTTTGCTGATGACACACAACTTAGAAATATAGTGACCAGTGAGAAGGACAGCAGCAGACGGCGGAGACATGGCCAGTCTGGTGACGTGGGGAGACACGTGGCGGATGGAATTTAATGCAGAGAAATGTGAAGTGATGCATTTTGGGAATAATAATAATCCTTGCATTTGACACCCATCACCCCGACACCCCCCAGCACCCCAACATCAGCCCAGCACCCCGACACCCCAATAACCCCCAACATCCGCTCCGAACCCTGAGAACACACCCCGACATCAGCACCTCGACACCCCCACCCCAACACCCCAACACCCGCCGCCGACCCTGAGAACAGCACCCCGACACCCATCACACCAGCACCCCGACACCCCCCAGCATCCCGACACCCCCCAGCACCCCACCACCATCTCCCAAAAGGGCAGAAAGGCCCCTTACTCCGAGTCTGACCTACAATCAGCACAAAGTACTGACTTCAACTGAACATCTGGTTATTATCTGGAGCATCCAAACAAAACCTGCTACCCCCTTCCCCCCCTCTCCGCCCCTTCCCAGCTCCCCCCATAATTCAAACACCATTATTCAAGGAGAGGAAGGGAGTAACCAAATAAAATGCAGGCTGTGAGGTTAACATCAAGTTGTAGGCACAATTATCATCAGGGACAGAGTAGCCGAGAATCTGAATTAATCTGCTTGGATCATCTTGGTTTTGTGAAGGGTCTGATTGGTCTAATCCCTCTCTCCGACTGAACCAGGAGTGATGGATAGAGGTGTACTACATGGGAGGCCATTTGGCTCAAGTTTTGTGCCCATGTTTGTTCCTCCAAGAAGCTGTCCATCCATCCATCCTACCCCCTTCCTTTCTCTCCCTATCCCTCTGATCGTCTTCCTCTGTCTGCATTTGCCTGAAATAGAAACCAAAGTCACTGGGAACACTCAGCAGGTCAGGCGGCATCGATGGAGAGAAGAGATGTATCTCTCCACAGATGCTGCCTGACCTGCTGAGTGTTCCCAGTGAATTGTGTTTTTATTTTCAGATTTCCAGCATCTGCAGTATTTTGCCTTTTGTATTTGTCTTGTCTCTTTTAAACCTCAGTGGACTCAACCCCAACAGCCCCCACCTCCCCCCTTTTTCCCCCACCGGCAAATCATTCCCTCGACAGCTGCCAAACCCCTCTTATTCTCTCAGTTACAATCTGCTTTCAAAATGTCAGATAAAGGATCATTTATGTGAAACTTAAGAAGACAGCTGATAAGATGTCACGTCAGAGAATATGAGTTCAAATTTAAGGCAATACAATTAAAGGCAAAATACCACAACGTGGTCAGGAAACTGGGTGGGAGATGGGAGGCAGAGTTGGGATGAGGGGGATGCTGTTTGTGGGGGGGCTGGGGGCAGGTGAGGAGAGGGTCCCAGTATATTGATGACCCGTCTCGGCTTTGGAGGAGAGTTTTTCTACATTTCCTGATGACCCTGACCTGGGAGATGTGATAAGAGCAGAAACATGCAAATGGACCTGGAAAGTCAAAGTGAGTGAATTATTGAATTATAGAAGGTGGAGATTAAATTGAAGAAACAATAATAACAATAATCCTCCCTCTCGTTCATTCTCAGAGTGAAACAGGAGGAGATGAGCAGAGATACAGGTACAGGTTTTACTGAAATCCAACTGAGGTTGGGGTGGGATGGGTGTGGGGGGTGGGGGGGCTGGGTGCTGGGGTCAAGTTGAGGGCTGGTCATGAGTCTCACTACGTGCCTCACCATGTAATGCTGCCTCACGTAGGGTCTCCATCGGGATCTCCACAGCATCCTGCGAGTTTCCGGGGGCCGGCTCTGTGAAGCCGTACATGTGCAGCAACTGCCAGTTGGCCAATTGGCCGTAGGTGTTAAAGATCTCCTCACCAGCAGAAATGGCACGTAACGAGACCATCTTCAAGCAGTCCTGTCACAGCACGAGAGAGAGAGAGGCACAGAGTAGGAGAGAGAGACACACGGCGTGGAAGAGAGACACACAGAGTGAGAAAGAGGCACAGCGAGAGAGTGACACACAGCGAGGGAGAGAGTGACATACAGCGTGGGAGAGAAACACACAACACAAGAGACAGAGAGTGAGACACAATGTGGGAGACAAGAGAGTGAGACGCAGCATGGGAAGGAAAGAGTGAGACACAGCGAGGGAGAGTTAGACACAGCATGGAAGAGAATGAGACACACACACACACACAGCGTTGGGGAGAGAGAGTGAGACACATCGTGGGAGAGAGTGAGATACAGTGTTGAGGAGAGAGAGAGTGAGACACAGCGTTGGGGAGAGAGAGAGTAAGACACAGCGTTGGGGAGAGAGAGTGAGACACAGCGTGGGAGAGAGAGTGAGAGTGAGACACGGGAGGGGGGGGAGAGAGAGAGACGCAGCGCTCTCTCTCTCTCTCTCTCTCTCTCTCTCAATGGCCGAGCTGTGTGTGGGTTTAGCCGGTTAGACCCCCGCAGTTACCCCAACACACACTCGGGGCTCCCCCCACCCCAAAGCCTTGGCTCAGGCCAACCTGTGCCTAATACTTTGTGGAATGAGGTAAACAGGATACATCCCTCCAGAGAGAGCGCATTCCATTCCATCAATCTATCTCTGGGATTTCCATGTGTGGGTGGGATGTATGGAATTCTCAGCTTGGTTTGGTTTGGAGATTCTTGGTGATGGTTTCTGCGTGTGTCAGACACCCGGCTGACACCCCCCCCAAAAATTAAAATATTCAGAGCCCTTTCCCCCATCGTGTCTGTGCTGGGGCTCGCTCCCCCACTGGAGCTCTCTGATCTCTCTCCCTGTGTCTGTGCTGGGGCTCGCTCCCCACTGGAGCTCTCTGATCTCTCTCCCTGTGTCTGTGCTGGGGCTCGCTCCCCCATTGGAGCTCTCTGATCTCTCTCCCTGTGTCTGTGCTGGGGTTCGCTCCCCCATTGGAGCTCTCTGATCTCTCTCCCTGTGTCTGTGCTGGGGTTCGCTCCCCCATTGGAGCTCTCTGATCTCTCTCCCTGTGTCTGTGCTGGGGCTCGCTCCCCACTGGAGCTCTCTGATCTCTCTCCCTGTGTCTAAACACAACTGGTACCAGAGCCATTGTGCCAAAGTGTGTTCTGTGCACGTTGGCTACACGGGGAATGCTGGGGGGGATGTGAAACTGGTATATTGGGATGTAGGAAGCTTTGATTGTCCAAGGGGCTCCCGTTCTGGAGTGAAGCCCAGGGTGAGTCTGGCTCGAGCTGGGATAGTGAGGACAGGTGTACAGTGTGTGACTGACTGAGTGCTGATGTTCCTCTCTCTGTCTATAGATGGGCTGTGAGCACACTGACGCCGACACAGACTCCGCACTGAGCTGCTTCCTGCAGTGGTGTAAACGGGTCGGGCTGGAGCTGAGCAGGAAGGTGAGAGAGCAGTGTGATATTGTTGTTACAGTGGATGAAGAGAGAGATGAGCAGTCAAACAGGTTCCAGCCACACTCTATCCCTGATTCCTCCGATTCTCTCTCTCTCTCCCTGATTCTCGCTCTCTCGCCCTGATTCTCTCTCTCACTCTTGATTCTCTCTTGTTCCGTGATTCTCTCTCTCCCTGATTTCCTCGCTCTCTCTCTGATTCCATCTCTCTCTCTCCCTGATCCTCTCTCTCCCCTGATTCCCCCTCTCCTCTCTCTTTCCCTGATTCCCCTTCTCTCTCTATCCCTGATTCCCTCTCTCTCTCTCTCTCTCTCTCTCTCTCTCCGATTCCCTCTCTCTCCCTGATTCCCTCTCTCTCCCTGATTCCTTCTCTCTCTCTCCCTGATTCTCCCGCTCCCTGATTCTCTCTCTCTCCCAATTCCCTCTCTCCCGATTCCCTCTCTCTCTCTCCCCGATTCATTCTCTCACTCCCTGATTCATTATCTCTCCCTAATTCTCTCTCTCTCTTCCTGATTCTCTGTCTCTCCTGATTCCCTCTCTCTCTCCCTGATTCTCTCTCTCTCCCTGATTCCCTTTCTCTCTCTCTCCCTGATTCCCTCCCTCTCGTTCCCTGATCCTGGTCCTCACCTACAAAGCCCTCCATGGCCTCGCCCCACCCTACCTCTGCGACCTCCTAACCCCTTATCAACCCGCCCGTTCCCTCCGCTCAGCCGGCTCCGGCTGCTCCACGTCCCCCAACCCACCATTGGCGGGAGAGCCTTCAGTCACTCTGCCCCCAACCTCTGGAATTCCATCCCCCACTCACTCCGCCTCAATCCTTCTTAGCCTCCTTCAAATCCCGCCTCAAGACCCTCGTCTTCGACCATGACATCAGAAACACCCTTTCCCGTCCCCTCCCGACCCCAGTTCAGGTCTGAAATGCTGTACTCTGTCCAGCGCCTTGGGACGTCCTGACATGAAAGGTGCTATACACATGTAATCTTGTTGTTCTTGATTCCCTCTCTCTCTCTCTGATTCCCTCCCACTCTCCCTTTTGCTAGAGGGTGCGGATGATTCATTAGAACATAATTAACTCGTGGAGCTTTGACCCCAATAGGAGTCATTCCAAGCCGTGTGGCTGAGGCTGGTGAGGAGCCTGGTTGTTGGAGAGGAGCGATGTGTGTGTGAGAGAGAGAGACGAACACAGGTTGGCTGGTGCAGTGACTGTTTGCTTGCACTATTACAGGTGTGTGTGAGTGCGGAGGGCACAGTGGCACAGTACGGCATGCTGGCCACACAGCACATACAGGAAGGGGAGCTGCTGTTCTCCGTGCCCCGCTCAGCGCTGCTCAACCCCAGGACCTCAGCCATTCGGGATTTACTAAAAAAAGGTCTGTAACTCCCCCATCCCCCCATCCCACCCCAATACACACACACACACGTGTATTTACCCACATCGTTGCCTCCTGCCCATCCACTTTATGGTCCTCCTCTCTTTTCTTGACAGTGTCAACCTGGCTTTCTGGTGGCCTGGCTCTCCGGTGGCCTGGCTCTCCGGTGGCCTGGCTGTCCGGTGGCCTGGCTGTCCGGTGGCCTGGCTGTCCGGTGGCCTGGCTGTCCGGTGGCCTGGCTGTCCGGTGGCCTGGCTGTCCGGTGGCCTGGCTCTCCGATGGCCTGGCTCTCCGGTGGCCTGGCTCTCTGGTCTGGCTCTGGTTCTCTGGTCTGGCTCTGGCTCTCTGGTGGCCTGGCTCTGGTTCTCTGGTGACCTGGCTCTCTGGTGGCCTGGCTCTGGTTCTCTGGTGTCCTGGCTCTCTGGTGGCCTGGCTCTCTGGTGGCCTGGCTCTCTGGTGGCCTGGCTCTCTGGTGGCCTGGCTCTCTGGTGGCCTGGCTCTCTGGTGGCCTGGCTCTCTGGTGGCCTGGCTCTCTGGTGGCCTGGCTCTCTGGTGGCCTGGCTCTCTGGTGGCCTGGCTCTCTGGTGGCCTGGCTCTCTGGTGGCCTGGCTCTCCGGTGGCCTGGCTCTCCGGTGGCCTGGCTCTCCGGTGGCCTGGCTCTCCGGTGGCCTGGCTCTCCGGTGGCCTGGCTCTCCGGTGGCCTGGCTCTCCGGTGGCCTGGCTCTCTGGTGGCCTGGCTCTCTGGTGGCCTGGCTCTCCGGTGGCCTGGCTCTCCGGTGGCCTGGCTCTCCGGTGGCCTGGCTGTCCGGTGGCCTGGCTGTCCGGTGGCCTGGCTCTCCGGTGGCCTGGCTCTCCGATGGCCTGGCTCTCCGGTGGCCTGGCTCTCCGGTGGCCTGGCTCTCCGGTGGCCTGGCTCTCCGGTGGCCTGGCTCTCCGGTGGCCTGGCTCTGGCTCTCTGGTGTCCTGGCTCTCTGGTGGTCTGGCTCTGGTTCTCTGGTGTCCTGGCTCTCTGGTGGCCTGGCTCTCTGGTGGCCTGGCTCTCTGGTGGCCTGGCTCTCTGGTGGCCTGGCTCTCTGGTGGCCTGGCTCTCTGGTGGCCTGGCTCTCTGGTGGCCTGGCTCTCTGGTGGCCTGGCTCTCTGGTGGCCTGGCTCTCTGGTGGCCTGGCTCTCTGGTGGCCTGGCTCTCCGGTGGCCTGGCTCTCCGGTGGCCTGGCTCTCCGGTGGCCTGGCTCTCCGGTGGCCTGGCTCTCCGGTGGCCTGGCTCTCTGGTGGCCTGGCTCTCCGGTGGCCTGGCTGTCCGGTGGCCTGGCTGTCCGGTGGCCTGGCTCTCCGGTGGCCTGGCTGTCCGGTGGCCTGGCTGTCCGGTGGCCTGGCTGTCCAGTGGCCTGGCTGTCCAGTGGCCTGGCTCTCCGGTGGCCTGGCTCTCCGGTGGCCTGGCTCTCCGGTGGCCTGGCTCTCCGGTGGCCTGGCTCTGGTTCTCTGGTGTCCTGGCTCTCTGGTGGTCTGGCTCTGGTTCTCTGGTGTCCTGGCTCTCTGGTGGCCTGGCTCTCTGGTGGCCTGGCTCTCTGGTGGCCTGGCTCTCTGGTGGCCTGGCTCTCTGGTGGCCTGGCTCTCTGGTGGCCTGGGTCTCTGGTGGCCTGGCTCTCTGGTGGCCTGGCTCTCTGGTGGCCTGGCTCTGGTTCTCTGGTGTCCTGGCTCTCTGGTGGTCTGGCTCTGGTTCTCTGGTGTCCTGGCTCTCTGGTGTCCTGGCTCTCTGGTGTCCTGGCTCTCTGGTGTCCTGGCTCTCTGGTGCCTGGCTCTCTGGTGGCCTGGCTCTCTGGTGGCCTGGCTCTCTGGTGGCCTGGCTCTCTGGTGGCCTGGCTCTCTGGTGGCCTGGCTCTCTGGTGGCCTGGCTCTCTGGTGGCCTGGCTCTCTGGTGGCCTGGCTCTCTGGTGGCCTGGCTCTCTGGTGGCCTGGCTCTCTGGTGGCCTGGCTCTCCGGTGGCCTGGCTCTCCGGTGGCCTGGCTCTCCGGTGGCCTGGCTCTCCGGTGGCCTGGCTCTCTGGTGGCCTGGCTCTCTGGTGGCCTGGCTCTCTGGTGGCCTGGCTCACCACAACTCATAGGTGAGAGTGCTACCATGGTGTCTGGCTGATACATGTTCAGGCTGACCAAAGAATCACAAGACTATTGCAATGTCTTAATAAGACTTTAAAAATAATCATATTTTGGGGAGTTGTAGATAATAGAGTAGATATCATGACTGTTTGGTCACCCTGTATAAACATACTTACTCACATGTCCACACACACAAATGCTCATCCATATACACATACAAACATGCGCACCACAGTGTGACCTGCTCACACACACACTCTCCGCAGCAGTGAACAGGATCATGTTTGGAACAGGGCGGTGTTTGGGGTGGGCAGTGTGCCGGGCGAGGTGGGTGAGTGTGGAGTGTGGTGGGCAGGTATGTGCAGTGTGTAACTGGTTGGTTGTGACTGTGTTACAGAGGAGGCTGCCCTGCAGAGCCGGTCAGGCTGGGTGCCTCTCCTCATCGCCTTGCTACACGAGTCTACGAGCAGCTCCTCTCACTGGCAGCCCTACCTGTCCCTCTGGCCTGGCTTCAGCTCACTAAACCACCCCATGTTCTGGTAAGAAACTCCAGCCAACTCTCTCTCCTGATAATCCACAATCCATGCTGTATTGTTACTGGCTCCGCAAACCCTGATAATAAACCTCTCATCAACGAAAGGCAAAATACTGTAATAGAAACAGAAGTGGTCGGGAACACAGAGCAGGTCAGGCAGCATCTATGGAGAGAGGAAAGTGGGTTAACGTTTCAGGTTGATGGCCAAAGCTCCCTGGGAACATTCAGCAGGTCAGGCAGCATCTATGGAGAGATGCTCCATGGATGCTGCCTGACCTGCTGAGTGTTCCCAGCGACTTCTGTTCTTATTAAGGATTATTATGATGTGTATGTTCGGAATATTTGCTGCATACAGTGACTGGAGGAGTCTTGGCTGTGCTGGCTCTTTGGAAGAGCGACCCAATCACTCCCACTCCCCTGCTCCCCCAATCTTCAAATTTTCTTTAAGTCCTATCCAATTCCCTTTGAAAGTGTTATTAATCTGTTCGCATCCACCTTTCAGGTCTGCTTCCCAGACTAACAACTCCTGGTAAAAAAATCTCCTGTCTCCCTCTGGTTCTTTTGCATTATCTTAAATCTTGTCCCTGGTTACACCCACCGCCAGGGAAACAGTTTCTCCGATCTACTCTATAAAACCCTTCATATTTGAAAACCTTTAAATCTCCCCTACCTTCTCTGCTGTAAGGAGAATTAACGTATAAGATGCTGATTGAGGGTGAGGAGGTGAGGGTGCCAGATTGGTGTTTGTGCTGCTGTTCTGCAGAGGGAGGTGACTGTGGTGTGTGTGCAGGGAGGAGGGTGAGCGAGCCAGGCTGCTGCAGGGCACCGGGGTGCTGGAAGCAGTGCAAAGAGACCTGAGGAACATCGAAGATGAGCACCAGAGCATCGTGCTGCCATTCCTGCGCGCCCATCCCCAGACATTCCCCCAAACACACACTGTCTGCAACTCTACAAGAGGCTCGTGGCCTTCGTCATGGCCTACAGGTCAGTGCGGGGGTGGGTGGGGGAAGTGGAGGAAGGGTGATTGGGGGAGAGGAGGAGTGGGGGGGGGGAGAGAGGCTACCCTGTTAGTCAGTTTCCTGTGGCTGCAGTTTTCAGGAGCCATCAGACAATGATGAAGAGGATGATGATGATGAAGATGAGGACGAGGAGCTGAACCCTCCCATGATGGTGCCAATGGCTGACATCCTGAACCACATCTCCAACCACAACGCCAACCTGGAATTCACCCCCGTAAATATCACAGCAGGAGGGTGGGGGTGAACTGGGCGGGGAGCGGAGGGGGGGGTTGTGCTCAGTGTCTTCAGCCCCTTAGTGACACCTTCCCAGATCCTTGTTCTCACCTTGAAATCCCCCCATGGTCTCACCCCCACCCACCCTTTGTGCTCTCCGTCAACCTCATTGAACCCATTGAACCCTGACCTGCCCCACCATCGGCAGGTGGGCTTTCAGCCATTCTGCCCCCTCTCTCCAACTCCTTCTGCTTCACGACTGTTTGTGGACGCTGCTGTATGCAATTGGCTGCTGTGTTTCGCCCACAAAATAACAGTCACTTCACTTGACAATATATTCTGTGAAACATTTTGAGACGTCTTGACCGTGATAAGGCGCTATATTCACACCCTTCATCTTCACCTATGTAGCCTGAGCTTTTGTTCATCTTTATGTCAACTTGCTCAGCGCCCCCCCACCCTCCCAATCGCACCTCTTTGCCCAGCCAACCTGTGTGACTGCAGACCCCCGCCCTCCCCCACTGACTGGCTCCTGGCTCTGCCTTTCTCTCTCCCACGCTGTGTCTCACTCTCTCTCTCTCTCCGCCCCCCACCACGCTGTGTCTCACTCTCTCTCTCTCTCTCCGCCCCCACCCCGCTGTGTCTCACTCTCTCTCTCTCTCTCTCTCCGCCCCCCACCCCGCTGTGTCTCACTCTCTCTCTCTCCGCCCCCCACCCCGCTGTGTCTCACTCTCTCTCTCTTTCTCCGCCCCCCACCCCGCTGTGTTTCACTCTCTCCCACACTGTCTCACTCTCCCACGCTGTGACTCATCTCTCTCTCTCCCTCCCTCTCTCCCCCCCCCCCCCGCCCCCCGCTGTGTCTCACTCTCTCCCACACTGTGTCTCTCACTCTGTCCCACACGGTGTCTCACTCTCTCTCTCTCTCCCCCCCCCTCCCCTGTCTCACTCTC